CCTGAGGACTCAGTGATCGTAGCTCTTGGAGTCGGACTTGGCCATGACATCATCGCCTTGTGCTTGCAAGGCTACAGGGTAGTTGGAGTCGATCGTGACCCTTTTGCCATCTGGGTTGCCAGTCACAACCTGGCTTGCCTAGACTTGCTTGACAAGTGCTTCCTACTACAGGAAGGGTAGACTCCAACCTACGGATGGCTTGCTTGGCCTTGGTACTCACTTCTCTTCCCCTGTGAGGGGAGTCTACCTTGATCCACTGTGGTCACCAAAGCATGCGTTCTCTCTTGAGAACAGGTCATGGTCCCGTGAAGATGTAGAAGATATCAGGGATGATAGTGATATGATGATATCATTGCAATAATAGGATAATCATGATTAATGGGATAATTATTCAGATATGTATCAAGATACCTGTGTTTTATTGGATAATGATACCCTTTGGTTACTTAACATAGCCATGGAAAATCCCCATTTTCAATAGGTAAACCATCTATGTCTATGGGCCATTTTCCATGGCAAACTGTTAAATAACCAGAGGGTATGTTTGGGGATTATAATCAGAGATATGTCTTTGGGGATCCCCATGGCAATCCGGAGGGTTACGATATGTCCGGAGGTCCTGGCCACTGAATGATGCAGTTACTATCACCATGGGCCATGGTTTAGAAAAAAAAACACACATAGTTGGGACCATTTAGAAAAAAACACCCCGTGGATTTCTTAGATTTTTTAAATATCAACCATGGCTTTAGATCTAAAACCTTTATATAATATGATATAATTGCTATTCTGAATCAATGTGTGGCTAAAACATCAATAAATCCATGACGGGGTATGATGGCTGCTGGAATACCGTCCGGTAGACTAACAGTGTGCTATGGACAATGGCTTGAATCGTCTTCGACGATTCATATAACAACGGAGATTTTCCATAGCTACATGAAATTACTAAAGTTACTAAAGGGTGAGTTGATGTTGTTTGCTTGCAAAACTAAGATTCATGCTGTTTTTTTTTGCATTTGAATGGTTAAGTTCAGCAATGACCTAAAAAACCTTGACGCCACTGGAAGGATGGTTCACATTTTTTTTTATGGGGAACCATCCCCAAAGCATGTTTTTATACATATATATATATATACATATGAAGGGGACTCATCCAAGCATTGTAACTAGATGTAAATAGTTTAGATAAACCATTAAAAGGCTGGGTACATTGTGGTACCTGTGTATATTTTACAACAAATGGGAATGAATTATTCTCACCAGCTAAAACAAACAAAATGGCCGGGGTTGATCATTTTTTGGACATTTACCCATCAAAGGGGAGTGAATATGTTGGATACATCATAATAATATTTGGTCATTGGCATTGGTAGCGGGGGAACATGAGACAAAAAATCTCAATATTGATGCTATAAATGAAGCCAGAAACCGCGCACGTTTGATACTGTATTTGGGATCTGACAGAGCCAAGCATAACATCAATATGTTTCACTCCTTGTCATGGAGAGCTTGACAAACCTGGATGTTGATCCACAAGACATCCCACGGTGTCCTGTTTGTGACCATACTGGGTACTCTCTGGTAAACATACGAAAAAACTATGAACAATGACCATTCTTAATGGGTAAATCAACGAACTGAATGGCGATTTTCAATAGCTATGTTAAATTACCAGAGGGATCCAGAGGGTATATCGTGTATATATATATATACATATGCAATTATCATCAATTATCCTATTCTGGCCGACGCCAACAATTCATTTATTTTCATCATAGGTGGCTTTGTGCGAGAATAGTTTGTTTTTTTTTGTGCGGGTACACCCCATTTCCGGGCGGACACCATGCATAACCGTTGTTTTCCAGACGATTTGGGATGTATCGAACACAAAAACTACCGCAACTTAACATATAAACTAGCTAGTTATTTTTGGGGAATATGTTTATTTCATGCTATGTCTATGTTTGACCATCTTAATTTTTTGTCAGTGGTGAACCTGGGCCCTCCAAAACCCAGAACTGACCAGTGGTATAGCAAGACCCCAGCAAATATCCCATAGATTCCCATAGGATCCATCATTAAAGATCCCAGGAAATAACCCTCTGGTAAACTAACAAAAAACTATGGAAAATCACCATGTTTAATGGGTAAATCCACTATAAAATGGCCATAGCGGAATGGTCGTTATACTTCCCCAATGGTTTCATCACCAAGAATCCCATGAAAAATTCGATGAAATCCCTCTGGTTTTGATGTAAGGCATGGTATCAGACACGAAAACCGGATCCCTCCGGTCTCAGAATGCCCCCAGGCTGCCCAGAATGCCCCCGGGTCCCAAGTCGTGTTGCGCTAAGTCATCGATGGTACCGGCATGAAGGGGCCCGAGAAGCCACAGGCCGCTGAAATGAGTGGCGGCTAATAAAGCCCTGTTGCTTCATGATGAACTATCAATCTAATATGGAGATTTAACCATTATTTATAGGGATTATAACTTACAACCATCAAACACTTGGGGATCAAACGAACGTGGAGAGCTGGCATTGGGCATGGCACGGGGTCCAACATGGTCCAACGGATTGCAGGAGGATGACGATGAAGAGGACGTGGTGGGTGACGCCATCATGGGAACTGGTTGAACATCATGGGCTGTTCTGCAGGTCTGTTTCAAAATGGGGTGGGTTATTCCCAAAAACACTTGATGGATTGTCCTGAATGTTTGCAAGACCACGATTGTTCTCAACATTTTCCACAGGAACGGTTGTTTCCACTAGGGTTACCCCACTTGAAACAACTCCATCTTCAGCAGGACCCAGCAGATGAGGCCTATGCAAAGGAGGCCTGACCAGAATGAACCGTGAGCTAAGGGATGTGGATGTGTTCCATCCCCCAGGAAGATGATAACTCCAAGATTTATGGTTTCTGGATGTTTGTGGAGCATGTCTCGAACTAGTTAAATGGTTGTTAATGGGCTTTATGAAGCAACTTATGGGGGGCACCACCTTGTAGGGATATGACGAAAGACTAATCTGGGGATATCTAGATAGTGATGTGGCAATGTGAGATCAGGAAATCTACGGATATCTGGCTGATTGATATGGACTACCTTCTGGTACTAACAGGTTGCTATGGAAAATGGCCATGTAAACAGTAGGTAAATGTGGCTTCCATAGCTATGTTGAATTTCCAGATGGTATCTGTGAAGTTTCAAGTAACAAGAGAATGAAACACACCGTTCATTGGAAAATTTCACGCGGACAGCCAGACTGCCATGGAGTTGAGCCTGGAGATGTGCTTGTCCTGGAAAATCCTGGCCAGTCAAGTTACCATCCGAGAATGAAACATGGCCAGCTGGAAAATCCTCCAGATTTACCCTCTGGTAATTTAACATAGCTATGGAAAATCACCATTTTTAATGGGAAAATCCACTATAAATGGCCATTTTTAATAGCTATGTTAGTTTACCAGAGGGTATAGGTTATGTTCGCAGCTATAAACCTCCAGTTGTATAGGGATTACTGTATTTCCCATTGCTGTGCTGCGGAAGGGTACAGGTCAGTCACTTTTTCTTCAATGATGTGTCAAGATGTTTTAGGTTTATTCCTCTGAATGGGACAGTAGCCACATTGAAATTGGATTCAGTAGTTCGAAATTGTTTTCTTTTCAGATGGAATGATCATCGCCCATTTTACTCCCATCTGTTCGGTGGTTCAGCCACCAACCAGAGACATTGTGGTTCTTTTCATTTCATCAGCAAAAACAAAGGGCACCATACTGCGATTGATCCATGAAGGATGGGTTTAGAGCTAACATGGTGTGGAAAGGCTTCAGTGATGTTCAGTGATTGTGTTTCGCACAGCACAAGCGATGAACTTTGATAGATTTGACATGAGCTATGGTCAATACTCATGGTTAATAACCATTAATAGGGGCTAGTCATCCAATGGTTCATAGGGAGTTATAATAACCATTATAAGGATCCTTATTATGGATGGGATGACCATCAACCATATAGTGAGTATTGACCATGGCTCACATGATTTCTCCCCATTTCTGAAAAAAAGTGCCCAAAAAAGGAGCCGCATCTCTGGAGAAGTGCAGGTCTTTCAACATGACGTGGTGCGGATGGATGAAGGCCAGCATGGAGATAGAAATGATTGTGAATATACAGGGTAATTATCCCAAAAAAACATCATTTCAGAATTTCAGATTAGTGAGTCAGCGAATTATAATGTACCCAGATGATGTTGGATGTTTATGATGCCAATATATGGTGACATACACAATATATATATATAATATGTTTATAATATGATGTTGAATTCCATGGCCTTGGCTCCGGGTCAGTTCCCCCTTCAACTGACACAGCTTGGAGCCATGGTTGATGCGGCGTACGCTTTTCATCTGGTAATACTTTCGCCAAATGAAAAACCGCTTGGTGCTTGTGGCTTCTGTCCTTATGATCATATGGTTAATGCATGTTAATGCCGACAGATTCTCATGTTCACAACATGTTTTGCGAGCATCTAAACTCGGACGGAACCAGATCATGTCAGCGCAGATGATTCCCCAAAACATCAGCCGATTCGCAGCCCCCATGACCTTAGAAGATAACTAGATTAACTAGATCCTATGCAGCCGCGGCTCCTTGAGATTTCTATGGCTACATTTGATTTTGTTGCAGCTGGTTGCAGCTGTATCCCTGGGAAAAGGCAATGTTTTCCCGCAGCTTTTCAACCGCCTGGGCCTGCTACCGTAGACCCTGGGTTGCGGCCATGAACCAAGCTGCCCATCTAGGTCTTGTAAGGCTATAGTTGGAGCAGATAGTTCCGTATACATAGCCGTAAAACATTGACCTCACATACCTCCGAAACATATGATCTAGACACTGTACCTCCAAGTTGGATGTCTGTCAGGAATGAATGTCCTCTCACCACATGTTGCAACCATCAGCCAGCCAAATATCTTTTGCTGCCTTTTAGCCTAGCCTGAAACCTGCCATGGCTACTCTCCGTCTACTGCTCACTGTGGCCGGTTTGGTACTTTGGATGCTAATGTGGCAGTGGACAGGGAAGGAATTGTCTGAATCTGACGCAAACTATGGTTGCCAATTTTTTTTGGGGGGGTAAGTAACTGTTAACCACTATGTTCCACTACTCGTACCAATCATTAATCATAAATATTACCCTCTGGTTATTTAACATAGCCATGGTATAGATGGCCCATTTCTAGATGGTTTACCTATTAAAAATGGGGATTTCCATGGCTATGTTAGTCATAACCAGATGGTAACCATTATTAACCACGACTTCAGTAACCAGGGTATTTCTCAACTTCTTTGGTCAATCTTGGAGCCAAGTAACTGGATTCGGCTGAAAAAAGGGTGTGGGGAACTAACCCATGGTAATAGATATTTTAAGTATTGCAAAACCAATAAACATGGTAGTATTGTATTACCATATAATATATGATGTATATATGATCTATATATATATGTATAGATCATATATGTACTGTATACAGGTGAAGTATGGAACGCTGTGATACAAGTCGATTTTTTCGCCCTTCCATCAGCCGTCAGAGTCCAAGTTGAAGAAGTCCAGGTTAGCGCTGCGAGCGATGTGTCGTGGCAAAGCTTACAGGAAGGATTGACGGCCTGGGAAGCCTTTGGCTTCGATACCAGCTTTTCCTATTCGGATTCTCGGCAGGGTTGAGGAAGAACTGGGCACAGCCAGGGGGCCAGGCCAGATTTTTTGTTGGGTCGTTTTGTGGTAGGAAACCAGTAACCAGTTTGTCTTGGAACACCCAGATTTTGAGCCCTAGGCAAAAAGCGTACCCTCACCCCGGTTCACTTTTTTCTACAATTACCTTCAGAACTGGGCCATTTGATATGGCCAGCCCAACCACACCAATCAAACTCCATTCTATCATCTCGAAGTGTTTTTCCTTCATGAGGTTTTATAATGTTTAATATACGTATGATTATATGATATACGTAATATGTTCAAGGCAATTCCCAAGCACGCTATGGCGAATGATTGCACCCCAAGAGTTGCATGCGCGCTCTGCCTTCCGATACAACAAAGCACCGCCATCTTTTGCTTTGACTCTAGGTCAATCGTAGACGGGTAGTTTAATCCTTTAAAAAATTCAGTCTTTTGGCATCAATGGGAATATCATGGAATATCTACTAACCAGCTACGAAATCATTTTTGTTGCAGGGTATCTAAGATTGGCCATGGATATTTTTTAGAAGGCCACATGGTGTTTAAGCAAAAATCCAGGTCGATTTCTTCACCAGTCGAGGTCACAAGAGACAATCGCAGCTTATTTCAATATCCGGCCTCCCATGATCCAACAACGCTCGCCTGGAGCGACGGCGCTGTGCAGATTTTCATTGCTGGGGCAAAGAGCCACTTGGCAACGCGTGGACAGTGTCCTGTTCTGGCGAATGTGGGTCGCAACCAAAGCTGTGGTTTGTCTGAAGATGATGGGAAAAGCCCAAAAATACCATGATAAACATACAAAAAACTATGGAAAATCACAATTTTTCATGGGACATCCACTAAAAATACCCATTGGTTTATCATTCTTCTACCGTGATATCCCCCATTTTGAGACATACCCGGTAGACTGTGTAAACTCGCTGGTCAATTTGGATAGCGGATAGAAACCAAGTTAACGGATATTTTTAACCACCAGAAAGGCGGATGTCATGTACTGGTGCATCATCCTAGGGCTAGCAAGTAGGGTCATGTTTTCCTGTTGCGTTAGCGAACCGAGGGAGAACTAGTGGCTATGGCTGCATCGTAACTATCGTTTTCTGGCCAAATTTGGAGGTAGATACCCTAGCCGCCTAGCCGCATTGAATCAATGATTGGAAAATCAAAGAATAGAGGATAATGAGGAATATCAACTGTTAAATCAAGCAAGTACTTAAACTGCCGTATATTGAATAGGATAGCTGTCAAACTGGGGTTTTGCCATTTGATCATTTTTCAGCCAGCTACTTGTTATGTACAAATGCGATGTAATCTCAAATGCTACAACCGTGCATAGCCTGTTGAATGTTGAAAGGTTTTGTCCAGATAAAATTCAAATCAGATTGTCGTTTACGTCCATACATCAACCAGTAGACAATTGCTTGAACCGAAAAATCTCATATATATATATATGTATATAAATATATGGGTTGTCTGAAAATGAGGTACACCGGAAAACGGCCGGAAAACGAAGGCTTTTCCAGGTTGTTGTCTTTCATTTCCCAACAATTTCTACGGTTTCACCCTCGGGTAATTTTCCGCAGCTATGGAACGTGTATGAAAAGATACCATATAGTTGGATGATCTTAAGATTATATGATTTACCTTCTCTGGTTGGTGGTTTGGAGTTTGGAACATGAATTTTATTTTTCCATATATTGGGAATAAGGTGAACAACTGACTTTCATATTTTTCAGAGGGGTGGAAACCACCAGGTCGCGGGCGCGTCAGGCGCCTGGCGTTTTTATAGCGTTTCTGCATCAAAACATCTCTTTTCAACTCTTTTAGCAGTTGTCGGCGTCGTTGTTTTTCACCAACTTTGCCAGCTCTTTCAGCATGACCAGTGGTGTACAAGTTTGGAGATTACATCTCCACACATATTGGAAGTAACGACGTCGCAGAGATGGATTCATCTCTGACCCCACCAAAGTCTTCACTTTTCTGTGAAGATTGGAAAAAACAAATTTCTTCAGAGAACGTGCAGTAGCGTAGCATCACATAAGTGTGCAAGTCCAATGAACGTTAACATCCCCCCCCACCCACCCACCCACCCCCCAACGAACCCATTTAACACAGAAAACACACGAAATTACCAGGCGCCTGGTGCGCCCGCTGGCAACCACCAACCAGTTATTGGTATCATGATTTTCATTATTATCATAACTGCCATTATTATCAGTCACCGTTCTTTTTCAACTGGTCACTTTCCAGTTCGCAAAGTGTATCACTTTTTCAGTTAAGTTACCAGTTTGGGTACATCAAACATCATCAAACTACATTCCAATGGTAAAAAGTTGATGGCAATCCCTGTTCATCCCTATTGAATCAATATATCACCAAAGAATATATCACCATAGACGATTAATAGATACGAAAAATGGGATATATATGGATATTTATATAGACTATATAGATATTCACCAAAACATATGAAAACATAGACTTAACTTAATTTTCACCATGTTTCAGATCTTGTTGCTTACCCTATGAAAATATCACCAGTTGATATCACCAGTTGAGCTACATCCAGATCTGCAGGTGACCTGCTGCGCAACGTCACGGTGCCCGTGGTCATGGCCATTTTTAAAGGGAAGGAGCGGTTGTGGAACTGCGGGTAAAAACCATGGTTTTACGGTGGTTTTACTGTGATTTACCATGGTTTTACGGGTGTCCCCAACCTTGGATGGGTAGTTTAATTAGTTGTTTACTATAGATGATGTGCTAATGTTTTTTTTGGTGAGTTGTGTTGTATGTAGGGATATATTGGTTAACTTAATGTTTTTTGATATCACTACATGCTATATATATATATATCTATATATATATATCTATATATATATATATATATATATCCCTGTATCCGTTGGTTGGTTAATTTGTTGGAACCAGGACTAGGGACTTAAATACCCAACTAGTATTTCATGAGATGGGAAAGTAGCCAAAACCCTGAGTTAGTCATCTATTTGGTTATCCTTAAATTTCCATGAATCTGGTTCATAGCTATGGAATGATTGACCAATGATGAATTCCTGACCAATGATGAATTCCCTGAGCTATTCCTGTCAAGAACCACATAGCCACATAGCTATGCCACAGCTAAGTTGGGTTCCAACGTTTGATTCCATTTGTTGACAGCCCAAACCCCGCAGGCAGTGCCCAGTGATAAGTTGGTTTATCATTCCATCTCTAGTAAAGATATGTAAAGATAAATATTTATTTTATAATACTAATAAAATAACAATAATAATAAATAGTAATAATAATAGCAATATTATATATAATTGTATATATATATATATATTATGTGTAAACGCAAAACCAGCCGTCATTGATAGTAGTTATGAACCTGGCTATCATACATCAAATATACATCCACATGCACTTTCGGTATGATCATCTCCATGTTTGGCCGATCCATCGATCGAACTTGCGAGCCCAATCCCGGAGGACCCAAGCTTGACCACTGGAGAGAAAAGTGTGAGCCGTGATGAACTCTTAGAGGAAGGAGGCGTGCGCCGGAGTGTCAGCCACCAAAAAGGGGATTCTATAACTGGGAACTTGGAAGATCGGAGAAATCTCTTGGGAATAGTTCAAGGAACTGTTGAAAATATTTGAAAATGAATGAATAGGAAACTAAAGATTGAAAGACATTAACTAAAGGTGGATTTTGTCGAAATATTGTTTGGGAATGGTTTAAAACTAATAGGAAAAACAGATTTGAATCCTGAACATAGACCAAGATAGGATGGGTGTGTCAGAAAATGGGGTACACGTCCCTAGTCGTTGCCTAAAAAATCTTAGTGGGGGAAGAAGATGAGACTCCCTTGGGATTGGTATCCTATGTACTCTTGGAGTCCCATGTGTTCCAACACCACCAATCCCTTCCCCCCAATCAATACCTCCCAGCAAGCACGGTGGATGGGATGGAAAATATGGAAAAATGGGAAAAAACCCGAAAGATTACGTTTTGAATGGGGAACATGATGATGAACCAGTAGATTTTGGCCATATATTGGTTTCATGCCTGTGTTTTGGATGGAAAAGCTCCAGGTCTCGTTCCATATCTTCCCAGGTGGCGTGACGTTACCAGCACTGTTGGCTGCCCGTGGGGTGTCTCCACAGCATCCACAGCCGGGATGGCCCTTGATTCAGCGAGCGCTGGACCTTTGGGCAGCTATGGGATGGGACAAGAGTTTCACCTTCAACGTGGGTGCCTGGGATCTCAATGGCGCAGTGGGCCCAAAAAAGAAACAGTGAAAACAAATAATGGGTTTATTTCATGATATATAAGCTTGGTTATAATAGCATATATATATATATATGCAGTATATATATATATATAGAGGTTATATAATTCCATTCTTAACTTTTAAGGGCCATAACTGTGATGAATGCGTGGACCACCAATTAAATGGGTGTACTCGTACCAGTGGCGAGGCACTCGGAATGGAACCGTCTTCACCTACACCAAAGGCAATGGGACGAAACCGGGGACGAGGGGCATCAGCAACTGCAACTGGGCACTAAGAACATACGATGTAGAAATGGCATGAAATGGAGCCTCAGTTGGAAGAGGAATTGTGAAGTAGGACCAAGTAGGGTTCATCTCAATCCCTCTTTTTTGAAATCATCCAGAATAAAGCATACCTTGGGGACGCTTCTGGGCTTTGTGGATTCCACATTCAGGAGACCGATTGGCGGATGTCCGTGCAGATAATCCATCGGTGCTTGGTGATATTTCTGACTATTCCTCCTTTTTTCAGCTTCAAGGGTGGGACATCAAGGTATATTGCTCCCAAATATTCCATGAAAAGCTTCAAGAGCATTTTTTCTGCAGTAGCATGTTTATATAGGTAATTTTAGAGATTCATGTCAAAGGTCAAGTATTATTTACATTATCTATATATATACATGGAACTAGTATTGATGAAGCAATCTTGGTTTGCTAAGTAATTTTGTTATTTTGCCATCAATAGAGAGGAATATCCTATCCTATCAAAACATATTCACATGTGTTTTTTTGCGGACATTTGATGTCCACAGTTGCAAGGTGGTGCCCCCTCAGTTTTGTTTGTTGGTATTGTTTCACCCCCATGAGCTAATTCGAGATATCCTCCACAAACCCAATCGTTATTGGAGTTATGTGGCCCCGAACTTTGGGATTTCGTCGCCTGGTGGCCCCACATCGAAGCCCGACAGGTACCACCGACATGAACAGGCGCTTGCCCGGTGCTAGCCTTTCGAAGTGGCCAGCAACGCTGACGATCGCTGGTTTGGTGGCAGATGGCAGCTTGGCCATTTTTTCTGGCAAGAAAGGAGGGTATAGCACGGGGGTTACTTGGGGGTGCAGGTGAGGTTATTTGGTGTTATTGGTATTTATTGGTATGTACCCTCTGGTAATCAACCTAGCACTTGAATTTACAGACAAATTTCCCATTTCAACTTCCATTTATCACCTTTACCTAGATGACTGGCAAATCATAAGTCGCAGGTGCACGAGTCCAATGGCAGAACAGGGCCGTAGCCTACCCACATGCTACTAATATGTGTGCTTACATGACTTATATAGTCTTTTTAGTGCATGCTGGGCATAGATCTGCCAGGCATGGAGTTTTCCCAGGTACTATGTCTTTCGACGACAAAGCCAACAAATACCTGGATTGGTGGTCCAAAGATCCAAGCGATCCACGAAGCAACATCACTTTGCGCCACCTTCTGACCTTCCAGTCAGGCGTTGCGTCGCAACGGGGCACCGCTGGCAGGAGTTCAAGGTTGTCCGTACCAAGGGTACCCCTATTTTTTATCATAATTTTGCCCATTAAAATAGCAAGTTGGGGTGTATACCATGGTATACCCCCCATTTTCAGACCCGATATACTCTCTTACCTTGTAATGCAGATGTCATTTCTTGGCACAGGCAAATGACATCTACGTTGAAACAACTTCAACGGCTTTTATTTCGGCCTACGTTAAGGGTCGTGAGAGAGCCTGCGTTGAACTCATTTTATTAGAAACTATCAAGCAATTGATGAGCATACAGTGGGACAAGTGTTTTCCCCTTCAAGATCCCCTTTAATGCAGTTTTATAAAATTATATCAGGTGTATCATCATAATTACTATTGTTGCTAGTGTCATCCATTTGTTGTGATTGCTCTATGAATTCTTACCATTTGATTGCTTCAACAAGTATCATTTGGGTTGGCCATTGTCAGCATTTAATACATTTACTTGAGCGTAAGACATGTTTATGGATTTGTTTGAAAATTGGGTACCCTAAATTTAATGGTTGTCATAATTTGTTCCAATAAATGTTACTATTTTTTGTTGAGGGCTGTAATGGGCATGAATATTCAGACACACTCATGATCACAATAGCTTTCAAAGCACCCCCCAACTAGAAAGAAATGATGGTGAAAACATTATTTGTACATATCTATACTACTCTGTACCATCCTGGAACTTCTTTTCTGCATTTTTTGGGGCTTACTCCAAGCAAAAAAAATGTGAGTGTATGGGGGGTACTTGAACTATATCCAACTAGTGAATGGGGAATATAAGCCAGTTATATAATGTTATAGTGTATATATATATATATATGTTGTATAGCTGGTAAGTAGAATAAACTGGCCAGGACCATCAACTGGATGAATAGCTGTTGATGAATGTCATAGTATATGTTATAATAAACTGGTCAATCATCAACCGACCAGCCTCCATGACTAGAACGAAAATCTCAGCAACTCACCGGCCCAAAAGATGGGAATTCTTGTCGCCTGAAAAAAAGCAGATATCATGTTGGTTAATGTTGGTTATAATATATATATAATTATGTATATATATATATATATAGATATATATATACATATGTATATATATATATATACATACATATATATATATATGTCAGCCATAGTACGGTCCCCCTCCCCCTTTTGGTGTGGTGGGGGTGTGATACTGTATCGATGGTAGGTATGGTATGTCAGTCTGTTGGGTATGGTATGTTTGATATGACAGTATGTATGGTCTGTATGGGTATGTATGGTTACTATGATGGGTATGGAATGTTTGCATTGTAAGGTAGATATGGTACGTATGGCATGTATGTTTGGTATTGTATGTATGGGAGGTGTGGTAATTTTGTTTCATATGTATGGTATGTGTGGTATGCATGATAGGTATGATAGGTATGGTATGTACGGTCAAAGTTCGTATGGTATGTATGGTATGTATGGTATCATTGGAATGTATGGTAGGTACGGTATATGTTAAACCCATGTAGTGTTGTGAGAGTACACAGGTAGTAAATAGGAAGTAGATACATAGCACATAGCACATGTATATATGACTATAGGTAGCACGTAGGTACTTTGAGGGAGTATGTGTGCTACGTAGGTCGTCTAAAAGGTAGCATGTACCTAGTAAATGCGAGGCTGTTAGTCAGACATGCTGCAAAGACCTAGCAAATACGAGGCTGGACCTCAGAAATGCTGCCAATAGCTTGCAAATAGAAGGAAAGGGGGTGCTACTTGGGGACCCATACCACTGGGCAGGGTGGGGGGGGTAGGAACACGGAACACGAGACCATATATACGCCCATTATATCCCATTGTATCCCAATATCCCCCCCGTGAATGTCCCACTAAATCCCCATGTCACCGGCCGGCCGCATTGCGTCCTTGTCCGAAGGATACACCTCGGATCCACGGGTGCTGTGTCAGTACAATCCCTTCGCGAACTTCTTGAAGTGTGCTGCTAGGCTCTGGCGGTGAAAGGGGGCAGGTCCTAGGGGCAGTGTCGGTTGGGGATTCATCAGATATCTATTTGGGAAGCATCAAAGATTTGGGGATAGGCAGATCATCGATTATGGTTGGTTGATGATTAGTGATTAGTGAGGTGGTACTAGCCTTCATATATTGAGGATTCTCACAGTTGAACTGGGAATCCCGTGACCTTAACCAACCAGTATGAGAGAACAATGGATCATATGATCTATATATCACCCTTATCCGAAATTCATCAAGGTGAACTGTTGGTGTCGCAATGAATTATAGTTTTTCAATTACTTTACCATATTCTATGTTTGCAAGGTGATTATCCAATATTAGCCATGATTTTTGGATTGGTTTCAATCATCTAAATTGATCTTCAGGTCTAGTTCGGGGGTAAACACCACATATCCCAGTGAAAGCTCAGCTGGTAGCCCCCATGTCATGCTGATCAGAGACGGCAATAGATTGGGTAGCATTCATCTCAGATAAAAGTGCTAATGAGGTGATGTATAACATTCCCAACTCTTCATGCTGGGGATGTACGCAGCAGGGCTGAGGAATAACGGAATAATGATGAATAGCGAGGATACGATCAACAAAGACATGGATAAAGTCGCCACGGATGGCTGCTGTGATTTGACATGGCGGTAGATAAATTCTTGTTGGTGCGTAGGCACAGAAAGTATGAAAAGAAACATATTATAAGACAGGATATACATACAAGGTGGTGCCCCCTGGTTATACACTGAAAGTTGTTTTGTTAAGACCTTTTCACGCCTAGTTAGCCATAGGTACCGGGGCACCACCGAAACGTACCGAAAGTTTCACGGCGGATCAACAAACTCCAAACTTCGGGTCATTGGGGTCCAGGATGTTCCAGGACATGAAACCATATACCCTCTGGGTAAACATACATAACGATGGAAAATCACAATTTTAATGGGAAAACTCACTATAAATGGCAATTTGCAATAGCTTTTTGTATGTTTACCAGAGGGTAGTGGCGATGTTTTTTCTCGAAACCAGGGTGAGCAGAGGGATGTTTCCTTTCGGCAAGCCGACCCATCAATGGTCATGCAACAGGAAGCGATAAATATTGGAGGTACCTACCATGAGGCCTAAAATTCAAAAAAAATACGGGAATATCCCTAGAACATATGCAAAAAACATATGTTAACGTACCTCCATTTTAGGGTCCTGAAATTCCCAACCCAGGCTGAGACCTTGTACAAATCCGCCAAGATCTCGTCTCCACCAGGACTTTCGGATTTTTAGGGACCTCACGATACAAAGCCACCGTTACGGGTTGATTTTCAAGGGAACATATCTGGGAGGCGGTAGATTATGCCTTAAACATCCTTAAACTGCTAGGAGCTATAGATGATGGTTACTTCGTCAAGGGGAATCATCCCCACATAACTTTTCGCATGTTGAGGACCTTAAACTGCTGGGGCAGGAGATGGACAGTTACCTGGACTTTGGTTATTACACAGTCACAACGAAATATTGTGTTTTTTTAATTTTAAATATGCGTTACTTGCTGGTGAACATGCTTCCCCAATTTCCCAGAATTGGATTATCAACTAGTTAACTAGTTATCAACTAGATGTTGATGGTATACACCAGCTTTACTTGGTAGATTTTGGTGTTTTTAAACGTAATGTATGTTCAACCCTTTTTGGGCTGATGATACCAGCTGACGTTTTTTCTTTCGGGAGATGGCTTGACACGATTGATGAAACCACCAGGGTTTTTAGACATGGATTTGCCTGAAAATAGGGTACCCTAAATCCACTGGTTAATTGTGAGTATTATTGTCAAGCAAACAATATTTACCCACTAAAAAACCAGCTATTCTAGTGGTTTCTGGTTAATAGCTGTTTAAATATCATTTTCCTCACTAAACAGCTATCGTGAGTAATTATTATTGTCAAACAAACCCATATACACCCAGATATCGTTTGTTGTTGGATCATACACCCATCATATTCCATTGAACAAATAACACATGAAAAATGCTTGGTTTTAAAGCCCCAGTTAGCCAACACTCGTGTTTGGAAACATCCCTTACATAGCCCTTACACAGCCCTTACATGGGCCTTACATAGGCCTTATATGGGCCTTACATATTGTAGGTATCTATAATTTAGGTACCTCCAATTGAGCTGATTTTCCCAGCCAGAAACCTCCCATTTACTCTTGGGGATTTTCCCAGCCATGGTTGAGGACACCGCTCATCCCATTTCATCCTTGTCATCCCACAAAAATCCACCATTAGATCCATACACCCACCATGAAACTCCAAGCAACCAAAACTTTAAGCCATTTTGAGCCATGAACCATATAAATCACCATTTTTTAAGCCACTATGAAACTCACCAAAATCGGGTACCACCCAATCTCACGGCGCGTGAAACGACCTCCAGGAAAGACCTGGTCCTACATTTCCATCCACCTCCAATTGGCTGCTGCCATGGCAGTAAGCGCTTCGGGCCTGGCACCGGACGTGATCTTCCAGCGATATCTCTACCAACCCTTAGGCGGGCGATGGATGATGGATATGTTTTTTATGTGTAGAATATGTAAAGAAGTGTCTATATATCATATTATATGTGTCTATACGTTACACATCTGTATGTATGCATATATATATATATATACACATATATACGCGCAACGCCTGGGTTTTGCCCAGGCGTTGCAGCGTAGAGGTTTCCCATTCCCAAACAAATGCTGATGCAACTTCACAAAATTCCTATGGGGAAAACAACAAAGGTACTAGGGAATATTAAACTCCCACCCCGTTAAACCTTAAATTCCTTTGGGAAAATCACAAAAGTACTAGGGAATATTAAACTCCCACCCCCGTTAAACTTTACATTCAATTGGGAAGATCAACAAAGGTACTAGGGAATATTAAACAGTTACTCCCGTTAAACCTTGAATTCCTATGGGATAAAAACAACAAAGGCACTAGGGAATATAAAAATCCCACCCCCGTTAAACTTTACATTCAATTGGGAAGATCAACAAAGGTACTAGGGAATATTAAACTCCCACCCCCGTTAAACCTTACATTCATTGAAGATCTACAATAATGGTTTAATTCTCCCACCCCCGATCTTCAATAAGGGTTTAATTCTCCCCACCCCGTTAAACTTCTACATTCATTGAAGATCTTCAATAAGGGTTTAATTCTCCCAACCCCGTTAAAACATTCATTTCTACATTCATTGAAGATCTTCAATAAGGGTTTAATTCTCCCACCCCCGTTAAATTTCTACATTCATTGAAGATCTTCAATAAGGGTTTAATTCTGATGATGATGATGATGATGATGATGATGATGCGTCGCCTGTCGTCATTGCGGGTCCGGGCAAAACCCAGGCATTTGCCGTATATATATATATATATATAAAAATATATATATATATATATGTTATTTTATATGTGTGATATATATATATACGTATACAAATAATACACTTATTATATATATATATATGCACAAAAACAACTAGAGCCTATAGCATGCATATAAATGTTTAGTTGGAACAGTTTTATCATGCAAAGCTTTGCAAGCAATTCTTTGGCGCCTTCGCTTAGCGAGCACAGGCATGAACGGCACCAGCTGGTTTCCCAAGAAGAATCCCATGATGGCCGCGGGGATCGTTACAACTGGAGCAGACTTTGAAAAGATGCTAAACAAGATGCTTCTTGGATGGCCAGGAGAATGGTAACTGGTGCTAACTGATGGCAAAAAGAGCTACTGAAAACACAAATCATGTTCGTTTTTTTTTTTACGAATTGCATTGCCTTATTGGGATTGAACAAACACTTCCGTGCTGGATATTGAGAATATATATAATATATATATATATATAATGAAAAGTGATTAAACGTGTTTCCAGGATGGTAAAGATGATATACATATGTATATATACAATATGATGTTATATGATATATTTTTATATATATAATATCATACATTTATCACATTATATTTTATATATTATTATATATTATATTGTATATACATATTAAATATTATATATACATTATATACATATACATATACATATTATATCTTATATATATATGTATTAAATATACTTCATGTTCCCAGGTTTTCCACTATACCTATTTCGGGGTTGCCATCAAGTACCACTAAAAGACCAGGCTCAGCTACGAGTTCTTGGGCCAGAAAGTCTTGTCCGAGATGGAAGAAGATTGGTCGGCGCCTGTCTCCCCCTGCGGCGATGGCTGGTTCGGACACTATGGTGGCTTGGTACTGGCTTCGTTGCCTTTAAAAAATACAACTGGTTGGTGATTTGGAACATGAATTTTTATGATTTTCCATATATTGGGAAGTTCATCATCCCAACTGACGAAATCATATTTTTCAGAGGGGTAGGTCAACCACCAACCAGACAAGGTGGTGCCCGAGTTTCTTCGGTAGCTCCAAAACACTAGGCGAAGTGTCTTGTTGGGATATATCGCAGTAATTCAGTGGGTTTATTTATAAGCGGCTTATCACTTGGAGGCACCGTTTTGTATGGATTTGTCAAGAAATGGGCCCCCCTTCCAAAATGGCCTGACGATGATTTTCCTATCGGAAATTGCATGAAACTGCCATGTTTGGGTTATATATCTTATTTTTGGAGGGCTGTTGTTTGGATCTTGCCAGGTAAAACCTTGGTAAATCGTTTAGGTTATGTAGGGTCTAGGGGTCCCATTTTCCTTTCGGATCAGGAAGGCTGAACTCAGTTGGCTGATCTTTAACCCGAAGCCTGAAAAAACACAAGTGAATGCTCACATTACCACTATTCACTATTTTCACAATTGCTACTACCTATTGTTTACTGGTTTATGGACCTTTTATGAACCATCATTTTAGATCTTACCCTGCGGTAATCAAATGTGGCTGGCTGGACAGCCCTCTATATACATGGAGCTTTCGTTCGCTGGGAGAAACATCTATGGGGATTTCACGCCAGGTTTGATGACTACCAGATAGTACCTCTAGTTACTCGATGTATAACCATAATTAGTTATAACTATATATGTTTATGATTATCCCATGTTTATCCCCATCAAATCCCAATTGTTGATGGTTATGTCCCCATGTTCCACTTGCTTTGATGGTTCGGTTCACCTAAGGAATGGGTCACTGGTTCGACTGCATGGGCTATGGCTCAGGACAGGCGAAAGGGAGCAGTGCCCAGCTCTCGCAGTGGTGCGCGGACGAAATCTAACCGCATGTTGGAGTCCTGGGTGGGGTGCACCCTGGTTCGTACACGGTAAAGGCCCCTGTCTATGATAGCTAAGCCAACCCATGGCCCAGAAAAAATACCGATGATGAAATTGGGATAACGGGGAGATATTGTGAATATGATCGAAATTTCACTGGGATATTGATGGGGTATATAACCAGGAATGATGGTGCATCATAGAAAAATGGGGTTCAACCAGCAAAATCGTGACTTTATGGGAAATTCATGGGGATAGACATAGAAGAATGGGATATCGATACGACAATCTGAGACTCCTTATGAACCATTGTGCGACATCCCCAGCTATAGATGGCGCTTAAACAAAAAAACGTGTGGGATTATATACTTGGAGGATCACACCATGATCCTAGTAACTGGTGAGCGTAAACCTGGGGTTAGGAATAAGCCATTTATGGGATAAGCCACTGGGGACAGACGATCACCGATCACCAGTGTTACTTTCACCACAACCACGATACGTGGGATGATCCAGGTAGGCTATGGGATCTGGGAGGTGATATATCTTGGGATCTGGGTATAGCGACCTCACTGTTCTCCGGATTCGCGAGCTGGAAATCATCCCCATGGTGGGCGTCCTCACTTTTCAGGTTGACTTTACCCAGATGGGATGTCCCATGACATGTATCACAATAGGTGGGGATAGAGCAACCACGCAAATTCGACTGTACTACTTGCTTGGTCTCTTTTGAAGGCTAGGTGTTCGGGCTGGAAAACAAACCCTCCAATTTTGGTAATCCAATTTAGCACGAAAAATGAGCAGCAGCCGGTAGCCAGTTTAATCCTATCATTTCTTGGATTCTAAACTTTGTAAACCATTATTTTTTTTATATATCATTATATATCCCCATGGTTGGTTTCTTAGTCATCTCTCTTAGTCATCTCAGTCCCATTGGATGAATGCCCAAACGAAGCCTAGGAGAAGATCCAAGCAGGACCTGGTGCCTTTGGATTCTTCCCCTTGATCGATCGTAAGAGAGGCCAACTGGCCGCAGGATGGGCCTGTCGCACTTTGTCAAAGACCGAGAAGCACTTGATGATTCAACAGCTGGTTGGTGGTTTGGAACATTTTTTATTTTCCCCAATAGCTGGGATGATGATCCAATCTGACTTTCATATTTTTCAGAGGGATTGAAACCACCAACCAGACAGGATTTAACTTCAAAAACCGAGAGAACATGGGTTTTTTTTGTTGCTTTCTCTTTTTTAACCTTGGCAATTGGAAGACCACTATGAATGGAGTCGTTAAATGGACGAGTCAACTATAGGGGATTTCCCATTGCCACGTTTGATTGCCCGAGGTTCGCTGATTCAACCGACCGAACATGTGGTGATTTATGAGCCACCACAGAGAGTGAGATTTATATATATATATAATTGATTCAACCTGGAAACCATTGGGATTGGGATTTCACTAGCAACTATGAATATATTTGGGTACATTTAGCAAACTGCTACATAGCAAACTGACAATGACCAAAGCCGGTAAATGAAGGTTGGTAAGGGTGCTATCCCATGCAAAAACAAAGCTTTTGCAGGTATGCTAGAGGTGAGGTTGATTGGTGACGGGGTTCAAGCTGCCCTTCTGAAATATTCTGAGGATGGCCGTTCTACTGATATTAGGAGCTCTCCCGGGGCCGTTGACTTTCCCAAATCCACTGAATCAGAATGTCACTATACGGTGCCATCTCAGAGGCTATGTCCCGTTTTGAGACACAGCCGTATACTTTCTGTTTGCTCTGAAGTTTCATGGGTGTTTCTGAAGTATTCATCCGAACGACTGGAACTGCGTCGCTCAGGTTACTACATGCAGATTGTTCTTAAGGAGGCTGCTCCCAGTTGCCTCAAAACTGAGGTTAACTAAAAACAACTGAACAAGAAAGAAACTATAGTTGTTTTTTCACCCCATCCTCTTGTATCCTTGGGTTAATTGTGAACCAACTTACCTTTCAAAGCGGGGCCCACGTTGCACCATGTTCATGATGTTTTGGCATTTGCTCTCCACGTGATTTCGGTGTGATCCTGGTGATACAAAACGAAGTTCGGATTCTTCACTGTGCCCCAAAGTGATGAACAGTTAATGGTAACTATGGTGTTAACTATGTTGTTAACTAAGTGTACAATGGTGTTAACTATGTTAACTATGTTGTTTTTTCTCCCTTAACACTTCAACATCACCAGCTACAACTCTTTTAACTCTCCGAACGAAATTTATCCGCATGGCGATTTCGATTTAACTGGGAAATCTTCACGTTTTTTTTTACGGTGGGTTTTAAAAGTCAAGTTCGATCGTCGAACGAAACGATTGGGGGATTTTAATGAAGATCCGCTCGTTTGTTGCTGCCGCCATGGCAGCAGCTGTCCGAAAGCACAGTACTATGGCCCAACGAACACTTATTTTTATGGAATTCTAACTCCTATAACATCCTATAACTAGGGTTTTATAAGTTATATATATCATTAAAAGCTTATATATTGACAGGTTATATCTCATTATACGGGGCCCGAGAAAAAAAAAACATTAAATAAATCCATCAAAAAACTCTCGTGTTCATTGGGCCATTTCACTGGCAGGATTCGAAGTGTCGGAGCGAGATCCCCGAGTATCTTCGCATCTTGGCAAAGCCCTTGGTGGACGCCATCCTGGAGAAGCGCAGCGCTACGGAGCGGGAGCTCTTCGAAGGAACGCAACTTTTTGCGGGGGGCCGGGGAAGAAAAAAGGGATGGAAAAATGGAAGGAACCAGAAAATGTTGAAAAGTCGTGGTTGTAGAAAATCGCAACTTGGATCAACTTGGAAAAATAATTAATGGAAGAAATGTGTTTGTTGGGTTTGTAAGCTGGACAATTGATGAAACATCCTACATTGTAATGGGAAAATATGCGAACATGATGTCTGTATGGAACATTTTACCTCTGATACCCGCTGGTCACCCTCATCAGCAGCTGCTCCCTCTAGCAGAACATACTGGTACTTTGATGGTTGCATGATGTTACATAGGATTATCACCGTACCCCCATCTATATAATTATATAGCTATTGCACTGCCAACATTGAAACCGAAGAAATAACATGTTTTCAGAAAAAAAACAGAAAGGACTGTTGTGGCCGCCCAAATCTCACACTTAATATGTATAAAGAATACTTCCTGTGAGATTTGGGTGTCACAACATCCCCTTCCGATAACTTGTGTTCTTGTGAGATTTGGGTGTCACAACATTCCCTTTCCGATAACTTGTGTGTTGATATCTGTTCAAGCCCCAAGGATTAATCTGGATTAATCTGGGACCAAAAAAACAAAAAAAAACAAAAAAAACAAAAAAAAAAAACAATGTTTTCAGGACTACTTGGATCAGGGCTATCTTTAGACTAGTCTCCAAAACATTGTTTTTTTTGTTTTTTTTTGTTTTTTTGGTCCCAGATTAATCCAGATTAATCCAAGCTAATCTACGATCATCAGATCTATTTAACATTTAAGTACTAACATGTGGTTGGCTAATTTTCTATATTCTCTGGTCATCTGCCTTTATTGGCTTTTAGCGCCGCTCTCTCTGTGTCTGGACTCCTGAAGCAAGTTAATCTAAGATCATCAGATCTATTTAACTACTACTTTCTAACATATGGTTGGCTAATTTTCTATATTCCCTAGTCATCTGCCTTTATTGGCTTTTAGCGTCGCTCTCTCTGTGTCTGGACTCCTGAAGCTATGGCATGTGGTTGGCTAATTTTCTATATTCTCTGGTCATCTGCCTTTATTGGCTTTTAGCGCCGCTCTCTCTGTGTCTGGACTACTGAAGCAAGTTAATCTAAGATCATCAGATCTATTTAACTACTAATTTCCAACATGTGGTTAGCTAATTTTCTATATTCCCTGCTCATCTGCCTTTATTGGCTTTTAGCGTCGCTCTCTCTGTGTCTGGACTCCTGAAGCTATGGCGGACATCTTCAACAAGGCGTGTCAAATCTCTACCACGCTGCAATGTTCATCCTTGGCATCTGTTATGTCTGTGACAACCGAGCCGCAACATGACTTCGACGTCATCCCCAAGAAGAAGTTGCAAGGCACCTCCAAGATCAAGGCTGCTATCGAGATTCTGAAGTTTACTCCAGTCAATGGTCTGGAATTGGATGCCATGGTTGCCATCATCGCCCAGAAAAAATATGAGCAACTTCCTGGTCCTCTTGCCCTCAAGAATGAAATCCCCATACCCTTCACTATGCAAATGGTCTTTCGCAAGATCAATGCTCGGGAATTCCAAGTTCTTCGACATTTCAACTTTGAACAAAAATTAGATTCTCGTTTGCTGATGTCTGCTGTGTCTGGCGAGCTTTACCTCCTCGACTATGGCAAGAATTTCAGAAGTGGAGCATTGGGATTTCAATTCCTCTTGGAAAAGCTCGGTGACTTTGCCATTCTGGCCTTTGAGTTTGTGCCCAAGAAGACCGGGAAACCACCCAAAGCAAAGACTGCATTAGAACTAGGTTTTGACCACATCAAAAAGAATGGCCCTAGAAGCAACATGGGAAATAGACAAACTGAATGGGCAGAAATTGAAATTCACAGAGAAGAAAGCCCAATTTTTGGATGGACTGCTGGACTCGTGAAGGAAAGTCTCCGCGGCTACGCCAATTCCAACATCTTTGTCGAGCCCACCTACAACTACTTCTTGACTATGTATGACCTCAGTAGTTGGTTTCTGAGAATTCTTCTGTGGAGAACCATGCTACCAATGCCTTGGACGATGACAACCCTACAGCCATCATTTGTGAGGATTCCTATGTGGACAACCATGGTGCCAATGTCTTGGACGATGACAAGCCTGCTGTTGAGTCTCCTACCGGTGAGGTTGAAGCTGATGTCTTGGACGATGCCAAGCCTGCTGTTGAGTCTCCTACCGGTGAGGTTGAAGCTGCGGAGGATCACCATAGTTCCAATGGCGCTGATTCAAGCGATGCGTCGTCAACATCTTCCTCTTCGTCATCGGCTACCAGACTTCGTGCAACGATTCAGCGCTCAGTGTCTGCTCTCCAGGAGATCCATGACATTGTTAGTGACAGTTGCCCAGATTGTGCAGATGCCCTGTTGCAAATCCAAGATTCACTAGCACAGGCCTTGAAATGAAGCTGCACTTGAATGCTCCGTTGTGTATGCTGACTTCGTCTTCCATCGCGCATTGCTCTTGGCATGAAAAAAATCTGTCTTGCGCTCCGCCGGGCTCCATAACCAACTCTTCAAAATGTGTAGGTTTCCCAGTGAAATAGTTCATGGTTAATTAAAAACTTGACAACAATAGTTAAAAAAGAGGCGGCCACAACAGTCCCCTCCCAAAAAAAAATACGAAATAATTAGAATACATTTGTTTTTAATGTTTTAAATATGCGTTGAACTTTCCAGCCAACATTTAAAGATATAGTTTTTAACATTTTTTGGATTTTGTTGGTTGTGCTACCATGTTTTGTTCGGCAACACCTCTCCACATCCTATCTGATCGATGAGTGATTCTGAAGCATTCTTCATTTCACCAGCAATGTCGGGGTTTCAGTCTGGTTACCTCCGTTTTTCGGAAATCAAGGCCCATAAATTTGGTTGCTTTGACTGTCAGGGTACATACATCATAAGATATTGTGCAAGATTTAGATATGTTAAAACCATATCCATGGTCCACAGTTTTGGCCCAACGAACAGGCATTTGCTTGGAATGAAATAACTCCTAAAACATCCTACAACTATAGGATTAGATTATATGATCATTAACAGTTTATATATCATGAAAGAAAGGGCCCATATATATATATACATATTTATATATATATATATCATCATCATAAACCCATAAAAATAAACTGTTAGTTGGGCCACAACTGCAGAGATCCCTCTGTTAAAAGCGCTGCCGAGCCAGGACGCGGCGCTCTCATCCTGCGAGAGGTTTACGACATCTACAAGTCGCTTCCGCCCAGACGCTGGGCGGTGGGTCATGGAAATCCGCTAAAAAAACAAAGGCAGAAAAAAAATATGTAGTTTAGTATAGCTTAATATAATCTATATGCAGTATAGTTTTTTAATGCAGGAAAAAAACGATTGGATAGGTATACCTAGTAGAGTTTTAGTACAACTTGATCTTCTGGTTGTTTGAAGCCAAGAATGTAGTAGTGCAAGGCAACACCTACAGGAAACCCTGTTAAATTAGGGGTTAGACACATTCGAAACCATGTTTTTCTGGTTTCACTTTTCCCTTAAATCAACCCCTTTTTTTTGAGCCATAGATGTGTTTTCACCATCATCTTCCTCGGTCCACTCTTCAAGCTCGTACTTTTGCAATTTTTCCTGTGTGAATCTTTGGCACCGATATTCCATCAGATTCCACATGGGTTTCTCATGTTTACATCCAACAGGACCGTTCCGTGCCAAGGATGTTGGCCCTTGGGCGAGCAGATTCAAATCTAAGCCGACGCTAAGATGCCAACCATCTGTTGGGGAGTTTCAGCACTCTGTCACGTGTGTGGTGTCTAAAGATATAAATATTATATATATATGATATATTATGATACATTAGTGCGTATATATATATATATAGATACGTATATATATATATATATAATTATGTATGTGTGTGTGTCTACAAGGTGGTGCTCCTCGGCTAGTAGTCAGTCTATGAACCAAATTTACTAAAGATATACCCTCCATAAACCCATTCGTTAGCCTAGTTAGAACCAAGTCACCCAATTGTTAAGTTGCCTGCGGACCCCTTTTCAGAGGGTCAGGTATTTTCAGTTTGAAAGAAGCGTTTTGTGACTTGGGAGCAAAGTATAAAACGTTTGTTGGGTATAGGGTCTATATTTATGTGGAAAGACGCGGCTTCCAAAAAATCCATTTATAATTGGTGACTCATTGACTGGAATTTTGAGGGGCTAAAAAAAAGCACCTTAAACATATATAGAGCGAAAAAAACCGGATTACATTGAACCAATGCATGGGGCCCATGAATCACTTGACGCTTGATGAAGCCTGCACGACCGCAGCCGCCTTTTCTGCCCTCAAACTTGACCGAAAGGGAAACAACTACCCACAGCCCTTCAGCTCAACACGATGACGGGCCCGGTCCAGCAAAAAGTCCAGGTCCTGAAGTTGCTCCACCGCACTGACTGAAAAGTAAGGGTCGTGTTGCGGCAGAGGGGGTACTCGGCGGCGCGCATCAGTCAGCTGATGCGAGACTGCCGCCAGTGCCCGGCGCAGTCGGCAGCCCAGCGGCGAAACCAGATGCCGCAGGACCTCCGACGTGAAAACGAAACAATCATGCCTCCACACAGAATCGCATCGATCCTCAGCCACATTCATGATGATCGAAAACACTGATAACACGAATGATGCACAATCAATTAGATCCTACGCGCCCAACACAGATTAGCTTGGGCAAACAGGTTGATCACCGATGGCCCGATACATTTCCTCGGGCAAAGACTTGAGAGCAGAGTTTATAAGCTCTATAATTATATATATATGGTAATAATGATCTACCATATTCAGGATTGAGACATCTCTTAGTGCAGGAAGATCGATGGATGCATGAAAATTACACCTAGATATGTATATATAGTTATATATATCTGGCTATATCTACCTTTATAATTCTAGACCCCCTGACGCCCTCCGGCAAATCGAGCGAAATTCGCAGGACGAGCGGAATGGGGAGCTGCGCGAAAGGCACCGCCTGCGCTACCTCACCCGGCTGCTGCAACGTGCAAAGCCAAAGGCCGTCCGGTGGCGCGCCCACGCGCTCCACCGGCAGGTGTGAGGAGGTTTGTAAACCACCTCGAAAACCTCTAAAGGCCGGGGACAGTGGTTGCGGTTCGGCATCCAACAGGATGTCCTTCACGGGAACGTGACGAAGGTTCCAACATCGTAACATTTATACATACGACATACGTGTTACTGTTGGCATGATGCTATTCAAGATGCAAAACGTCGCCTATAAACAAGGTTCCCTGTTTGCACCACGATTTCATGCTACGTCCAAACACACATGGACGGTTCTGTTGCTGCAGTTTCTCCGGGATGCATTATGATTGCAAACGCAAATTCATCATGTGTTCCTCCAACATCGGGGGCCCAGAATCAAACTGACGAATAATTTTGCAAAGGGCAGCTTGTATGTTCCATGTCACGAGACATATCCAACTTGTGAAATGCAATCAAGGTGTTTCAAACCATTAAGCATTGGTGAGCAAATTCAAGACTGCTCATTCGAGATTCATTCTTGGCAAGACTAGTTAATAGCCCACTCTTTACATCCTGGACCCCCCCAAAACAAAATCGACTGCACCATGATAGATCGCATTCCATTTTGCTAAATTGCGACATCCCCAATTTCCCATCCCCTGCTGACCTCTGCACATGACACATTCCCGCACGGTTCCCCGTCAGGCAGAACGGCAGCAGGCGGAGGACGGCTTTGGGAACCGGTGTGGGGTATCTGGGTGTATCTGTGTATCTGTGTTTGCGTGCATCTGCGTGTATATGCACCTGTAGCACCGATATATTTAGCATTTCATGTTCAATTGTTCCATCTGTCTAGATAAATAAACATGTATACTTTCTCTATATATGTATATATACATATGTATGTGTATATATATATATATGTATATATATATGTATTTATTATATACATGTATGTATATATATATAGAAAGAAACCCTAACAGGCTGCCGGACCTCGCACGGTGCATTAGCAGACAGAAGCTTTGTGAGGAGGGAAGATATATATTTTTGGGTATCACACTACAAACCTATAGACATTGACACATTGCAAGCATTAGTCTCAGGTGTCTGGAGGGATTTCACTATCATTTGATATTGATTTGGAGGGATAGCTATGGAACTTATCGAATTGGACATCCCGGACTTTGAGGCATTGAAGAGACCTTTGGAGCTTAGCCCTGCACTTCCTGGTTTTGGCGGCTGTGGAGTCGAGAACAGGGGGCATGGGTAAGAATGGAATGAAGATAGCTCTTGACGGATCAGCCAGACAAGCAGAAGAATGACCAGGAGCAGGAGGGGCTAATCGAGGCCCAGATTGATGAGATTCTTAAAAGGGATCGAGGCTTGGGACTTGGGACTCCAAGAATGACGAGAAGCGACGAAATGCCCAGATCAACAAGAATCAGCCAATGGAGACCCAGAATGGCGAGAAGCCACGGTGCCCAGATCGACAAGAGCGAGCCAATGGAGGTTCAGAATGAAGAGGCGGAGCCGCGGAGCCAATGGATACCCGGGAAACGATGGATGATACCAAAAAGTTCCGGACGTGGAGACCCAGAAGGACGAGCAGAGGATGATGCCACTGAGTCGGGCAATGGCAAGAGCAAGGAAAGAAAAGCTGAAAGAAAGGCTAAAAGAAAGGCTGCCGCCAAGCCGAAAGAGAAGCCGGACAAGCACAAAAGCAATATTTTTTCGGAACAAAAAGGAAAAGAAAAGAAATAGTTATATGGCAAATGTCGGAATTTCTTTAAGACTCGAAGCCAGCAAATGACTTGCGCCCTTTTTAGAAGAAAAATAGCAAGCGCGCTCTGGAAAAAAACATGTGCAAACCGATTTTTTTTGCAAGACGCATTTCACAACATGGCCCCGACTTGCGAAAGGCTTGTGGCATACTGCGCCCAGAACCCCCTCTTGAAAACACTTGTTGGGTTCCCGAACCTAGCAACTAAGCAACCTAATACACCCTATTATGGGGCACCACCTTGTAGATGCATCAAAATGACCCCCAAATAGAAGCAAATTCATGGAACTTTGTGGATGGGGGAAACCTCCAAAACGACAGGTTTTAGACATGTTTTTTAATGTCAAAACATGTTGATTTATGTTGATTTGTTGGTGAATTGTTATTTGTTCATCATGGTTTGGTCGCCCCAGAGTCTGTTTGCAGCACAAAGAGTTTCTGATCCGCGGAAACCGTCAAAAATCAGAAACGGTGGCGCTAAACCACCTTAATGTTACCAGAAGTGGCTCGTGAAAACCATCCCTAAACAGTAGGTTTGCCCTCTGGTAATCAGACATGACAATGCAAAATCGGCATTTACTTAACTTATATTTACTTATAGATAGTTTTTCATGTTTTCCAATTTGAATGCTTAGTTAGTTCGGGCGATTTCCCATCCAGGCATGTTTGATTTCAGCCGGGTATCACTTGTGTCGAACCATCAAACCAGCGACACTACCGTTCCTGACTTCCAAGGTAGCTCCGAGTGGCCTGCGACCCCTACCGTTGTGTTTGGCAACGCCGCGGGGGAAAACAGTCCTGAGACTTGCAGATAGCAGGGGTGGATGGTACAGTACTTGGTTATAGTTGGTTGATTATTCCAGATTGTTATCGGTTGCTCTTATTAAGTGGGATGATGATACCCTTTGGCAAAAGCACCACGTAGCTGTTGACCGGACTTTAGATTGGTGTCGCCAATTCCCAGCGCAACTCAACTGCGATTTTTTCTGAGGATGCATTTGCATTGAAACCATGACATGAAAGAGACTGCACAGCCTCAAAGAATGGTTTTGTAGGAAAATGTTCCTTGGAAATGGCCGTAGCTGGTCACCCGGTATGGAATGGAAGGTTGTTTTGATACCTTGTTGATGATGAGCATTTCCATTGGCACATGTTGGGGGATGGCTGGCCCAACCATCCAGCAGGAATTGCATATTGAGCAATGATTTGAATAACAGCACAAATACAGCAAACAAAAAGCATTGTCCTTGCACAAGTTGGACTGCAATACAACCAATCAGTGTTGTTTTGTAGTTCCATTCCATTTTTGTTTTGGTGTCATATTTCCCTGATTCTGTAAACATCTAATCCATGATTTTGGATGATTGATTCTTGATTAGATTGATTTGATTGCTGTTCTGCCCAATGGATTTGTATTTTATGATTATGCTGCTACTCTATCAGAAATCCTCCCTTTGGGATAGGTGGCGCATGGTGGCGCCGATAGAGCCATCAAGAATATCCTATTGGATAGATTGGCTCTCATATCTGGTATTTTGTGGGTCATTATAGTCCATAAATGTTCATAATAGGGACGCCTAATAATCAACCAGGAATTATAGTGGTTTATGATATACGTAGTTTTATTTCGAAACATGTTGGGTGTACCTCGTGATAATTGAACGCAGCTAGTGCAAATTGCCTGTTCATAATTTTATAGATGGTTTATTTATTAACAGAATCTAAGAATATTGTCAAAACATGTGTTTTCAAACTGTTGAACTACCAAAGGACAATTTCAATGTGACAAATGTTGCCCTCCAGGGGATGGATATGTGTTTCTCCAGCTGGTGAGGGGCCCCAATGGAGCGGGAAGGGAAGGGTTCTCGTTTTGGACATTTGGGGATTGGATCAACAAAGAAGTTACCGTTTTGTAATTGAACATAGCTATGGCAAAAACACCTATTTTAATAAATAAAAATCGTAAATAGTCTATAAATGGACCATGTTTCAAAACCAATCAGAATCATAACCATGTTTAATTACCAAATTGTGTTTTGACCCATGAATCATGGGGGGATGTAGAGGCAACGAAAATGGTGAAAACCAAGGTATCTCCCGAGAATATTTGACCAGCATGGAGTCTGAGAAATTGGGTCGGTCAAAATGCAAACATACAAGAAAACTATGAGACAAAATATGAAAAATACAGGATAAGTATATATTTCCCTTCCCCGAAAGACACTGTTTCCATATATTTCCAGATGTGCATAGCATCCATTGCAACGGTTTCCTGGTCCCTTGGTGAAATTCTCGGCACCTTTCAAGGGCTACCGGCTACCGGCATTTTGCTGCCCACTTATGCCCATAACGTGGGTGGTGGCCCCCTACTTCAGGTGGTTTATAAGTAATTGAATTGATGGTTCTGGTAGATGTATCTGTAGCTAGATAGGTTTAAAAACTAACTTTTAACTGGGGGGTCACCGCCTTGTACGAACTTGCAAGATGATGACATGGCTGAAGTTGGATCAGTGCACAGTTCGAAAGTCCATGACCCTATGGAAACGTTTGACTGTGACAAAGAAGAAAAAATGCAGATGATAGAGCATGTAAAAAATCAAAAAAGCCTATAAGAAGGCAAGGCCGCCCATAGATAGGTTTGCAGCTAGGCTAGGATTAATGTTGGATATTAATGTTGGATATATCTACACTTGGATGAGTTTATACCCTCCGGTGTCGTCAAACGGCGTACTCGACACTGAAAAAGCAGATGTCTGAGGTGGCTCCGAACTCCTTCCCCGAGCTGCGAGAGGCAAGCGAACACCATTAGCCATGGATGAAGCGTTCGATGAAAAATGGTGATTTACCCAGTTGAAATATGGCTATGGGTCAATACCTATAGATACCATTTTTAGTGGGATGAACATCCATTTACCAGCTATTTTGGGGTTCACCAGGGGTACAAGGTTTTGACACACTGCCAAATATTGATTGGCTCTCATATCTGGTATTTTGTGGGTCATTATAGTCCATAAATGTTCATAATAAGGACGCCTAATCAACCAGGAATTAAATGATTCACCTATGAAAACTGGTGGATGTTGTTTCGTTAAGACTAGCCATCCCAAAAATATGGCGGAAGTGGGGTATACCTCCAATCATAGCCATGTAAGAGGCAAAATGAGGAAATTATATGATATTGTATGATATTGTAATGGCTATGATTAGTCCAAATTGACGATCAACATTTTTTCGGATTAAAATTATGACATGATATGATATGATACGATATGATATGATATGCACTGCTCAATCGACAAGCAAGATGAACCCGCTTTTTGATATTCACATGTTTGCATGACTCCTCTGGTTCCCTAGGTTCTTTCTCGCAAAAATGCAGCCATTGCCAGTTTTAAATCAGTGTTCCTGGTTCCTGCTTTTCTCAAAACTGTATAGCAATCATGAAAACAAGATGATAAACCAGTAAAATCATCGCACATGATGCATCATTTAATATCATTTAACATCAAACATAATTTATCATATATTAATAACCTGGTTAAGTTATATCTGGTTATCTCACCCCCATTCAATATCATTCAATAATGTCTGGTTGGTGGTTTGGAACATTTTTTATTTTCCATATATGGGATAATCCTTCCCATTGACAGACTCATATTTTTCAAGATGGTTATTGCACCACCAACCAGATATATAGTTTGGTATATTAACCATAGGAAATACCATCTATAGATTTACAAACTATATATCTGGTTAATATACCCCATGGTAAATATAAGTTAATTACCCTCTGGTTATTTAACATAGCCATGGAAAATGGCCCATTTATGGATGAATTTCCCACTAAAACCACCATTTACAAGGGATTTTCCATGGCTATGTTAAATAACCAGATGGTACATTGGGTTAATACTTAACCATTGAATCCCCAACCAGTCATCTATAGATTTTGAGATGACCTGCAGCGAGGTGACACTCAGAAAGTTGGAGATTCCCCACGATTCCACACTCGCCGGGCGCCCCGTGTTTTCGAGGCGACAAAACTGCGCCCGTGATGGGCCAGGGACCTAGGAAACCATCAGGATCCATTAGGTATCTATGGTTTTTTTTAATGGTTCTCAATGTTTCAAGACAAGGTATCTATGCTGTTTTTCATGGTTCAAAATGTGTCAAGATAAGTTAAGGTATCTATGTTTTTTTTCATGGTTCACAATGTTTCAAGATACACTTAAAAATTGTTTTGCCTGCTCAAAGCGCTGTAGACATGTACTTTTCGCGAGCTAGTTGATGAATGGGCTTGTGTTGATAGCCTTTCTCATCATTTTGTGTATCCCACTGAACAATTTCAGTTCGTACATGTTTTTTGAAACGTGGAATGTCCTAAGTTTACTTTCCTCACGGTAGGGAACTTTAATTGATACGACACAAATCGTGAAAATGAGAATATTGCCAACTAGGGGTTTCAATACTAACAAATCATCTACTGGTTGGTGGTTTGGAACATGTTTTATTTTCCATTTCATATATGGGATGTCATCCTTCCCATTGACTATTTCTTGATGGTTATTGCACCACCAGTCTAAACCCGACTGATGTTGGATGATGTTGGTGGTACCGGATGGTGAATTTTACTTTGGATATTGGAACAGGGTGGTGCCCAAATACGGTGTAAGGTAACTAGTATTCATGAGCTGGTTGGTGGTTTGGAACATGAATTTTTATGACTTTCCATTCAGTTGGGAATGTCATCATCCCAACTGACTTTCGTTTTTTTCAGAGGGATTGAAACCACCAACCAGAACGTATTCATGAGGCTTCTTTGGACCAACAAACATAACTGGGGGTCCTCACCTCGTAGAAATGTGGAAAACAGCCATGATTTCCCTGTTGGACTGATGGTTTTGGGGGATAATTCTGCTATGTTTGCTAGTCAATGTAACAAATGCAACAATAAAACACCAGGTGGATGTGTCAGAAAATGGGAACACCCAAAAATGAAAAAAACTGCGAAAGGGAAAATGTTGCGCATACACTATTTACAGATAAACCCAAATGTTTTTCTTAGGGCTAATCCCATTTTGTAGAGTATTTATGGGATTTAATTATCCAAATAATCCAATGTTCGATCCCATTTATATCATTAATATTCGTTAATAATCCTATTTATAGTTGAAAAAACACCAGTTCCTACTCTTAATCCGAACTTCCCCATGGATCCATGGCCATGGCTGGCTCGGTGAAGCGATCAGGCTCACATCACCGATGCGCTTCTCCAGCTGCGCTCTGTGGTCGGGGGGTCACAGGGGACGGATCTAGCTGGGATGTGGAAGGGATGTGGAAAATCTATGAAAATCTTTGATGATTAAACATTAAACTCGGATGTTTGATTGTTAAACTCCTATGGCTAAGTTGGTGTATAACTCGGTCAACCAGGGTTTATTGGGGATATACTTATAGTATCTTATAGTTAATAGGGTTTACTATAGGTTAATCTTAGATGGGTAGAAACTAATCCTTTAGTCTTTTGGTATTCATGGGATTAGCTACGTTCACCAGCCTCAGAATGTGTCATTTGTAGAGTATCTGGGTATTTAGCCGGTTGGCCATGAACATGGCCCATTCATAGAGGCTTGACCTAAAAAAATCATGGTTGGTTTTCAATAGTTACTGTATGTTCGTTTACCAGAGGGTACTGGCCAAAGAACTGTGATTGCAATAGAGAAATTCAGCGGATATAATCCGCTACAACTGGGATTTAAAACAGGAAGCAGAGCAAGGGCTATAACATATGAACATTAATAGTGCCCAAGTGGATATCAATTAATATATATATATATCTCATGTTCATGTATATATTCATATATTTTTAATCCGCTATACTATAGTTTGTTCATAAATGGAGTCTAAGCAGCATAACATGCGGATGCCATCCAGAAATGTGGAAAACTGACTTGGCGCAAGCAGTCGATTGACAACTACAACTCAGTCGTGGTTTTGGCAACTCTGTGTTCTTTGGCAATGAATCCAATTCATCCATCAACCTGATGATCAATATTATTATATAACATACATATTATTCTAATGTTTGCCTTCATGTTGCTGGTCCAAAATTTACACCAGTGATGTTGACAGACTATAGCTGATCAGATTTACACCTGTCTCCATCACATAATCGGTGATATCCTCTCATAGTTACTAGTTGTCAAAGCCTCTCCAAACATGTTGTCGGTTGTCCTGTCTCATCATACAATTCAATATGATCAACTTTCATATTAATCTGGTTGGTGGTTTGGAATTTTTTTTATTTTTCCATTCAGTTGGGAATGTCATCATCCCAACTGACGAACTCCATCATTTTTCAGATGGGTTTTTCAACCACCAACCAGTAATGCTGTAACTTTTTCATGCCAATCAGAACCAAGCGATCAACACGAATCTCCATGATGATCATCTCCATTTTTTGGCCCAGGAAGTCTTGAGACTGTCCCACTTGCGGCTGACCAGCAGGGGAGCGAGCCTTCTCTTGCAGGCGAAGTTCGACGCTGGAGTGGGACATGTTTTTGGCGAATTTGGCCCAAGATATGAGAAGATACCCTCTGGTAATTTAACATAGCTATTGAAAATGGCCATTTATAGTGAGTTTTCCCATTAAAAATGGTGATTTTCCATAGTAATGTTATATAGTTTACCAGAGGGTATGGAGCTTGTTTGAAGCCGAATGGCTACAGGCGGAATGAAATTGAAGGGGTTGAATGAAACCATTTGATCACCAAATGTGAATGGATATAACATTATATTTTTATTTTGCTTATTCAACATAGCGATGGAACATGACCCATTTATATAAATAGATGATTTATACTGATTTATGATGATTTATCGATAAATTACCAGGAGGTGAGTCCGTCAGCCTATACTTTTGAAGGAATGGGGGGTCCCAATCAACTGCCTGGCTCTGTCCTGAGCAAATTCCTTTGCTGCCTGTCTTTTTGAATCACGATCAATAGTACCACCCTTCGGTGGATGGCAATGAAAAAAAAACACATGTTTATCTCTGTTTATCCGTTCTTCAGATTTAGATTGCATTTCAGATTATCCCAAAATCATCTAAATGGTGGGTAGATCATCTAAAAATGAGCCATTTTCCATGTCTTGGTTGGATTGCCCGAGGATAGATACCTCTTAACTTGAGTCGGGATGTATCCCAAAAAATTGCGGAACGAAGTCCCGCGGATCCCAGAGGCAAATCTCGCCATCGAGCCATGGAGATTGCTGATCTTACAAAACATGTCCCAGTGTTTTGATCTACCCTCTGGTTATGACTAACATAGCCATGGTATAGATGGCCCATAGAAATAGTGGATTTTCCCATTGAACATGGTGATTTTCCATAGTTATGTGAGTTTACCAGAGGGTATTTTTTCTTGTGAAAGAACCAATAGATCCTATAGGGCTTATCCCCCTGATTTGCTGGATCCCGTTCCCGGAGTCCATTTTTTTCGAGAATCTCTTCTAGGCCGTGGCGGAGCTGGCTCCGCGCCTCACTAGTGCGGAGCCCGAGGATGGATGAAATATATGAAATATCCAACTATCAGTTGAAGTATATATAATATATAGTGATATACTTAGTTGGATATATATATATTATACTATCAGTATCCAACTATTAGTATATCAGTATCACTATTAGTATATATACTATCAGTTGAAATATCCAACTATCACTATCCAACTATTATATAGCTAGCCATAGTGATATATATCTGGTTGGTGGTTTGGAAGATGAATTTTATGACTTTCCCATGGTATTAATGGGATGTCATACTTCCCATTGACGAACTCATATTTTTCAAGATGGTTAAAACCACCAACCAGATATTATATTAGCCATAGTGATATATTATATAGTATTATATAGTTACAAGGTATATATAATAACACTATACTATTATATATTATATAGGTATAAACTTAAGCCATGTTAAGCCATAGTGTTATTGTGGAAATTGTCCTACTGTAGACTATTGACAAATAGTTAAATCTCTACATAATATATACATATATATTGACTGAATATCCAACTCAAGATTATTATAAAATACTTCTAAAAGAAAAGTCTTGAGATGGTAACTGTTCATATGATGTTTTAGTGATATACAAAAACATGTTGCATCCACCTATGGTAATTTAGAATTGGTGAACCATCCAGCCATGGACCAAGCATTATAGAATACTTCAAATAGCATCCACAAGTGTATATTATAAATGGTAAAACTCTGGATTACAAAACCCTGTAATAGTAGTTTAGTAATATTCCAAGTAACTGGTGATTATAACTATCAAGCAGTTGGCAAACTCTGAGTAGCTCCTTGGCTCCCCATTTAACAGGTAATACGGATAGCCATAGCTCCTTAGATCCCTTAGATCCTTCGAAACCACTGCATAGATATCATACATAACTATTGTCTAAGTATCTATCCCATAGGATCCATGTATGGTATATATGTTAACATTAGGGGTATATTGATGGTACATGTTACCATATATAGCATACATGGATCCTATGGGTATGACAATCTCTGAACTATAGGTTATTACCAGGTATTTTCTCTATTGCATATTGAATATCTATTATGCCGGGAAAAGTTCATATCTATACTGCCACTGTTTTGAAGGGGGTTAATACATGGTGGTTCACCCCAGTCGGTACGTAGGTTAGTTAATTCAGTCTGGCAAGGATTCGGTTACGATGATGTTTTATCCAGGGTGATCTTGCCCACTAATCCCCGGGTGAAGCACCCAGAATTATAATTTATAAAAACATTGGTAAAGGGAAACATTATGGTTATCTATTGGTAGTTAAATTTCTGGTGAATAAATATCAACCACTGACGAATCCAGTTATGTATCTATTCTACCAGAAAAACTGGAAAAGAAACACTTGTCACGGGTGAATATTACAAGTAAAAGGTGCTGCCTTCAGATATGTTTGCTGTTTTATAATATTCACCCAGCCAACTCGAGTTACCACCTTGCCGCTACCGTTTGGTGAAAACGGAGAAAACTGGGTTAAACGTTAGTAAGTGGGGCTATAACCTACTTATAAATGGGATAGCCCTAATCAGGGGACTTACTAACCAGGCTTATTAACCACTGACTAAGCGGGATGATCCTCCGACTAGTTCAAAAGCAGCAATTTTTCCAGCGTAATGGGTGAGCATTCCCTGCACAGCAAAATTATATACATATCAGGCATCCAACCTGGAACCCCAGGCGTTTCCCATTGGAAAATCAAAGAATTATGTGTGGTTTTTGTTTCCCCTGGTAAGTACAATATTCTTGCTGGTGCTGTAACATTTTTGCGTTTGCTGGTAGAGTCATCAATTATGTTAATCACATTCCGCTTACTTCTTCCCAACGTGCAAAATTGTGTGGCAAGAATGGGTAAAACATTGCGCTAAAGAATGGATATATCAATGTATTACTGTGAGGCTCACAGTAATGGATATTAAATATAAATGATAAACATGAATGCGCTCGATATATGGTTTATATGATTTTAGTATGTTTAATATATGGGGGGGCTATATCACATAAAATCCCATATGTGCACCATATACTAGCCATATATCCAGCCCCATTACTTATTCACAGTCTTATTATTAACCATACATTGTAATAGAATTATATCTATATTATATATATATGCCATATATATATATATATATCGTATACAAGCACCATTTATTAGCCATGTGCTGATGGATATATTAAGGGATTTATAATGCCGTATATCACTGTAATCATATATAAATCAAGCCCATGTACCCATAGTTTTCTTATTAACAATACATTACATATGATATTGCACTAAAACAAGGCATCTAAATATATGTAAATACACCGTGTATGAACCAAATCACATATCAAACCAAACCCATATTAATTAACACATATTAACATATCACCATATATCAACAACAAATATTCTATATACACCATATATCAATAATATAACATCCATTATTTTGAAACAAGTGATAAATACCATGTAGCATATATATATATATATATATGGGTAAATTATAACGACCTCACTGTTCTCCCTCACTGGAATCATGGTTAGTTAAAAAAAAATCATCCCCAAATGGCCCAACAATTCAGGTTAGTGAAATATTATAATGTTCCCATATATATATATATACACTATATACCCCTAATGTTAGCATATGTATACCATACATGGATCCTATGGGTATATATATATATATGGTCCCGTCCTCCGTCTCTCCACCCCCCCCCTCCCCCCCCCCATGGGTTGGGTCCCCAGGTAGCAGCCCCAATTCCCTTCTATTTGCAAGCTATTGGCAGCATTTCTGAGGTCCAGCTTCGTATTTGCTAGGTCTTTGCAGCATTTCTGACTACCAGCCTCGCATTTACTAGGTACATGCTACCTTTTAGGCGACCTACGTAGCACACATACTCCTTCAAAGTACCTACGTGCTACCTATAGTCATATATACATGTGCTATGCATCTACTGTATCTACTTCCTACTTACTACCTGTGTACTCTGACAACACTACCTGTGTTTAACATATACCGTACCTACCATACATGTCAATGATGCCATGCATACCATACCTATCATATATCTATCATATCATATCATACATACCATACATACCATACATACCATACACATGAAATGTAATTACCACACCTACCATACATACAATAGCAAACATACATGCCATACATACCATACCTACCTTACATAGGAAATATTCCATACCCATCATAGTAACAATACATACCATACAGACCATACATACTGTCATATCAAACATACCATACCCAACAGACTTACATACCATACCTACCATCCATACAATACCAACCACTCATGCCATACATACCATACCTACCATACATACCAAACATACCATACTTTCCAAACATGCCATACCAGACCGACCACACACACCATACATACACAACATACCATACCACACCCCCACCACACCACAGGGGGGGGAGGGGGACAGTACCACACCCCCACCACGCCACAGGGGGGGAGGGGGACAGTGCTGGGTCCCCAGGTAGCACCCCCCTTCCCTTCTATTTGCAAGCTATTGGCAGCATTTCTGAGGTCCAGCTTCGTATTTGCTAGGTCTTTGCATCATTTCTGACTACCAGCCGCGCATTTACTAGGTACATGCTACCTTTTAGGCGACCTGCGTAGCACACATACTCCTTCAAAGTATCTACGTGCTACCTATAGTCATATATACATGTGCTATGCATCTACTGTATCTACTTCCTACTTACTACCTGTGTACTCTGACAACACTACCTGTGTTTAACATATACCGTACCTACCATACATGTCAATGATGCCATGCATACCATACCTATCATATCTATCATACATACCATACATACCATGCATACCATACATACCGTACATACCATACATATGAAATGTAATTACCACACCTACCATACATACAATAGCAAACATACATGCCATACATACCGTACCTACCTACATAAGAAATATCCCATACCCATAATAGTAATCATACATACCATACAGACCATACATACTGTCATATCAAACATACCATACCCAACAGACTTACATACCATACCTACCATCCATACAATACCAACCACTCATGCCATATATACCATACCTACCATACATACCAAACATACCATACTTTCCAAACATGCCATACCAGACCGACCATACACACCATACATACCCAACATACCATACCACACCCCCACCACACCACAGGGGGGGGAGGGGGAAGATCTCATATGGGGCCAGTATCTGGGACCCATCCCATGTGGGGGGGGGGAGGGGGGGGGTGGCAGGGCCTGGTGCATATATATTTATATAATGTTCTTATAAACACATAAATACACCATCGAGGCCTCAACGGCTTGCCCTTGGCGCGCCTCGTGCAGCTGAAGGACCATCCTGAAGGCGTTTAACGTTGAGAAAGCGCATCTGATTTCCATCTGATTACCATATTTTGGGGAATAACCATCCATTAAAAAAACAGTTGAAGTTGTTTTTTTCTTGAAATGATGTTGAATTTGAGTTTCTGGTGATTTTAAGTAATGTGGTAGACCCGGTGATTGATAAACTTCCAGTTCTTGGAGGGTATCATCCATTTCTATCGAAATTTTGGAACGGTCTCCCATTGATTTTGCCACTGATGTTTCAGTTGAAAGTCAGTGTCTCCTATCGTTTCCAGGGCATCTCCAGGTTGGGGTACAATGTTTCGGTCGTCGAAGCCAAAAAGGGGCCTAAGCCAAAGCATCAAGGCATGATCAGCAAAAAAACATATAAACAACTCGCACTAGTCACTATTGAATCAGAATTACTGTTTGTGTCTGTTTATGTGATATGTTCTATTCGTTTGTACCTGAACAAAACTGGGGATGGAAAGCCAACAGGACGTGATTCGTGGATTGAAATGTGATACATCCACTGCCATCAACTCCAGCAGATATTTTTCAGCTGGCGTCCACACACCGAAGAAACCTGAAGCACTTGGACTCTTGGCCTTTCAGCTGTTTGCATTCCTAGTGGCCGTATGAATGTCATGTCAACAAAGTCGTTGACGTACTTCAGCTGATGGTTAAACAAAAAAACAGTTTGTTATTCTAGTTACCACGAATTATATAACTGGCTTAGAATCCCCATAAACTATAGTAGTTCGATATATTCCCGCTAAACCCAAAAAAAAATGCCTATAGCAACCACCAAAAAGATACTTGAATGTGCTTCCAAGATGGTAGTAACTATGATGTTGCCCACAATGTGTTCAGGTTTCTTTTCGGCGGGGTTGCTGTACAATTTTTTCCAGCTCATACTCCCCATGAACTAGTTCGATATATGCTTCAGAAACCCAAGTGAGTTAGCCTTGTGCATTGTCTAGTTCGTTATATCCTTCATAAAACCAGAGTTATGGCCCAACTAATAAATACTAATAGTTATAATAAATGGATTTCTAATGATTTATATGGCTTTATTTCATGATATGTAAGCCTAGTTATAGGAGTTATTGTTTTCCATGTAAGCCTAACTGTTCGTTGGGCCGGGCCACAGCTGCCAGGTGGTCCCCTGGATCTGGGCGACAGCATTGCGAGGGGCCCCAGGGGATCCCAGGGGCCCAAGTGCTCGGTAGAACAGTGGAGAATATATAACTATAGTCTGTAGTTGAATATGGATAGGACTATATCCAGAACTAGATGAATAAATTGAGAATATAACTATAGTTGATATAGTTGCAACTTATGTGGATAGCCAGAGTAAAACATTTTTGGTTAGTTTTTGAACTCGAACATCAAAGTGGATTGGAGGGATTACAGCGACAACAGATTCTGGTACCTCCAGGGGCAGTCCCCGTTGGTGGCAACCATTCAACAGCTGGGGGAGGATGTGTGTGTTTTTTTTTTTTACCTCCCCAAAAATATGGTTACTGTATATAGATTTATCAATATTTATCATGTGTACTGTGTTATTACATGATATGGTTATTATATGATTATATGATATATGTATATATCATCCCCAAAAAATATGGTTCTGTTAATGATCCAAAGTGATCCAAAGCTGAAATGATCCAAACGTACGAAGTTGTGTTATTCCACCACCAAAAATCCACCGAGGAGTGGAACGACTTCACCTTGGGGGTCATGGCCGGGAACTGAGTTACACGTGTTCAAAACGTGACACGTGGAAGTCGTGTGGCCGAAAATTTCATGCAGCTGTTGCAACTGTTATCAGATGATCACTGTATAGTTTCAATATGATGTGGTTCAAATATGGGTATGGATCAATACCTTTAAAAATACCATTTTTAGGGGGATGAACATCCATTTAGCAGCTATTTTGATGTTCACCAGGGGTACAAGGTTTTGACAGACTGCCAGCTGCAATATATGAGGGAACATCAATTCTATGAGCAGAAGTATCTTCATGGTGCCAAGTTTGTGCTGCCAGTGCTGACTGAGTGACTAATCCCATCCTTTTATATTGAACATCCCCATTTTATGGTCCCAAATATGTGTAAATCACAACAAACAAATTGATTTCTGGGTGGTGTTCAACATTGGGGGGAAGGGGAGCAGATGTGTTCATACTGAAGATTATTCAAGATTTTGTGGTTGATGAAACAGAGATGATAATTCACTACCAACTAGGATTTGCTATATATGTTTGCGTGTTTTTTTAAATGTTTGGTTGTAATCTAGTTTGACATATGCTGACTTATAGCGATGTCCCATTCAGCTTGAGGGTTGTGTCTCACACGCGATCTTTTATGGCCACCCAAAGGGAGGGATAGGGGCTAGTGGTGATAGATTTACAGATAGATTTATAGGATGACCATGGATTTTTTTTAAATAAATCATTGGATTATTATACATACATTGGTGATAACTGGATTTATTGGTGATAGTTGTATAGTACATCATTGGATTGCATTTTTTGACTCCGTAAGTCCCTCAGATTGATTGTATTCGTTTATGAGATGACCATGGATTAATTGTCTTGTCCATCATTGGATTGCAGACTGAGGCTGCACTACTCTCGTGTATGTGATCGCCCTCTCTCTACATACTTTTGCAGTTCGTATATATAGCAGATCCATCTACCCTTTGGTAAACTAACAGTTCGCTATTGAAAATGACCATATTTATAGTGGGTTTACCCATTAAAAATGGTGGATCTTTCCATAGTTACGTTAGTTTACCAGAGGCTATCTCTATGTCCCACAGAACGCACGAACCCCGAACGAGCCATCCTTTTTTTCCGGCTGCTAGGCCCGCTTGAATCTGTGGCCGGTGATCAGCTTTGGGGGTGCAGGTCTCATTGATTCGTCGAAATGACCAGACCACATGTCAAAAATACATCCGGTACAAAACTACATTTGGAACATGGTTAATGATGGTTAATGATGGTTAATGATGGTTAATGATGGTTAATGATGGTTAATGATGGTTAATAATCACTGATTGGTGATTTGGAACATGAATTTTATGACTTTCCATACATTGGGAATGTCATCATCCCAACTGACGAAGTCCATCATTTTTCAGAGAGGTTTTTCAACCACCAACCAGAAATTGTATTGAATCAACACCTAAGAACAAAATTTGATCACCAAAACCATGTCTTGGTGGTTACCCTCTGGTAATTTAACATAGCTATTGAAAATGGCCCTTTATAGTGAGTTTTCCCATGAAAAATGGTGATTTTCCATTGCTATGTTAGTTCACCAGAGGGTATCAATTTGAATCAACAAAACTGAGTAGGAACGCGTTGCGGTTTTTGACAAGCGAAAACCATGGCATCATCACTGGTATTTTGGGCCTCAAATGGCCAACTGTGGAGATCGCCATGGAACTTGTCTGGTTGCATGTTCCAAAAAAATGGTGGCTATGCTCCAGTCACTCAAGTCTTGGGAAATGTTGGAAATCAGAAAAGCCTTGGATTGCTGACTCCACTAGAATCTACTAGACATGTTTTGTATTTGATTCTGGTACAAACACAGAGCTTGCAACAAAAACAAGATCACTCTCCACTTCACCAAGAAAAAAAGGAGCTACTGACGATCAACAGATCACATTTCTTCGGTGTTCTGTTTCATGTGACACCCATTCTGTATATCTACTAAATATAATAAGTGTATCTAACAACATGTACATATGTATGTATATCAGTACATGTAATGTACATACACTCATATGCATGAAAATTGGAATGATCACTATGTATACTTGGTATTAGTGAGACAACCCATGAATTTGCCCTTGGTTTTGTGAAGATCCGGATCTTCGAAGTCGTTCTCAGCCAGGCATCAATAAAGAGCTTCACTTGCAAGGCATCGGCGGTGGAGACATGTTGTTCATCCAAAAATGTGGGGTTGACCAAAGAATTTGACGGCCCTTAGAAGGAGAAATAGTATGAGAATCCTTTTCACAGGCTTTTGTTGGACAAGCCGAATTGGATTCCAACCAGAAAAGATTACCCTCTGGTAAACTAACATAACTATGGAAAATCACCATGTATAATGGGAAAATCCACTATAAATGGTCATTTTCAATAGCTATGTTAGTTTACCAGAGGGTATACTTAGTAATGCGTGTTGGTCAGCAAGCAACTTTACCTGGATATGTCGCAGTTTCCAATCGAAAAGGAAAATGGGCCAGGTGTGAAAAGGACCTGGTTGGGAAGTATGCTCCACTAACGGGGATCACCGTTATTTTGTCCCTTGCTAAATGGTGAATGGGGCTTATTTGTATCCGGGCTGGATATTGAAACATATTGAAACCATGGCGTAAATCCGGGAGTAGAAAGTTGGATCGTGCCAAAGTTTGTGCTTTTCAGGCCACACTGATGTAGCTGTAGCTGTTTCAGATCTCTTCCCCTTGAACTCTACGTGGATCGCGAAGCAGTGGAGCTTTCCAGCCGGGGCTTTTCGACCTTTGTTGGTGGTTGATGGTTGGGTTTTGGACTACACCTGGTATCACGGAGACCTGGTTATCAGATAGGACTTCTCAATTGATCATGGCCTTTTTTGGCGAAAAGATTGGGATAATCATTCACAATATTTCAAAATTACTGGACTGTCATGAAACTTTCGGCTTTCTTGCACTCCGCGAAGCACAAAAATAACTGATTTGTGTAGCCTCCAACGTGTCAATGCGGCGTGTTGGAGTTTTCCACCAGCAATAGTTCGATGTTTGATGATACAGGAGGGTACAGTATATTTGATAGATGTTGATAGTCTAAATTCTAAATGTGATATTCCCATATCCCATTAAGTTAGTTGCTTTATATCCCATTACATTACTGGTTGGTGGTTTGGAACATGAATTTTATTTTTCCATTCAGTTCAGAAGTTCAGAATGTCATCATCCCAACTGGCTTTCATATGTTTCAGAGGGGTAGGTGAACCACCAACCAGAATTGATTGCCATTTAGTTCGTTGATTTACCTACTAAACACGGAGATTTTCCATAGCTTTTTAGTTGGTTTATATCCCATTTAAATGACCATGAAAAATCTTGAAATATGTGTTACAGTCCCACAAGAAGAAACCCTTCCGCCAGGTCAAAGTTTCACAGTGCTATGCCTCAGAGTGCTCGGAAAAAAAACGTGGTGCCATGGTAAAGCCATGGTAAATTCACTATCACCATCATGTTTCCCAAGAATTACCAAAACATTTTTTTTTGTGGGAAAAAAATCATCCCCAAGTTTTGTAGGTTTGATTTGCTAGCTTCGCCATGACTTTGGTGGCATGTCATGAAGTGTCCTATTTTCATCAGACACATTTCACATTCCACAAAGATCCAGCTGCTGAGCAGCTAACCTGCGGTTCAATCCCACGCACGAGAAATCGGGTCATTGCCTGGTGGACTCTGCTAAAAACCAACGAAAGCTATGGTGGTTTTAATGTGACTTAAGGGAATCCCCATTGTTTTAACATCCATACAAGGTGGTGCCCCATAGTTAGCTAAGTTGGTTTATAACTCCAATAACTATCGTTTATGGTACTTATAACTATAGTTACTGGGGCTTATAAACCAACTTATAACTGGGGGGCACCACATTGTCGTCACCGTTTTTTTGGTGACTTGGGATGTTTTCTTCACAAAAGCCCCAACCAGATCCAACCAGGCCATCCGTCACGCCGAGGATGTGGGTCTGCGCGGGCTTTGCGCCATGCTGCGACACTTTGCCACGCAGGTGTTTAACGAGGGTCGTTCGACCAGCACTTGGGGATGGGTCGAAACCTGTCCCCGAAAAAGCTGGTAATTTAACATGGCTATTTATACAATTTTGATTTATATATATATATATAACCATCCTGAAGTAGATAGAATCTCTGGAATTTCAAAAAAAAAAACGGTCTGAAAAAAACCTATAGATAGAATCCCAAAATGGCTCAAAAATCCGGGTCGATGATTGGTAAAAAAAAGGTCCCTCAAAAATGATCACAAAAGCGGTCATTTAGCTTGTGATTTGGTTGTTTGGGCCTTTGGAATGACCACCAAATGTTGTCATTATGCTGGTGTATTTGGTTCTGGCATGCGAATTTCAGCCCAAAATCTTCCAAAGAAATTGTCACTGTTGCTGGTGGTTCCCAGAAATATAGATCCTTTGGCAGTGGTATTCAATAGTCAAATCCAAGAAAGGAATGGGTGTGGGTCAAATTATCACACCCCAAAATTGATAGTTGATTTTTTAAGATGTGAAATTTTGAAATTGAGCTGGGGCCAAATTTGACCCGTACCCATTTAGCTACAGTGTGCTCACCGGACCTCCTGGAGATTTTGAATTTGGACATCGATCAAAATCGGATACTTTAAAAAGTAATCTGTATAGAATTGGGTGTAATTGGGACAGAAGGTTTTGATCCATCCCCATATTCTTCTATATTCTTTCATATTCTATCTATGGTATCAACCACTGTGCTGACCCCTCCCTACTGCATTCTGCTAACAACGGCAGGTTTCCAAAAACCATTCCATGTGTTGTAGATTCTTTGGCAATGGTATTTTTGGTTCCCGGGATGCCCAAATAGTCAAACCCAATAAAGGAATGGGTGTGAGTCCAAATATCATCCCTACAAAATTGATAATTGATAATTGAAGATGTGCAATTTTGTAATTGAGTTGGTGTGCTCACCGGACCTCCTGGAGATTTTGAATTCGAACGTAGATATAAACTGTTGGATAGTCAAACTCTATATAAGATCATGAACCAACAGTGGTTTTGAATACAGCCCAAAAGGTATTTTCAGAATCCATAAATTATAATACCACTTTGGATAATACATTGATATAGCACATGTTGTTAAATACCACTGGGTATAATCCAATTAAGAAAATTGTCTTTGACAACATGTGATTGTTTTTCCAACCGGGACCTTTTCAGGGATATTCTAACTATAGATCTTGCCAGGGGCTGACAACTCGGCTCCCCCGTAAAGGGAGCATAGCCAAAAAACGTGACGGGATTCCAGAATCCCGTCATCACCCCCCTATGTGGGGGACGCCCCGGAAAGCGACCGAGTGTGCTACTATAGTGTGTAAGGTGCACTCTGTGTGAAATATATGCTTCGTATGTGAATGATATCAAATATGTAGATATAATATGTATGGTGTTTACTATGATTGAAACATATGCTTTATATGTGAATGATATAAAATATGTAAATATAATATGTATGGTTGGATAGTCAAACTCTAGATAGAATATCCTCTAGATCCATGAAAAGACTGAATTTTTAAAGGATGCTTGGAATTAAGCATGTATTTGTGGTGCTCCCTGGCCCTTCCTCCACATCTACCCATCCAAAGTTCATTCTTGGAGCTGTTTGAAAGCAAGCTTTAAAAGGAAAATGGCATTTAAAAAAAAGGAATCCGAGATCTCACCATCCAAAGTTGAAATTGCAGGTTTTGAAAAGAAACCACAAAAGGAAAATGGGATGAGAAAAGAAATAATCCACGATCTTACCATTCAAAGTTCAATCTTGCAGGTTTTTGAAAAGAAAGCTGCGAAAGGAAAAGGAGATGAGAAAAGTATAGAAAAGTAGGAATCCAAGATCGACCATCCAAAGTTCATTTGTGCTAGTGCTGTGCTAGGACAGTTGGGCAAAACTATAGATAGAATATCCTCTAGAACCATGAAAAGACTGAATTTTTAAAGGATGCTTGGAGTTGAGCATGTATTTGTGGTGTTCCCTGCCCCTTCCTCCACATCTACCCATCCAAAGTTCATTCTTGGAGCTGTTTGAAAGCACACTTTAAAAGGAAAATGGCATTAAAAAAGTAGGAATCCAAGATCTTACCATCCAAAGTTGAAATTGCAGGTTTTTGAAAAGAAACCACAAAAGGAAAATGGGATGAGAAAAGAAGGAATCCACGATCTTACCATTCAAAGTTCAGTCTTGCAGGTTTTTGAAAAGAAAGCTGCGAAAGGAAAAGGAGATGAGAAAAGTATAGAAAAGTAGGAATCCAAGATCGAGCATCCAAAGTTCATTTTTGCTAGTGCTGTGCTAGGACAGTTGGGCAAAACTATAGATAGAATATCCTCTAGAACCATGAAAAGACTGAATTTTTAAAGGATGTTTGGGATTAAGCATGTATTTGTGGTGTTCCCTGCCCCTTCCTCCACATCTACCCATCCAAAGTTCATTCTTGGAGCTGTTTGAAAGCAAGCTTTAAAAGGAAAATGGCATTAATAAAATAGAATCCGAGATCTACCATCCAAAGTTGAAATTGCAGGTTTTTGAAAAGAAACCACAAAAGGAAAATGGCATGAGAAAAGAAGGAATCCACGATCTTACCATTCAAAGTTCAGTCTTGCAGGTTTTTGAATAGAAAGCCGTGAAAGGAAAAGGAGATGAGAAAAGTACAGAAAAGTAGGAATCCAAGATCGACCATCCAAAGTTCATTTGTGCTAGTACTGTGCTAGGACAGTTGGGCAAAACTATAGATAGAATATCCTCTAGAACCATGAAAAGACTGAATTTTTAAGGATGCTTGGAGTTGAGCATGTATTTGTGGTGTTCCCTGCCCCTTCCTCCACATCTACCCATCCAAAGTTCATTCTTGGAGCTGTTTGAAAGCACACTTTAAAAGGAAAATGGCATTAAAAAAGTAGGAATCCAAGATCTTACCATCCAAAGTTGAAATTGCAGGTTTTTGAAAAGAAACCACAAAAGGAAAATGGGATGAGAAAAGAAATAATCCACGATCTTACCATTCAAAGTTCAGTCTTGCAGGTTTTTGAATAGAAAGCTGTGAAAGGAAAAGGAGATGAGAAAAGTATAGAAAAGTAGGAATCCAAGATCGACCATCCAAAGTTCATTTTTGCTAGTGCTGTGCTAGGACAGTTGGGCAAAACTATAGATAGAATATCCTCTAGAACCATGAAAAGACTGAATTTTTAAAGGATGCTTGGAGTTGAGCATGTATTTGTGGTGTTCCCTGCCCCTTCCTCCACATCTACCCATCCAAAGTTCATTCTTGGAGCTGTTTGAAAGCAAGCTTTAAAAGGAAAATGGCATTAAAAAAGTAGGAATCCAAGATCTTACCATCCAAAGTTGAAATTGCAGGTTTTTGAAAAGAAGCAACAAAAGGAAAATGGGATGAGAAAAGAAGAAATCCACGATCTTACCATTCAAAGTTCAGTCTTGCAGGTTTTTGAATAGAAAGCTGTGAAAGGAAAAGGAGATGAGAAAAGTACAGAAAAGTAGGAATCCAAGATCGACCATCCAAAGTTCATTTTTGCTAGTGCTGTGCTAGGACAGTTGGGCAAAACTATAGATAGAATATCCTCTAGAACCATGAAAAGACTGAATTTTTAAAGGATGTTTGGGATTAAGCATGTATTTGTGGTGCTCCCTGCCCCTTCCTCCACATCTACCCATCCAAAGTTCATTCTTGGAGCTGTTTGAAAGCAAGCTTTAAAAGGAAAATGGCATCTAAAAAGTAGGAATCCAAGATCTTACCATCCAAAGTTGAAATTGCAGGTTTTTGAAAAGAAACAACAAAAAGAAAATGGGATGAGAAAAGAAGGAATCCACGATCTTACCATTCAAAGTTCAGTCTTGCAGGTTTTTGAATAGAAAGCCGTGAAAGGAAAAGGAGATGAGAAAAGTATAGAAAGTAGGAATCCAAGATCGACCATCCAAAGTTCATTTGTGCTAGTACTGTGCTAGGACAGTTGGGCAAAACTATAGATAGAATATCCTCTAGAACCATGAAAAGACTGAATTGTTTAAGGATGTTTGGGATTAAGATTAAGCATGTATTTGTGGTGCTCCCTGCCCCTTCCTCCACATCTACCCATCCAAAGTTTTGAAAGCAAGCTTTAAAAGGAAAATGGCATTAAAAAATAGGAATCCGAGATCTCACCATCCAAAGTTGAAATTGCAGGTTTTTGAAAAGAAACCACAAAAGGAAAATGGGATGAGAAAAGAAATAATCCACGATCTTACCATTTAAAGTTCAGTCTTGCAGGTTTTTGAATAGAAAGCTGTGAAAGGAAAAGGAGATGAGAAAAGTATAGAAAGTAGGAATCCAAGATCTTACCATCCAAAGTTCATTTTTGCTAGTGCTGTGCTAGGACAGTTGGGCAAAACTATAGATAGAATATCCTCTAGAACCATGAAAAGACTGAATTTTTTAAGGATGCTTGGAGTTGAGCATGTATTTGTGGTGTTCCCTGCCCCTTCCTCCACATCTACCCATCCAAAGTTCATTCTTGGAGCTGTTTGAAAGCAAGCTTTAAAAGGAAAATGGCATTAAAAAGTAGGAATCCAAGATCTTACCATCCAAAGTTGAAATTGCAGGTTTTTGAAAAGTTGAAATTGCAGGTTTTTGAAAAGAAGCAACAAAAGGAAAATGGGATGAGAAAAGAAATCCACGATCTTACCATTCAAAGTTCAGTCTTCCAGGTTTTGGAATAGAAAGCCGTGAAAGGAAAAGGAGATGAGAAAAGTACAGAAAAGTAGGAATCCAAGATCGACCATCCAAAGTTCATTTGTGCTAGTACTGTGCTAGGACAGTTGGGCAAAACTATAGATAGAATATCCTCTAGAACCATGAAAAGACTGAATTTTTAAAGGATGTTTGGGATTAAGCATGTATTTGTGGTGCTTCCTGCCCCTTCCTCCACATCTACCCATCCAAAGTTCATTCTTGGAGCTGTTTGAAAGCAAGCTTTAAAAGGAAAATGGCATTAAAAAGTAGGAATCCGAGATCTCACCATCCAAAGTTGAAATTGCAGGTTTTTGAAAAGAAACCACAAAAGGAAAATGGGATGAGAAAAGAAATAATCCACGATCTTACCATTCAAAGTTCAGTCTTGCAGGTTTTTGAATAGAAAGCTGTGAAAGGAAAAGGAGACGAGAAAAGTATAGAAAAGTAGGAACCCAAGATCGACCATCCAAAGTTCATTTTTGTGCTGTGCTAGGACAGTTGGGCAAAACTATAGATAGAATATCCTCTAGAACCATGAAAAGACTGAATTTTTAAAGGATGCTTGGAGTTGAGCATGTATTTGTGGTGTTCCCTGCCCCTTCCTCCACATCTACCCATCCAAAGTTCATTCTTGGAGCTGTTTGAAAGCAAACTTTAAAAGGAAAATGGCATTAAAAAGTAGGAATCCAAGATCTTACCATCCAAAGTTGAAATTGCAGGTTTTTGAAAAGAAGCAACAAAAAGAAAATGGGATGAGAAAAGAAGGAATCCACGATCTTACCATTCAAAGTTCAGTCTTGCAGGTTTTTGAATAGAAAGCCGTGAAAGGAAAAGGAGATGAGAAAAGTACAGAAAAGTAGGAATCCAAGATCGACCATCCAAAGTTCATTTTGTGCTAGTACTGTGCTAGGACAGTTGGGCAAAACTATAGATAGAATATCCTCTAGAACCATGAAAAGACTGATTTTTTAAAGGATGTTTGGGATTAAGATTAAGCATGTATTGGTGGTGCTCCCTGCCCCTTCCTCCACATCTACCCATCCAAAGTTCATTCTTGGAGCTGTTTGAAAGCAAGCTTTAAAAGGAAAATGACATCTAAAAAGTAGGAATCCAAGATCTTACCATCCAAAGTTGAAATTGCAGGTTTTTGAAAAGAAGCAACGAAAGGAAAATGGGATGAGAAAAGAAGGAATCCACGATCTTACCATTCAAAGTTCAGTCTTGCAGGTTTTTGAAAAGAAAGCTGCGAAAGGAAAAGGAGATGAGAAAAGTATAGAAAAGTAGGAATCCAAGATCGACCATCCAAAGTTCATTTTGTGCTAGTACTGTGCTAGGACAGTTGGGCAAAACTATAGATAGAATATCCTCTAGAACCATGAAAAGACTGATTTTTTAAAGGATGTTTGGGATTAAGATTAAGCATGTATTGGTGGTGCTCCCTGCCCCTTCCTCCACATCTACCCATCCAAAGTTCATTCTTGGAGCTGTTTGAAAGCAAGCTTTAAAAGGAAAATGACATCTAAAAAGTAGGAATCCAAGATCTTACCATCCAAAGTTGAAATTGCAGGTTTTTGAAAAGAAGCAACGAAAGGAAAATGGGATGAGAAAAGAAGGAATCCACGATCTTACCATTCAAAGTTCAGTCTTGCATGTTTTTGAAAAGAAAGCTGCGAAAGGAAAAGGAGATGAGAAAAGTATAGAAAAGTAGGAATCCAAGATCGAGCATCCAAAGTTCATAATTGAAGGTTTTTGAATGGAAAACTGTGTTTGAAAGGAAGAGTGCATGAGAAAAGTAGGAATAGCTGATCTTACCATCCAAAGTTCATTCTCGCAGCTGTTTGAAAAGGAAACTTGGAAGGAAAATGGAAGGAAACAAATTGGAATGCACGATCTTACCATCCAAAGTTCATAATTGAAGGCTTTTGAATGGAAAACTGTGACAGGAAAAGGACATGAGAAAAGCAGGAATCAAACTTTGAAAGGAACATGGCATGAGAAAAGCTGGAATCCACGATCTTACCATCCAAAGTTCACAATTACAGATTTTTGAAGGGAAAAGTGTGAAAGGAAAAGGAAATGAAAAAAGTAGGAATCTACGTCTACGATCTTACCATCCAAAGTTCATTTTTTGCAGCTGTTTGAAAAGGAAAATTTGAAAGAAAAAAATAAATTGGAAGGTTTTGAAAAGGAAAGGAAAAAAAAACACATTTTGAGCATCCTGGAGTAGATTTTGGAATATTCTATCTAGGGGGTCCGAATATATAGTTTAGTATTGGGTCAAAAAACACTGGGTTTTTTCAAAAAAAAAACGCCCCCTACGAAACTGGATTCTATCTACTCCAGGATTGTTATATATATATATATATACCAGCACCTCTAAGTACCCACCATTAGTATCCAAATTTACGAACTCAATTAGAGCCACTTTGAGGGCTCTGGTATATAATTATATATGTATAATTAGGTGATTGACCTCTTCAACATTGTTTTTTTTTCCGTAGCTATGTCAATGTGAGGGTAACTGGCATGGATGGATCCCAAGAGATCCCAGGAGACCGTGCGTTTTTCCACGACCTGCCGTTGTGTAAAGGGACCCAATGGGGTTGGTGGTTTTATGTGGTTAACTCCATTTTAAATCCAGAAATGTTACCCAGAAAAAACACCTTTAGTAAATTTTAAATCCAGAAATGTTAGAAAAACACCATGTATGTAAATGGTGTGTACTGAAAATTAATGGGATAAGCATTGGATAAGCCACAAAAAAAGGGGAAATACATGTGATAAGCCACAAAAAAAGGGGACAGACGATCACCCATCATCAGGCTTACTTTCACCACGATCTGTGGGATGATCGATCCTCTAACGGGCTCACCATAAATCATCGAACTATTTCTGGGCCATGACTTCCAGTTCGAAAACTGTTAAAGCACCAGAGGGCATTTTTGGTACAATTGTACAATCTATGGTTCTGCAGGGTTCTTTTACCCCAATTTCTGGCCCTTTTGGACTTTTGGCGGCAAAAATTAAGATGAACCTGAAAATCAAGATTGTGGGTTCCTCTCAGAGGAACCCATGTCAGGCCTGTCAGGCCCCGCAATTTGGGTCAGTTGGTTTGTATGGCAACGAAGTTTTCTGCTGACATCCAGAGTTCAATGCAAATCCACCAGCTGATACTTGGAGAGCCCCGCATTGTGGAGCATGTACAGGTACAGTAGAATTTCCTGTACGGTTATAGCGACGGACAATCACTTGGAACATCGTTTGTTTTTTTGTTTTGAGTACACTGGGAGCTATGTTTAAGAACATCCGAAAGTCCCCACACTTAGAACATCCCAAGACATTACAACTTATATATATAATTATATATAATGATCCATTGACATAACTATATTTATACAGTATGAACAAAGTTACCAATCACCTGTGGAGACCCCCACACTTAGAACATGCCAGATGCTATTGTAAGGGAAACTGATGTTGATGCTAAGATGTCGCCACCACATATGTATGTGCAAAACATACGAGGCCGTTTCGTAGTTGAATTCCAACGGGGGTATTTAGCATTAGGCTGAGAAACTTCCCCCCAAATCATCAAATTTAGACCTGAATACGATAAACTACAATTGTCCATTTCAAAATCCATGGATTCCCCTTTTAAAACCTCATCAACATATTGCCAAACATTGGATTCCGAAGCTTTCCCCTAATATTAAAATCAAAAACATATTGATTGGAAAGAAACTATTTTTTCATGTCAGAAGCGATCAAGATAAATCCGTCAAAAAATATCGAATGAACATATTGCCAAAAGTCGGATTCCAAAGCCTAATAAAACCACTTTTTCTTTCAGGATGAAGGGTTGGAAGCGGAAGGTAAAGTTGAAATAAGATGAAATAAGTTTCAAGTCTCAGGTCTCGTAGAGTAGACGGATTCACCAAGGGTCTCCAATAGGTGGGGGAAGCCCCACACTTAGAACATCTATCTCCCCTTTGGGTTCCTGGAACTGTGTTGGGAGCCAGGGTCAGTTGCAAGGAGCCTCACACTTAGAACATCCATCAAACTACATATAAGATGTTCTACTGATTTTGCTCTGGATGTTCTGAGTGTGGGGGTATCTGGATGTTCTAAGTGTGGGACTCCAAAATTTTGGAAAAATGATGTTCTAAGTGATTGTCCGGCACTATAATCGATTCAGATATTTGTTCAATAGGGCATGGTCCGAAATTTGAGTGTATTTACTCCAGGATGACAAACATGTTATATAATCTACTCTCATAAAAGTTGGAAACCGCCCCCCAGAAACATTCAAAATCTAGAAACATGCAGAAGTCACAGGAATTCTACTCACCCTATGTATTGTAGAAGATTTGTTTTGAAAAAGAACAATATAGTATAATGTATTATAAATTAGTTCAAAAACATAAGTTCTACATATTTATATATATATATATATTTATAAATGTACATAATATATTATGCATATATATATATATTGACACACATACACTATATACATTCCCTCCCATACACGGATGCGTCATGTGTAACTTGCCTCTTCCTCTCACCCCTGCCAGGGACCTACCGGGAGGAGCAGCGCGGCTGCTCAGTGCTCAGCCAGTGCTGCCAGCGCTGATCTCTGGAGGAGTTCATTCATGAAATCCATGACTGGTTGAATTTTCTGACTGTCCGACTTTATTGTGAACATAGTCATCCCAATTGGCTTGAACTCAACTTACTCCATCATTTTTTCAGAGGGTTGGGCGAAAAACCACCAACGAGATGAAATCTGTGTTTCTCAATGTCATTGAGTCATGCCATATCCAGTAATAATCGTTGGATTCCAGATTCCAGACCCCATTCTGTTCGGTTCCATGTTGAAAAATAAGGGGTCTGCATCAGCCCAAGAAGGTTTGAGAACATCCGGGATTCAACGGCTACTTGGATTTGCATCCCACTTAGCCGTGGTTTATAAATGTTTATAATCCATATAATTCCATATATATATATATCCCATAGGATATATATATATATATCTATTGATACCCCAGTCATGTTAGCATATATATACCATACATGGATCCTCTGGGTATATATGTATCTATATATATAGTTTTATATAATATATATATATATAAACCATATTTCATCCGGAGATATTCCATGAATCTTTCACTGGGTGCTTAAAAAAACCCACGCAGCTCGTGGATGCCGAGCGTCGGGCCTGCAGGTGGTGCAGTGAACTTGACGAAGATCGACTTATCAGGCGGTTTTTGTTACGTTACGCAAGCGGCGCCGGAGATGTCTGACCCAGGAAAGCCATGGTTTCTACCCTCTGGTAATGGCTGACATAGCTATTGAAAATGGCCATTTATAGTGAGTTTTCCCATGAAAAATTGTGATTTTCCATAGCTATGTTAGTTTACCAGAGGGTACATCACTGAAAATACTTGGGAAATTAGACTTATCCATATGAAATTAGGGTGTTTCCTAACCACAGAAACTTGTACTCTACCAGTCTGACAAGTCTATGTATATGAAATTAGAGTGTTTTCTCCCAAAAATTGGGAAACATTGGGCTATAGCCCCCTTCTGGACAATTCCACAACTGCAGCACCATAGATTGTACTATATTCCCCCAGGTTATTTAGCATAGCTATGGAAGGTATTGCCCATTTAGTTTGATGATTTGTGATTATGTACCATGATTTTTTGATGGCGATTAAATAGCCAGAGGTCATCACTGAAATCTTAGTGTTTTGTATGCCCCCAATTTTTTATGGCCACTTTTTGATGGGAAAATGATGGACACTTATGGTAAAACCCTGGGATTTGGCGCGACATGTTCCAACTTCGGTGGCGGTGATGGTCACGTTGTGTACCTGATATACTTGATGGCTTACCCCACTCAGTAGATACTTGTACAAGGTGGAGCCCCAGTTTTTCAAGTTGGGAGCCACAGAAATAAATTAAGTCTTGGGTTTACGGGTGTACGGTGATATCAATATAGAAGTATAGTCGACTTATGACTGTGGGGCACCATCTTCTTGGTTGTGCATTCTTGATGTTTCAGGGACTGCGTGAACCTGGTCTAGAAGCATCCCAAATCATAGCTATATTTGGGGTAATATAGCCATGTTGTTGTTTTTTGTAACCCCAAAAAGATAGAAATTTCTGGGAACCCTGGCAATATGTTAAGTGAATCTTATCTATAGTTATCTCTAACATCCTGGAAACACAGTTTCATCATGGATATATCCCATCATGGCCGTGACCGTGACATTTGCTAAGCTAAATATCCATGGGATATGATGTGGGATCTACACCAAAGTTCATCATCAGCATCATGTGTATGTGTATGTATATATATATATGGAGGGATGCCATGTATATGTGCATATATATATATACTTATGTATATATATATAATTATATAATTATATAATTATATATATATCTAGATATGCACAAATTTCCATATAGCTATACAAACACGTACATATCTGCATAGGATATGTACGATATGTATGGCATATGTGATTCGCCAGGCAACCTCCAAATCACCGATGCCACGGTGGCAGATCTCTGTCACACGCTGAAGACGCCGTGGGGAGACCTGGCGGTCGAAAAAACGGCCTTTTCGTGTGGATGCACGGTGTACCCTCTGGTTATGTCAAAATAGCTATTGAAAATGACCATTAATGAGTTCCGATCCGGAGAGCCACCCAAAAGTCGGATTCGAGTCGGTTTCGGGTTTCGGGTTTCGGGTTTCGGGTTTCGGGTTTCGTCGATTGAAACCAACATTTCGCTGTCGGTTTCGGGTTTCGGGTTTCGGGTTTTGTCGATTGAAACCCACTTTCGCTGTCGGTTTCGGGTTTCGGGTTTCGATCGGCCCTGGGGAAGTTAAGTCTTCAGAGTCGGTTTCGGGTTTCGGGTTTCGATCGGTCCTGGGGAAGGTAAGTCTTCAGAGTCGGTTTCCGGTTTCGGGTTTTCGGGTTTCGATCGGCCCTGAAGTTAAGTCTTCAGAGTCGGTTTCGGGTTTCGGGTTTCGAATTTCGGGTTTCGGGTTTCGGGTTTCGATCGGTCCTGGGGAAGGTAAGTCTTCAGAGTCGGTTTCGGGTTTCGGGTTTCGGGTTTCGATCGGTCCTGGGGAAGTTAAGTCTTCAGAGTCGGTTTCGGGTTTCGGGTTTCGGGTTTCGCAGTTCGAAACCAACTTTAACAGTCGGTTTCGGGTTTCGGGTTTCGGGTTTCGCTGGTCGAAACCAACTCTGCAGACCTCTCTCCGGATCACGTCTCCCATTAATAGTGGATTTTCCCATTAAACATGGTGATTTTCAATAGCTATGTTAAATTACCAGAGGGTATTATATTATATATGTATATATATATGGTGATAATCATAATCGTGATAATGTACACATGTTATTTGGGCATAAATTTGGGTAACATATACAGTGTAAGTGGCGAGATATGGGGATTTCACCAAGCCGAGTGGAGCGCTACCTCTGGGCGTGGCCCATGCTTAAAGCTTTGCGTCCTGGGGATTACCAGGAGGCGGATCTGAAAATAGATATAGTTGCCAATCTTGCAGCTATTTCGGGATGTATTTTCTATGTATATATATACAATTACATATATATATATATATTAGCGATATACATATATATATACTATATATATATACTATATATATATATTAGATATACATATATATATTAGATATACATATAAACATCATTGTAAAGGGTTGTACTATGGTGCACTTGTTATTTTTGACCTCTTTTCATTGCAAACATGGGGATTCAACCAATAAGAAATTGGGGGGTTCAATGAGCCACCCACAATGAGGATGCAACTGGGATACCCGAATCAGCTGCCATGAGACACCCTGAGACATGATGATCAACCCTTAGATCCTTAGATCTTGCGAAGTTTTGTCTTAAGTAGCGTAAATCTTTTCATCACAAGTCAGATCGCAATCATGATATTTGTTCAACACACGCTTGACCAATGTAGTTGGACAATATTGACCCGGTTTGCAAGATGTCTTTTTTTTCAGTGTTTGTTTCTGCTCCACAATGACGAGCGGCATTTGGGGCACCCAACAGCAGCTGGTTGTGCATGGTCAGATTAGTGTAGAACCACCATGCTAATTCTCCCAATGACTAAAATATTACCGTTCAGGTAATATAGTAGTCCACTGTATTTTGATTGGCTTCAGCTACTTACTTTAGCATAGGTTTTGAACATGGTTTATAAGCGATTTAATCTTGATTTAACACTATTTAACTATCTTAAATGATGATGTTACAAGAGCTATGTTAAAATTCGCAGAGAGTCTCTGGGCTCTCAATCTGGTGGAATGGCGCCATTATCCCCATGAGCAACACAGGTTGTAGCTGTAGGAAAATGGCCTATAGAAATATGTATATATATATATAGATGTACATATATATATGTATATTATAGGTATTATACATGTATATATATATATACGTATACATATATACGTATACATATATGTCATGAACTATGTATGATATGTGTTAGATATTTTCTGAAGCCGCATGGTTTGAATATAGACAGATAGGAAAAAAAACAGTTCCCCACGGATTCCGAAACTGTACTTCCCAGTCACCAGTCATCGCACCGCGCGCAAGGCACATGGGTAGCGCCTTGCGCGGTCTGCGGGAACTCAATCTCCGCTCCTGCATGCGCTTGCCGCTCGGTTGATGGAGCTGGGGCGGTGCTGTTTTGGCATAGTTTTCTTTTTGGAAGGAATGGAATTGGCACATCTATGTAGAAAAATATACATAGTACTATTATATACTATTATTGCATATAATCAACTTTATTTTCTGGTGAGAAAGGGAGAGAAAGGGGTCTGCAGATCTGCAAGTCTGGAAGAATAGAATATTCCCGGCTAATTCATGACCAGCTGATATCAAAGGTCAGGCATTGTTAGTGTCTACAAGTATCTCTATAGGCCAATTTCAATCATGACTACGTATTGTCCTAAAGTCTCAACTTTTTGGTTGAAAAAAAACACGGCACCAGCTCTCAATGAAATGTTGCAGCGATTGTTGGCTTCGTTTTTTCTGGATCAGCACAGGCTTACTTGTATATGTCTGATTGTCAATGTCTGTATTATGTTCAATGTCAGTTGGTTGCCTTTCTCGTTTTGACATGTTGAATGACCCCCCACATTCATGTCGTTTCTTGGCAGCTAACTACCCTTCGAGCTGCCATAGCTCTATGGGTCTTAACCGTATTCCGGTTCGCGGCCGGATCCGTAGTCAAAACCTATGAAATTACCATATGACTGGGGGAATGACCATCTATTCACCGTCGAGCAGACTTAGGGTACCTAGGGTACCAAGGTTTTGTCCCAAAACCAAATGTATATGTTTTTTTGATTTTATAAGCAGCTGCAGGAAAGAAGTGTGTATGACTAGGAATGTATCTATCTCTCTCTTTTATATATATATATGATGTATTTATATAATATTATATATGTATATATATATATTATGTATAAAATATATGATATATATACATATATTATGTATAATATATATATATATATATATTATAATATATATATATATAGTATATTTATATATATTATATATTATGTATAATATATATAATATATAGTATATATATTATACATAATATAATATATATATATATCATGTATTATATATATAATATATTATGTATTATATTTATATATATCATACATATTATATAATACATATATAATATATATATATATACAATATACAATATATACAATATACAATATACATATATATATATATTCATATTTGTATATTATATATATATTCATTATATATGTACACAGAATCATAGATGTAAGGAATATGGCTGAAAATGGTAGAATCAAAACCTGAAAACCTAGCACGTCTGGCAAGGCGCTTGCATTCTTCAAGCAATTTGCTACCTAGGGTGAAACAAAAATGCTTATGAGAAGTGTGTTGATTTGGATACCAAGGGTCCCAAGTTGTTTAACAATTTGATGTACCATTGTTTTTACATGTTTGTTACCATCATAACTGAATTAATTGTAACTAATGGTATCCAATGGTATGTTTCATGAATCAATGTGATTTATCACCAAACATGTCCCTGGACCTGCATGATGTCCGCTAAACCATGCCCTGCTTACGTCGCAAGGAAGACACGTTCTGCCTACGAATTGCTGAATTTTGTTCAGCATGTGCGAGAGGCACCCGGGTTTTTCCGATTGTTTGGGAACATGACGGAACATGTTTGCTTTCGAAAGTTTGAAATTCCAGTTCACTCCTGAGTCCATATTTGAAAGCATGGACCCATGAGGTTTCCTTACTTTTGCTGAAAGTCGGGCTGGATTGTCAGATTGTCATCCCTAAATCCATATTTGGATTTCATTCCAAATTCCAAATGCATTATGCATCGTGGATTTTTTTCCGGACCAGACGTCCAAATCCCCAGTTTTCTCGAGGCAGCGCGAGATCCGGGTGCACAGCAGAATTTGCGCATGGTGAATGGAGTGGATTTGGAGGCGGCACGCCTGGTGGAATGCCCAGCTCTGAGTTCATTGGGTGCCCAAGAATTCTGCCCCCATGACTTTTGAATGGAAAGCATTACTGGGGGTACCCCCATGACTTTTCGGACACATCCAACCAACCAAATGGCTTTCATCGGCATCCCCATGGACGTTCCCCTTCTGAACGCTGGATGGTCCCAGCATGGACATGGTGATCATATGAATTGATGTGTTGGTGAATGATTTCACACATATTTCTTGGTGAATCTAATAAACATATCCATTGTAAATATTATAATTGTGTTTTTTATTCACTCTAAATGATCAATGTGTTGTTGATTTGCCGAATATTTTTTGACGGAATCATGAAAAGAGTATGATGAATTAGCAATTAACCATAAACAATGTTCAAAGAAAGCTTCGATGAATCATCGACAATAATGTTTGCATACCAATGTCACAAACCAGCCATGTTTGGGTGGTTCATACCACCCAGCTATGGTATTATTCATCTACTAGCATTCAAGATATTTGATGATGAGACTTGGACAATGAAAGGAAAGCTTGCATGTTTTGTGAGGGTTTTGGAATCCAATTATATATCGATTTTCCAGGAAAGGGCCCGGAACGATAAGTGGCCAACCATTGGATTTATGGTGGATATATCGTATCCATTTAGTATACCCCCATACAGAATGGTGCCCCCCAGTTATAGGTTTGGTTTATAAACCCCCAAAAAATCATTAACCCTAGTGAAATATCTACCATGAACCATGGTTAAGCCACAGCCATATCTCAACTTAGCTATCTTGGGGGCCCCATCCTGTAGCTAATTCTCATTTATTATCCCCATTATCGAGAACAAAAACGCAGAATCTGGACATCCCGATGAAGTAGAGAGCCCAGCCTGTCAACTATCCTGGAGTGGAACATGGCCTATGATGTTCCCAGCGAACCAAACCTCCATTGAGTTCGGGGAGCAGACATGTGTATACACTTTGTAGATCAACAAAAAAGAGCACAAAATTGGAGTGTCTTCGACCCAGGGGATTCCCCATTTGAAGAAAACCCCATATATATATATATTATGTATATTATGTATACATTATATGATATACTATATATGATATACATTATATGATATACTATATATGATATACTATATATGGTAAATTTATGCTATCAATTTCAGATGCTTTAAGGCACTTATTGAAGATATTATTCAGGCGGGTGCCTGAAGCTGAGATATGCACCAGTCAACTGTTCACTGGTGATTTTCTATATATCTTTTATAATGTGGATAAACCATGATAAAACAATAGTAAACCATCCCGGAAAATACCATAAATAATGCTATGGTTACCATTCCCATCTGGTTTATGACATTGTTGTACCCACATTAATCTAAATTAATTTGGCACAATTTAGTAGAAAGGCTCTTATAGTAGGATAGAATTAGATAATATTAAATATTACCACATATCAGAGGTTATCATTTTCCCCATATCCGCTAAGCTAGTTACCCCGTGGATAACAATTATATAGTTGTTTACTGATGTTTATATGCCCGATATAGTCTTATCACGATAAACCCTCGTTCTCCTAGTAATATAACCCATAGGATCCATGTATGGTATATATGCTAACATTTGGGGCATATTGATGGTAAATGTTACCATGTATAGCATACATGGATCCTATGGGTAATATAATACAGCCACAAATAAGAAAAAATCGAGTGATTTTCTGACAAGTGGGGGGCCCTTTGATTCTTCATGATGTTTTGCAGGCTCTCCAGCTTTCCAGCCGCGCGGACCGTGCGGGGCGTGCCACCACGGCACCCTCCATGCTGTTCGGGGCCCAGTGGGACGTCGTGGCAAGGCCTGGGAGGTAGCTAGTTGTAAGCCAACTTACCCTCTAGTAAACTAACATAGCTATTGAAAATGGCCATTTATAGTGGATTTACCCACTAAAAATTGTGATTTTCAACAGCTATGTTAGTTTACCAGAGGGTACCTATCTAGAAGATTGCTTCCAATTGACTTAAGGTGGTTTGTAACTGTAATAACTAGGAATAAACAATTGGATATCTACAGTTGAAGGAGCTGGCCAGCTGGGTTATCTAGCTGAATCCCCAGATGTACTTGGTGAAATCATGACTTGTTGCGTGGTTATGGAGTTGGTTTACTCAGAATTCCTATGGGGGGTTCAGTAGTCATGGGTGTTTCCCAAAATGCATTGGAATGGAACATCTGAAAATGACATGAATGATTCAAAAGTGCCCTTTGTACCCCCATTCTTCGGAAACCTCCATGTAGTTGTTATCCCCATAAACCCCATAAACCGAAGGCGGAACCGCCCAGCAGGCTCCGCAGCTTCCTGGAACAGCAAGGAGCAAAGGTGCGAAGTTACGGACGGTGGTCCTCCGAGTAAGAGATATTAAATCTAGATATAGTTCATTCTATTTATAGATATAGATATAGTTATTTATAGATATAGATTTAGTTATTTAATCTGTAATTGATAGATAGATAATGATAGATATACGTAGATATTTAATTAATTCTTATAGTTCATGTTTGTTCAGGAAAACTGGAGTAAGATTGGTCGGCAACTTCTTTGATTCCAGAGGTCCCAAACTGGGGTGCCCCAGTGATGGTGCCAAGGCACCAAAATATCAATGTCAGTTAACCGTCAACCGATGGTGCATCTCCGGGTGTTTCTCGGAAGATCCCATAGGCGCATTCCACCTACATGACGGAGTGCGACGTGCACTTCTTCGCTGGGGTGCGATGTGGGTTGGGAGGTTTGGGAAGATTGGAAGTTTGCACAGATTGAGCAATGCCCGGCCAGAAGCCTGCAGTAGATAGGTTTATAGCATTTCTAAGATATCTCAGATTTGATATGAATTGATTTATCAATGGATTGGTTTAAGGAACATTTTGCAGGAAAGCCCCATATTTTTTAAGGGTTCATCTATATCTAACCAGTTTGTGTTAGCTAGGCTAGACGGCTCCGGTAGATCATGGCGATTCATCAAAATGGAGCGTTGGACACAAAAAAAATGGGGCATGTAATCCGTGACGACAGTTACCCTCTAGTAATTTAACGTAGCTATTGAAAATGGACCATTTATAGATGATTTACCTGTTATTTATGGTGATTTTCCATAGTTATGTTAGTTTACCAGAGGTGTACTCAATGTGACTTTCAGGGTCCAAACATGATGAAATTTATGGAGGTACTAACTTAGTACCATATGTTTGGCCATATGAATTGTGGGTCATTGCTTACGAACCGCAGACAACCCACATTTGCAAGGCCTTTTTTTTCATCATCGATCATTGAAATCCGGAAGCAATTCACAACCTGGACTGCCACCAGAAACCGCAACAGATTTGGGAATGATGGTGAATTCAGCACTGCTCATGGTGGTAAGAACTATGAAGGGCGACATGAAGCCCAAGTTGTCGGGGAGCATGGTGATTTCATAGCAAGAATGGAGAGATTGACCTGGACATGGATGGTTTTTGCGATTTATCTAGTAATTATGGTCAATCCTTGAAGATGGTACCTATATTCAGGGGTAGGCCCACGCATCTCACAGCAATTGCATACCAGGCTGCCAGGTAGCCACCGAAAGCCATAGCGCTCTGACATCTGACATCTCCTGACCACTCCCACAAGTGGGACCCCGGGACCCCTGTTGCCATAGAATTGGTTGATGATGGGAAATTTCTGGAAAATTCTGATGAAACATTATGAACCTATCAAAATTGGAGTCCAACAACGGACCCATTTTCGCTGAAACCAGCTACCATTGACTATTTTGCTGTTTCCCCACGATTTGGTAAAGCAATGTCATGAACTAGCCATATGGATTGATGGTTTACCCATAATTTCATGGTTTATACATATTTATTTATGGTAAAATTGGGAATTTAGGGTTTAGTATTTTTAAACCACATTAGCCTGGAGTTCTTTCCCTCCGTTTTTTCATGATCTCTGGAAGGTCATGCACCAGTACCAGAACATTCCCTACTGTCACGTGTGCAAAGCTGAGGATTGGTTGAAGGAAAATCGACGGGAACCGATTGGTTTTACATGTTTTTGCCACCAATGGTAGCGGATGTCCTGACGTTTTTCCATGCCTATTCAAACCCGTAGAATCCAGGGGCCAGTGCAGGGTTTTGGTGGGTTCAAATCAGGGACCTTGGAAAAATGACGTTGAAGCTCCATCCATTTGAAGCGGCCGTGATGTGAAGACTGGCTTGGAGATCGCCTCATTGTAAGAAATCCCAATGTGTTGCTGGGACAACATGGGGCATTTTTGTATTTAAAGCTTGGTGACGGTGGAAACCAGCTTTGTAAGCTGGGAATCCGTGGTTGAATTCGAAGTAGCCCCACGTTAATAACTCATAGGATCCATGGTGCTATATATGGTAACATTTACCATCAATATACCCCAAATGTTAGCATATATACCAGCACCATGGATCCGTCATGGGTAATGATAAGGTCAATTGTCAGCATCCCATCTAGAAGTATCAAAAGCCGGCCCAGGCACATTGTTATCCCCACGAGTCTGCTGAAAGATGACGCAACAGCGCCTTTGGATATCTGGGGCAGGCTCCGGGACAGTGTGGCTCGTGCGCCTCCAGCGGAGAAAACCATCGGGAAACGAATGTCGATGGCCCATGGAGCTAGGAGCTAGGCCATATTTTGGGGAAATCTTCCATTGGGCCTCTAGGTAAATTATAACGAACCCTGGTTCATCATGGTTAGGATTCGGGGGATCATCCCCAAATAGCCTTATTGTTTCAGGTTAGTGAAATATACCCTCTGGTAATTTAACATAGCTATGGAAAATCACCATTTTCAATGGCAAAATCCACTATTAATGGCCATTTTCAATAGCTACGTTAAATTACCAGAGGGTAATTTACCTATAGATAGGCCTTACATAGGCCTTACATGTAGGAGCCTCCAATAAATCGGTACCTGGCCTGGGAATGGAACCGGTAAGACAGCCAACAATATGGGGATTTCACCAAGTGCCAACATAATGGGATGTAATGAGGATATATAATTATATAACATTAAATAAAACCAAGAATGTGATATGGGTTTGGCGGAAAACACGCTTGCCCCCAAGACATAATCTGGTTGGTGGTTTGGAACATGTTTTATTTTTCCATATATTGGGAATAATCATCCCAACTGACGCGCATTTTTTAAAGAGGGGTTCAAACCACAAACCCTGAGGCTAAGCCCGGTTGGTTGATGATTAGGGGCTATATATGGTCATTTCACTAGGGATTCGAAGCATAAAAAACACGGGGATATAAGTGGATATAACTGATAAATGATAGTTGGTTGATGAATATATGATATATATATATATACATAATATATTATATTATATATATATGGGATCAAACTATCCAAGATATAGGGGATTCTTACAGTCCATGAACTGGGAAATCCGTTTGAATAAAGGGAGGACAAAGGTTTGAACACTGCTCACATGGGTCCACATCATCTATCACTGGTTGAAGTTGTTCTCCATGATTTTCTATCCACATGTATCACTCTTGTTTGGCATGATGAAGATTTTCACGTTTTGTGTTTACCCCAATCTTAGATTCACAATCCACAATGACCAGAAATGGCTGCCTCAGATGTCGTACCCTCTGGTAAACATACAAAAAACATGGAAAAACACAATGTTTAATGGGTAAATCAACTATTTCTATGACCATGTTCAATGGCTATGTTGAATTACCACAAAACTATGGAAATTCACGATTCTTAATGGGTAAATCAACTATTTCGACTGGGCCCATGCAACAACGTTGAATTACCAGCTCCCAACGGCAGGCCTCCGCACCTCGCCGCAATGCCTTGCAGCCGGCGCCCCAGAGGAGTTTCCAGAAAAAATGGGATGAAGTTAGTACAATCCCATGACGGATCCATGGTGCTGGTATATATGCTAACATGACTGGGGTATATTGATGGGATTCATGGAGCACCATATATAGCAGCACCATGGATCCTATGGGAATAAACTATATTATGGTTGTACTTTAAAAAAACAAACACATGGTGAAAAAGAATAGTAGCACAATATGTTCATAAAATAGCGACCATATGGCTAATAACCCCTTTTAAATGGTGTGGAAATTCCCAACGAAAAACACATGCTTGGGGTATGTTGAGCGCAGTGCCGCTGAGTGCATGTTTAAAAAGAAAAAATATCGGAACTATGGAAAAGCTTTACGTTTCATCGGTAAATCACCATAATTCAATATAATTCATCTATAAATCAGATGATCAAAAAAGGCAATTTTCTACAGCTATGTTGAATAAGCCAGAGGCTAAATGAAGACAAATCAACTTGGTTGGGACGACATCTTAATCACTTCGCTTAGATTTGGGTCCCATTTTTGGTTGAATTTCCCCCTGATTTCCTGTTTTTTTATGGAGTCTTATGGAGTGAATATGAGTGAATTCCTAGATTCTTTTCGTGGTCAACATTGAACATAAACTGGGGTTACCAACCACAACTTAGTGTGGATGTGTCTCATTTCATACAAAATAACATTTGAAAAATCAGGGTTTTTTCGTTTCATTCCAAAAACAGCAGGTGAAGCCCAAAAAATCCATCATTACTCTCCGGTCATCAACCATGGCTAGCGGGAACATCCACCATGGCTAGTTCGTGGATTTCCCAGCTTAGCCATGGATGACATCGGAGCGTAGTTCGAATGATGATTCTACCCTCTGGTAATTTGTGACATAGCTATTAAATATGGCCCATAGAAATAGCTGATTTACCTATTAAAGATGGTGATTTTCTATAGCTATGTTAGTTTACCAGAGGGTAATTTGTGGTTTAAAATATCCGTTCGTTAATTATGAATTACGGATTGGTCTCAAATTATTCATGGATGAAATCCAAGATTGAATCATCAACCAATTCAGTGGCCATTTGAGATACGTAAAGTGGAGATACTGTGCCAATCTGTGCCATATTATAAAACCCATAGAAATTGGGGGTATATCACCCCTTACAGAGACCCGAAGATAGACCTTATATATCGTAGGTACCTCCAATAAATCGGTTCCTGTTGCATGGCCACTGATCAGTTGTTTGAGATGGTAAACCATGAAAGACCTCAAGCATTTTATCGTAGGTATTTCAAATATAATGCTATTAGCGATGTCCATCGGATAATGCTAGGATAATCAAGGATATTTATCTGGCTAAATTATGGTGACTTCACAGTGACCTCACTCGAATCATGGATTTTTCCTCAAATGGCCTTAGTTTAGGTTAGTGAAATATCATAGTTTACCCATATATATATATTCTATTTATTTATTTATTTTTATCTATTTATTTTTATTTATTTGTTTATTTGTCTATTTATGCATGTATTTATGTAGTTTATTTATTTTTATGTGTTTATTTATTTGCTGATTTATATATAATCTTCTATAATCACTTGTTTACCAAGACTAGGATAATTCATGATAGCCACCAGCTTTTCCTCCAAGGTAACGACAGCCCTTTTCCACCTCCAGTTGCTGGCGGGCGATTGCAAGCAGTGGCGGCCAGGGGGCCCAGGGGATTCCAGTAGACGGCCGCCGGTTTCGGCTGGGAAATTCCAGAACTAAATGGACATATTTAAATGTACCATTTATTTGTTCCATGTTAAATTTCTAAAAAACTCGGTTTTTGTTCCATGTTATTCTTAAGGGGTATATATATAATTAATTTGTAATATAATAGATTCTAAGTTTATATGCATAAAGAGATGGTGAAAATCATCAAACTATATACTAATGCGGGATTTTCCAGCAAACCATTGTTGATTACCAGAGGGTAACCGTTCTAATCGGAAGACAATCTCCCATGGTTAACGCAATGATTCCAAAAAAGTTCACAGTTGACTCAGTTGACCATGACATTTCCATTCAGAATCAGCTGACCATCAAAAATGTCCATTCAGAGTCTCCCGAAAAACAGCCATTGTTGAGACGGGAATGCTGTGGAATTGCAATGGGATAGTTGGGCATTTGAGAACTGCGGAATGGTCAAGCGGGTGACCATCGTTCACATACAATAGGGGGTTAACCATCAATTTTTTTGTGGTTCAGGTTTTTGCTGGTGGGAAGAATGATCCTCAATTCATAATAAGATTTAGCTAAAAATCAAATGGTGGATAATGATGATCAATAGTGATTATATAATAATGGTTAATAGTGGCTAATAGTGATTGATGGTTATAACTGATTATGAATGGGATTATTTTCAGTTTTGGACCAGTTTTATGAATTATCATCATCCCCTCTTTGTAGCAGCTTTAAGTTGGTTTCATCGTTTTCTGTCTGTTTTTCCAAGAATCGCCCTAACTCCCATGGTTTGGCTGCCCGTCCCATTCTGAGCACAACCCAGGTACAGGTCCTTATTCCAAATATGTAGTCACTATTTTTCACTGGTTAAACAATCCCATCTGCTTGGTGGTTTCATACATTTTTATTTTCCATAATATATGGGATAATCCTTCCCATTGACTAATATTTTTTAAGATTGTTAAAACCACCAACCAGCCATTTGTTTCCACCATGATTCCCTAGTTGATGGTGAATTATTACTATTATTCCTGTTTGTGGTAACCCATTTTGATGGCAATGGTAATCAATTCATGGTTGCATGCCTTATTATCATTATTGACAGTAAAATTCATCATTGCGGGGCAATGTCCCATCAGCACATAAATCCACCTCCTAATATGACACACTCCCTCTAAAACGTTTGGTCACCTGTTGGGTTTGTGATTTTAGGACCGATATGGAAGGTTAAAAACCGTTACTTGGTGGTGCATTACAGTCACCCTTGTTATATACCCATTCACATCACCCCGCACCCCCAAGGGTGGGGTGTGATTAGTTCACCGAAAAAAAACAGATTTTTCGCTACCGCTGGAAATGGTGGACTTGCGATCACCAGTTTTTTTTTGTTCACCACTTTTTCACCCCTTCCTGCAAGGTGGTGCCCCGGTTCGTCAGCTAAGTTGGTGAACATGACTCCAATAACTTGGGTGTATGGTAGATATACAGTACCTATACTTTTCACCACTTCCTGTGATCCCCCAAGTCCCCAAGATGTCAAGATGAGGCGCAGTTGCAGGCGCAGGTGGATGCCACCTGTCGTCTCTTTGAAGCTTGTGCGGAAGCATAGTCTGAGCAAAGCTCGCGGGTTCAGCATGGGAGAGCCTGCAGATACCCGGAATGGAGCTTGCTGGGGAAAATCAGTGAACTCAATGGAGGGTTGCTGGGAAAAAATCCTGGAGCCTCCGAATGAAATCTGCTGAAGAGGATTCAGATTCGGGGTTGCTCCAACCTACCCGACCTACCCAAGGGTATTTAAGGGGACTTGGGAGCTGGAGCCAGATATTTGGAAACCCTGGGTTTCCCATGGTCAATTTATGTCAATTTAATGGATTGACACATATTTGGGACCAGTTATACGGGGTGTTTCAAATGAACGGGGGATGATAAAATCTCATGTGCTTCGTGGATTTCACCAATGGTTTTTTTTCCACCAAAAATTGGTGCCGATGGAAAGGACTATCCATTTCGCTAGTGACGTGGTTCATCTAGGCATAACCCGAGAAATGGATAGTCCGTAATTTCAATGTGAAATTTCTCGGGTTCATTTTTTTTAGTGTTCAACCCGAGAAATGATAGGATGATGATCCAAATGAATGAGCAAAAAAAAAATGGGATGATTTCGCTAAGGTATTAAAGGTATTTCACCAAGAATATCAACTTTAAAGACTTGAAACTTGTGATTTCCTGTGGCCGGTGGATGCTGAAGCGGCATCCAGTGGATTGTGATCATCCCCGGCAGCATCAAAGCAGGATGTTTCCTGAAATCGGGGTACCCCTGAATCATCTATTTTATATGGGATTTTCCATGATCAAAGGAAGTTGGGAAGCAATCTTCCAAGTTAATTACGGATGACTTTTATTCAAGTGACTTTACATCACATAACAATACATCACGAAGGGTGGTGTGAGACTTTACATCACATAACAACATAACAATACATCAAGGGAAGTGGTGACCATGACGAAGGGTGGTGACGAAGGGAAGTGATGAAGTGCCCTGTGACAGCTTTGTAGTACAAAGTAGTACTGGGGAGTACTTTGTGCAGGCTTTGTAGTACAAACTAGTACTGGGACGTGCTTTGTGCAAGCTTTCTAGTACAACCTAGTACTGGGACGTGCTTTGTGAAAGCTTTGAAGTACAAAGTAGTACTGGGAAGTGCTTTGTGGGAAGTGCTTTGTGGGAAGTGCTTTGTGGGAAGTGCTTTGTGGGAAGTGCTTTGTGCAAGCTTTCTAGTGCAAAAGTATGTTGCAAAGGTTTTTCTGTGTTAATGATTTGTGTCTCAAGCTCCTGTGTGCAAAAGCTTTCTGCGCCCACTGTGTTGTTGGTGCAAAAGACTTTTCTCTGACAGTAAGAGCTTTCTGGCGTGCAGAACAGCGGAGATGAGCTGAGAAGAACTTCAAGGAGATGAGAAAGGTTGATCAGTGCTCGGATGAGATGATGAAAGCAATTGAGAAGAACTTACTTAGATGACATGTGAGAAGAGATAGGATGAGATGAGAAGAGCCAGGGTGAGGTGAGATGCGGTGAGAAGAGCTCACATGATTTGAGATGAGATGAAGTGTGGAATGTGAAGTGCAAGTGTGAAGAGTGCAGTGCGACAGTGCGAAGTGTGAAGAAAGTGTTTGTTTGGCATTGCACCGGGGTCGCGCGCAGGTCATGTTCTTGGACAACAACACGGCAACAGGTTCGCACAAAGCACGCACGCACCGGCCTGGCTGGCGCACGGCGCATGCAAGTTCTATAGATGAGAAAGGTCTTATAGTATAACCCTAAGGCAACTTCCGCCCCGCCTCGTTCGGGTACTACTGGTGAACCATCCATTTTGGGGCACCCCCATTTATTGAACCCCCCAAGTGAGTGAGACATGGTGATCTTCTTCCATTCTGGCCTGGAATGAACAAGCCACATGACTTTGGCCTAGATCTTGGATTGAATCCACCAACCACAACCAGGTAGTTTTCTTGAGTCGTGAGTTCATTTCAATATCAGTATTTGTGTTTTAGTTTGTGTTGAGGTTTCATAAGATGCCACTGAAAAGATGTAAACAAATGTTTCTACAGAGTCGGCATCTTTTCAGATTCCATTTCACTAGTCAAACCTGGCAGATGACCAGAAGGTACCTTTCAACGTCTATGAGGCTGAAAAAAATCACTTTATATATGGTAATTCATGACCTGGGTTTACTGAAGCTGGTGTTTTTATATATTGGAAATCCACCATTTCGGGAATCTATAGGGAATTCTGTTCTACCGTCAGGATTCCTCGGGTAAATCCAAAATTAGTTCTTCATTTTGCCTTTTGAATTCCTATATATACTGTAATTGTTGTTTCTTGAACTCCATTATAGTTATATACTTCCATAGTTTTCCCAGCTATCTATATATATATATATATCATTATATGTATAATTATTTTTAGTTATATAATTGTATATATTAAGGGCTTTCCCAGCTAAAACGCCACATTGGGAGGTCCTGCCCTTGCCGAACTTCGCATTTCGATGATCCCTGCTGTACCTGGCTGCGAGGACGGTCGTCTCCCCATGACGAGGTTTCCATCATGGGGGTACCCGAATACTGTAGTTGGATGGTTTATAAATGCTTATTTCATGGAAAATCCCATCTATAAAATCTGGATGATAAAATGTGGGGTAGCCAAAAAGAGAGCCCCAATGACTGTGGAAACATCCTTAAATATGTGATGTCCGTTTTGATCCGTTTTGACATGGACCCATTTCCTTAGCAAATCAGGTTGCCACATCCTGTGGCAACATGTTTCTCTCGGATGTGATTGTTGGATGTTTGTCGCGCCATCATTTCCAACTGTCAAACTTGTTGAAATTAACTTAGGGTTGCTACAGATAGGTGTCCTATCAAAATGAGCAGAATACCTATCCAGACATATTCTAGAATCGGGTATGCAAATGGCCTATATGTTGTTTTCAAAAAACCGTAAAATGGAGGTGATGTGAGTTTTTCATAGTTTTTTTTCAAGTCATAATGTTGGAAGATAGCCCGTGATGCAAGCGCTACATAGAATTCTGTGTTGATCAGTGATATCAGTGGGTCCGTGGTACAGATGTGCCCAACAAGACCGCACCACCAAATAGCACCGGATTCACGCATTAAACAGGTGCCTGAATCGACAAATGTCAGGCCTAAAGTGGCAGGTCTCCGAGGGATTACTTTTGGGCTCCAAAATCGGCCAGATCAGCTGTGAATTTTGGACATTGTGAAAAATGTTAGTTTCGGTTGAAAACAACTTAAAACTGTTGAAAGTCCCAAGTTTCCACGTTTAATTTCAGAAGTACTGTAGAAACAGCTTCGATCCACCATTTGGGTTCAATGATCTCTGCTGCCAGGAAATTCTGAGAAAGGCGGGGCATGACGTGCTGGTGACGCTTGGAACTCAAGGGATGTGGCAAACCCAATGCCATAAAAAATGGGCATGTTAATTTTACCACCCACTAAATGGTGATATGTTGATGATATCAGGTTTTACCACATTATACATAATGCTATTATTTTTTAACATTATATGTTCTATATATTGTTACATGGAATATAGTATAATGTATAGTTTCATATCGTTAGTTAATGGTAGGAAAACCCATATTTCATTGGCCAAAGTCTCTGGAATTGCGGCCGGAACACCAAGGTCGGGAACCGGAAACGCATCGGTCTGGCAGCCAAGATGGCTCTGGTGTCATCAAACTGACTTGGCGAATTCTGGGTGAACGTTTGGTTTGGATAAAACTATAGTAACTATAGTAATTATTCACGGGGGTCATACACAAACAAACATAACTGCTGGGGCACTACCTTGCATATTTTCCATAGAATTCGATAGCTACATTGTGCTAAATCATCTGACCATGGGTCACTGCAACAATCATTTCCACACTGTTTTGGAAGCTTCTGGTGAAAAGTGCCCCATTGCCGGCTTCCATGTTGGGATTAAACATGTGATATCACATTGGCTTGTATTCCCATCTTTGATGATCAAACATTAAACCGATTAAACCTGGATGTTTGATTGGTACCCTATGGCTAAGTTGGTTTATAACTCGGTCAACCAGGGTTTATTGGGGATATACCTATAGTTTTCATAGGGTTTTATAGGGCAACGTATATTCTCATTTCGGGACGGTTGATGAAACCTTTATGTGTCGAATATGTTTGATTGTTACTCTCTGGTAAATTAACAGTTCGACCCTGCCATTTTTCGGGTTGAAAGATTTGTTTCCAGCAAAATTGGTGAACTGTTCAGGGTCAAAGTGTTAATTTACAGAGGGTAAACATAGGGTTTCTCGATGGGGAACAAATGGACTACATATTGATTAATGATTGTACGTTATTGCGATAATTTTGCGATCATTTGCCTTTTGCCATATTTTTCCACAGATGTTGTTTGATTACTAAACCCTTGGAAATATGGATTGTTGATTGTTAAACCAACAAGCATATACATTGCCAGGTTTCAATCAACGATACCCTCTGGTAAATTAACGTAGCTATTGAAAATCACCATTAATAGTGGATTTTCCCATTAAAGATGGTGATTTTCAATAGCTATGTTAAATTACCAGAGGGTACATGTCGTTACCCCTGGATTGTTCAACCGGGATTTCTTGAATCTGCGAGGCCATGGACTGCTTCAGCACGTCCAAGCAACGCTTGCAGGCCATGGGCCAATTGGATGGGTAGTTTCACATAGTTTAATTGATTACCCATAGGATCCATGGTGCTGGTATATATGCTAACAGTTGACATGACTGGGGTATATTGATGGGATTCATGTTACCATACATATCCATACATAGCATACATGGATCCTATGGGATAGTCTAACTAATTAGAGCCAAGTCCTCTACGAACAGCAATTTCTTCACTTTCTATCGTTGGTCCGTGGGCGAGACTTTCTAAAAAGATGTGTTTGTCGTTTCTTTTTTTGCGAAAAAAACATGACGGAAAATGAGAACATAATGATGCGCAAAAGATGAACTTTGCACTTGTGGACTATCAAAGATTGACCATGGAAAACTGAAGTGTAAACCAGAACATAGGATGTACTCTGTGGCTATTTGACATAGCTATGGATGTATGATGAATTACGGTATGACAAATCGTCACGTTCCGCGGCTACGTTAAATAACCAGATGGTAAAGCACTTTTTAGATGTGAAACCATTGAAACCTTTGAAACCACCAAAGGTGTGAGTATAAGATAGTATAAGTACACGTTGTTTTTCGCGGTTTCAATGGGTTCCGGGGTTGGAAATGGAAATGATGCTCCTTCAACGGTCCCAAAGAAATCAGAATCCAGCAGATTTCATCAGATCCCCCCTGTCTCCCGAAAAATCGTTGGTTCTCAAGGGAACACAATAAACACGATTCCCAAAGGCCAAAGCAAGCGACCCTTTGGGAGTGAGTTAAGGAGTATCATCCAGGAATCCAGATATAAAGCGCCAAGTTTCCTAAGAATTCAGGATCGATGAAGTTCAAAAGTGCCTTGGGGTTAGTCCATATGATTTCCATTTAGTTAACTTGCTGGAGGCCACCCACAAGTTAGGGTGAGATGTTGTCAAACAATGTAAAACCTTGGGGCCTGATTTAGCTCAAACTTATTGACCAAAAACAAAATGGTCTGAGAATCTGTTCGAGGGTGTCCGGCACGCCGAGCAACCAGACAGAAAGATGTTGCCATTGTTTGGTGTTCGCAGTTTGGCAGTTGCGTTTCTTGACTTTTCGGCCATCAAAGACATGGATACATTTGGCGTATGGTCAATCAGTATACGTATATGGTTGTTTTCAGTAGTCAATATGGGAAACCTAATACTGGTGGTTTGGAACATTTTATTTTTCCATATATTGGGAATGTCATCATCCCAACTGACGAACTCCATCATTTTTCATAGGGGTAGGTCAACCACCAACCAATAATGATAAGCCTATTATTTGGAGCATGTATTATATCAGCCATAAAAATAGGGTGATTTCGGGGATGGATTGTGGCTATTGTGGCTGGCGGCCCATGTCAGGAGAAGGCGGCCAAGAAGCGCAAGGCCAAGCAAGTTCAAGGCGGCGCATCGACCTAGAAATGGACATGGGTTGATAGTGAAAGTTGAAAAGCGCAGCAATCAGAGGTTTGAAAATCTGCGGGAAACGTCTATATTTGGAGATATTTGTGGTGTTTACCAAAGGTTTCCTGCAGTTTTTCCCCTACACCAAACCTCTGAAGCTATTTTCTATCCCCTAATCCAGAATTGGTCCACGACCGCATGGAAAACTGAAAACCTTGAGATTGAATGGTTCTGGCTTAAAAACCACGTGGAACATTCAAGAATAAAGTCGATTATTGGGTTAGGTTTCACTATCCCCAAAAGGTAGGTAATTTGGTAAATGGGGGTCTGGTGTACGATTGGCTTTAGCAATTGACCTCATCATTTTTATTGTCAAACGGACCAGATGAATGTTTATGCACCAAATATGGAGAAAGACTAATCTATGTATCTATGTAATCCTACAACGGTTGGCCCCCAAGTTAGGTAAGTTGGTTACAAACATATATATATATATATATAATACAAAATTAATGTTGTATCCTGATTAGTGTCTAGGTTCACTACTCTGGCAAGATGTTTCCAAATTATGCAGGCCCCCAGCAATGTTTGGAAGGCTCACTATTGTGGCAATAAATTTTGGCAGACCTTTTTTGTTTAGCACAAAATGATTGAGTGAAAAAAACAACAAACTTTTTTTTTTGAAAAAAAAAACGTGCTCGCTTGCCTTTCCCAAAAGAATCAGATCGCTTATAAAACCCTTATTAAAGAACAGTTTTCCCACAACTTTCCAAGGCACTGGGCCATGAGAGGGTCCAATTCACTTTAGCAGGTTTGTTCTCAGGGTTCACAATTGCAGCAATTTTTTCCAGAGCTGATCCTGGAGCCAAGAAAAGAAAGGTAGGCTTGTTCCCAAAGAAATTGCCAAGTTCAAAGTCCAAACCTTTCCCAAAAGAATCAGGCCGCCTATTAAACCCTTATTAAAGAACAATTTGTCCACAAATTTCCAAGGCACTGGGCCATGAGAGGGTCCAATTCTCTTTCTCTTTATCTCTTTTTTTCTCTTTCTCTTATCCTTTCTCTTTCTCTTTCTCTTGCGTTTGCTCTTCCTCTTCCTCTCTCTCTCTGTTCCTCTTCCTCTTCCCCTTCCCCTTCCTCTTCCTCTTTCGCTTTCTCTTTTTCTTTTTCTTTCTCGCGGTCCCTTTCTCTTTTTCTTTCTCTTTCTCTTTGTCTTGTTACATGTGTCAAGAAGAAAACTTAAAGTGGAAAAGGTAACGCAATCATACGCAATCAACATGTTGAACCCTACTCACTCAAGTACTACAAGTATCACAAGTTCATCGGCAAAAAGCAAGTTCTAATTAGATGTCAATTGTCGCCAATTGAAATCCTTACTTAAATGCGGGATCCGTATTTTTCTGGGGAGGAGTTTTTTGATACCTCACCCAACCTTAAAGATGGTATAGCTATTGTTTGAGGGGGGTACACACAAATCAGGACGAAACATTAAACATATTGTAAATTCGGATCCAAAATGGATTAACAAAGCAGCAAAGATACTGGGGGCGCCCCGCATAGTTGGGCCTTGTTGTACCGAAACCTTACAGAATCTCTCGCTGTGAAAATCTGTGTCTCTCGCCAGGCGCGCCTGCAAAGGCCTTGTATGTGGGAAGCCTCAAAAGTCGGAGGGCATCCTCCGGGAGCGCTGGTGCTGGGGGCTGGGGATGGATGAGATCAAGATTTTCAAGATAGAAAAATATTTCACGTATAGACTATAGATATGATACTGTGGATGGAAGAAATCCTGCACCAGTTGATAGGTGGTTTATCCCATTATATAATATTATTATTTATCTGGGTTATTTAAAACGACGTTAGCGACGTCACCTGGAAATAACGACCTAGATCTTAGAAATAAGATTATGGATCCTGAACCCATGGTACCCTTTGCCACGCCCTGCACACCTTCGAGCTTTGATGGCGAAGATGGAGAAAGGAGGCGTGGGGGTTGGACTAGCAACCGGATTCCACATATATTTAAACTATTTCTCTTGTAGCCGATATACAGCCCTGAATTACGAACTAGGATTTAGCACCCCACAGAAGAGTTGGACATTGTTGCAGATGATTTCATGCACAGTTTGGGCAGCTAGGGCCTGAAAAATCGGTATTGGGGAGCTACTGGCACCTTTCAAGAGCAGTTTCTTTTGTTGGTGCTGAAGCAGCCCAGAATTACGAACTAGGATTTAGCACCCCACAGAAGAGTTGGACATTGTTGCAGATGATTTCATGCACAGTTTGGGCAGCTAGGGCCTGAAAAATCGGTATTGGGGAGCTACTGGCACCTTTCAAGAGCAGTTTCTTTTGTTGGTGCTGAAGCAGCCCAGAATTACGAACTAGGATTTAGCACACCACAGAAGAGTTGGACATTGTTGTAGATGGTTTCATGCACAGTTTGGGCAGCTAGGGCCTGAAAAATTAGTCTTGGGGAGCTACTGGCACCGCTCAAGAGCAGTTTCTTTTGTTGGTGCCGAAACAGCCCAGAATTACGAACTAGGATTTAGCACCCCACAGAAGAGTTGGACATTGTTGTAGATGGTTTCATGCACAGTTTGGGCAGCTAGGGCTTGAAAAATGTGCATTGGGCAGGTGCCATAACTATCCAGAATCAAAAACCGCAAAATGGGCCCAGATCGCGAAACTAGGAAATAGTTGTTTTTGAAGGTTTGGGCTTGTCTAAGTAGATGATTTTAAGGTTTAAGGGGCCCAAAAGACAGGAAAAATTGCCAAAACACGTTTTGGGCAAAGTTCCTTGCAATTTCCTTCTGCGGCGGACCCGAGGGAATCGAGCCCCCACGCGGGGGAGGACCCGAGAATTGAAAGCCGCGTCCGAACACCGGCCCCGTAGGACCCTGAAAACAGCCAGTTGCAGCGGTGGCACTGCTGTGGCAAAGCTGGGAAAGCCAGACATGTCATGTGGAGCGGCAGTGGGCTGTGTTTTTTTTGGTCTCCGGCTCGAGTAAGTCAGCTCATGCCCGCTGGCCTCAGCTTAATGAAGCGGTGGCTGGAATGAATAGTCCAGCGCCCCCCATACTTAAGACACCACCAAGCAGACGCCGGAGAAGGACAGAACCCCCAGAGCCTGATTCAAGGAGGTCAAGCAGAGGTGGAGCGACACGAACTGCAGAGTCAGCTGCTCCAGAACGCTGCACATCGTTTCGCGAACCTTGCCCGTTTACCGTGTAGCGGCCAATGCAGACTTGCCTCTTGAAGGTCTTCTGACAGACTACAAGCAGAAGTCGGGCGTGCTCCCAGACAGTGGAATGGTTTTCTTTGCCAATGACCAGGATGTGGCAGGTGAAACCATGGTGAAGGATTTGCCTCAAATTGCACCCAACGTTGTAGTTCTGCAGGCCGTCCCGCCACAGGAAGCAATTTGTGTCCGGGTTGCTGCGAAGCTGGCACTGGAAAAGAATTTTTGGGATCAGGTTCAGCAAGGCGGCGCCATGAGCCAACAAAGTTTTTGCACAGCCTTGCAGGCCTTGCAGATTCCTGGCTGCGATCCTGAGCAGGTGTGGTCGCTATCCATGGGAAATCAGCCTGCCACGGACGATGCAACTTTTTTAGCTCACTTCTCGGCTTTTGAATGTCTCAAAAGCACGATGCTTCGGGCCTCCACCGCAGAAGATTCTGATGTTGTGACGCAATTGGTCCAAGGCGTGACTGTGATCTCCTTGTTCGAGCCGGTTCCAGTCGGTGAACGGATGGTTGGTGCAGCGAGGATTTGTGACCTTCTCTGTGGGAGACACCATGTACTTGCAGCGAACCTTTTCTTTCTTGCCCCCGCCACCAGTGGAATTGCCCAACGAAGACGATTCCGCTACAGTTGCCGCTGAGGATCAGAAGATCGACGATGCCCTCGGCCTGGAGATTCGTGAAGAGAATGCGGTTCCGGACGCAGAGCATGATAAACCAAAGAAGGGAAAGTCCAAAGGCAAGGGTAAGACTGCGGGCAGGCCACGTTTGGCTTTAACCCGGGTGACCCAGGTTCTAAAGGATATCAGAAAGTTGCAGGCTTCCACCACTTTACTTGTTCCCAAAGCATGTTTCCAACGCCTTGTGCGAGAAATCTTGGAGGAGGTCACACACCGCCTGAAATGAGCTTCAGGATGTCGTCCGACGCGTTGACGGTGTTGCAAGAAGTTGCAGAACAGCACGTAACTAGTGAGTTTGCCAAGCTCAACATGTTGGCTCACCACCGAAGAGCTGTCACCATTGAGCTGCGTGATCAAGCGATGCTGCGGGACATTCGTGCCTGATGATGGCGGCAAAAGTGTATGGGGCAATTCGAAGTCATGTTGGTGGAAACATTAGTGGGGCTTCCTTTTACTGTTCCAAGTCTCTATGGCTAAGTCAGTAGGAAAAGACATTTTCTGCAGGGCCGCAGGGACTCCAGAACTAAGCGTGTTGCTTCGGGTAACTCTCTGACCAGCTAGCACAGTAGCACTGAAAGCGCCTATGCTCAGGCAAGCTCGTGCATGCCTGGCTGCATCACAAGGTGGGCAGTTTGGAAGGGGCTTATTTGGTATGGGGAGGATTTGTCCTGTGCCAACGCAGCATGATCATATTCTTTGTAGATCGAAGCCCCACACCAAAAGGCCGGAGCTGGGCCGCTGCCCACCCTCGCCAGTGGCGGCGGCACGCCTGACACCTCTCTCTTCTGGCGCCCGCCGTCCGGAGCTGGGGGGCAAGCCCTCGCCAGTGCCTGCGGTGGACAAGCAAAGAGATAAGCCACCTTATGGCACGGCAAATCTTCTTGGCCCTTGTTTTTGTTTGGGTTGCTGCAATGCGTTATCTATCGTTCTATCTTACCTCATGTCAACAAACACTTGACCGGGGCCAAGTTAGAACCAGAGCATTTCCGGCTGGAGGGCTAATTATTTTAGGATTTTTTGTTTGATCAGGTTTAGGAATTATTTTTGGATTCCTGCTTCTCTGCTTTTCCTGCTTTTCCTACTTCTCTGCTTTCCTGCTTTTCCTGCTTTTCCTGCTTCTCTGCTTTTCTGCTTTTTTTCTTTTCTGCTTCTCCTGCTTCTCGCATTTTCTGGTTTTTGCTTTTCTGCTTCCCCTGTTCCCCTGCTTCTCTGCTTTTCTGCTTTTTTGCTTTTCTGTTTTTCCTGTTTCTTTGCTTCTCTGCTGTTCCTGCTTTTCCTGCTTTTCTGCTTTTCCTGCTTCTTTGCCTTTCTGCTGTTTTTCTTTTGTGCGTTTCCTGTTTCTTTGCTTCTCTGCTTTTTTGCTTCTCTGCTTTTTTTTTGCTTTGCCTGCTTTAAATACTTGATTTTCATGTAAGATGCATTTTGCACAGTATTTACATCCCTGAGTATCACATGACCAACCTTCTCTTGAAAACTTGCAACGTAACATGTGAGAAGAGGTGCTTGCATTCTGCTTTGGGGGGAGGCGCTGCGCCCTCCCCCAATCCCCCCCTCCCGCTTTTTTTTATTTAAACTTAAACCCAAGTTACATTAGTTGGTTTTTGCGAACTAACCTTCTCTGGAAAGCTGACAGGATTACATGTGATAGATAGATAGATAGATAGATAGATAGATAGACAGATAGATAGATAGATAGATAGCTGGATAGATAGATAGCTTGGTAGATAGATAGCTAGATAGATAGATAGCTAGATAGATAGATAGCCAGCTAGATAGATAGATAGCTAGAGAGATAGATAGCTAGATACCTCGATAGATAGATGGCTCGATAGATAGCTAGATAGATAGATGGCTAGATTAGATAGATAGCTAGATAGATAGCTAGCTAGATAGATAAAGAGGTAGCTAGATAGATAGATAGATAGATAGATAGCTAAATAGATAGGTAGATAGTTAGCTAGATAGATAGATAGCTAGATAGATAGCTCGATAGCTAGATAGCTGGATAGACAGCTGGATGGCTAGATAGATAGATAGCTAGATAGATAGAAAGCTAGATAGCTAGATAGCTAGATAGCTAGATCGATAGTTAGCTAGCTAGCTAGCTAGCTAGCTAGATAGGTAGATAGATAGCTAGATAGTAGATAGATAGCTTGCTAGATAGATAGCTAGCTTGCTAGATAGATAGCTAGCTAGATAGCTAGCTAGCTGGATAGATAGCTAGCGCCCTCCCTCAATCCCCCCCACCCGCTTTTTATCTAATCCCAAGCTTCCGCATCTGCAAATATTTGGGTGAACATGTTCACATGTAGAACATCCCATGCAAAATGGAAGGTGAACATGCCAAAATGTGGCAAATACCATACAAAATGGAAGGTGAACATGCCCACATGTAGGAAATCTCATGCAAAATGGAAGGTGAACATGCCTAAATGTGGCAAATACCATGCAAAATGACAAATTCAAGTTCCAAACCGTTGCAAACACTAGGCAAATGGTACCAGCCAAGAAATCCAAAAAAAAATCCCAAACCTGCTAAAAAAAAAACTAAAACTATTTCACACCCTTTCCGGCTCTATCCTCTCGGCAATTTTTGCCGCGTTTCATTTTGTAGGGATTTCCATTGTTGGAAGTGGCGTGATCAATGTCAGAGAAGACGAAAGAGGAGGAGGCATTTCAAGCCCACAAAAAGAGGTTTGAGTGGCTAGAACTAGTGACAAATGATGGGGCCACCCGCCTGGGTTGCAAATTGTGCAAAGAACACAATAGCAGCTCCACTTCGGCATTTGCGCAAGGTATGCACCAAATAGAGAAATATTTTTACACAAGAACGTTGAACCAGCATGAAAACTCAGCAGTTCACAAAGAGAGCTTGCGAGCTGCCAAAGCAACCAGCACTCCAGCTGCGCCTTCCACCCCTCCTGGAACTCCTCAGAAATCTGCATGTTTGAAGAGCCCAGGCAGTCACCGCAAGTCTCCCAGAAGCAAGGCAGCATCTCCGAGTGAAAGCCGTGCTGCCAGCAGCGTGGCAGCTTCCCCGGCTGAGAAGGACAAGAGCAGTAAGACAGCAGACCGGTTTTTCAACCTAGTTGCGGGTGCTTACACTTCCATCTTCCATGAAAAATCCAGTCAGGACTTTGTGTTGCTCGTTGACTATGCTCGCGCATGTGGTGGGAACCTCCCCGGGCAACATGATTCTGAGACCATTTTTTGGGAGATCCGCGATTTGATTGCTGCACGCGCTGTTCTTGTTGAGAAACTGGTAGAACAAGTCACATCTTCGCCCTTTTTTGCAGTCTCCATATAGATGAAAAGGACCGGTTCTTGATTGTGGTCCTTTCATTCTTCGCCAACGGTGCCGTGGTGACTGTGCCTGTCGCCTACAAAGACATGCCAGGCTTTGAAGCCCAGGACCTTTTCAATCTGGTCCGCTCCTTGTTGGATTCTTGCACCTTGTTGGTTTCACGGCCGATGGGGCGTCAGTAATGGGCACAAGAGCAGCCCTGAACAACCCGGGTGAGAACGTTGCAACAAAATTGGTCGCCTGGGCTAACCACCCACTGCTTGTGACCCACTGTGCCCCCCACCGTTTGCAGTTGTGTGTCATCTCAGCCTGGGGAGATGACTACCTGAAGAATCTGGAGAAGCAATTGAAGGCCCTGTACAAAAACTTTTGGCTGTTTCAGGGACTAGCCACATGGGAGGCCAGGATCACCCTCTCGGGCATTGCAGATATTCTGGAAATCTGCATGTCCTACAAGAACCGTCTGGAACGGGTGACTTCCTTCACTGCTGTTGAAGACTTGGCGAAATCCTTACAACACGAACTAGACAGATTCTGCCGTCATAGTTCTGTTGTGTCCTCTGCCTTGGCCGGTGATCGGGACTTGCCCGGGGGAGGCACCCACATTGAATATATTTGTGAAAAGTACCACCGAGAAAAGGGTCAAAAGTTGCACCTTCTCTACACAGCCCGCGATCACCTGGTGAATGAGTGGGTTCCAGTGAAAGATTTTGACGGGCGAGATGCCGTGAAACTCACCTTTCGGCGGCTCACAGACTTTGCGCAGACTTGTGCAGAAAAAGTCCTTGACAGATTCTCTGCCAAGGCGTTCTGGGCCCATGCTCACATCTTTCGGCCTGACTACAACTTTGACAAAGAAACATTTCAGACTGCCATCTGGGAAATGGGCAACCATTTGAACATGGAGACAGAGCCTTTGATCCGGCAGATGAGATCCGCCTTTGCTGTCCGGGACATGCTGTGTGAACGATCAAATTTTCCATCTGCAGAGCTCCTCTGGAGCAAGACGCTGCAGGAGGTGAATGAGAGAGGTGACCTTCCTCTAGCTGCTCAACTCATTGCTTCCTTTCTTGTCTCTCCTTCTCAGGCCGCCACGTGTGAGCGTGGCTTTGCAACCATTACTCGCTTGCGAGACCGCTCGGGGGAATGCAGCGCATCCGTCTTTGAGCAATATCTTCAGGTTGGTTCTCTTGGGCTCACTGCAAAAGAAGCGAGGCAAACCGGTTTCATCAAGGAGTTGACAACAAATCATGGCTGCAAAAAAACGCAAGGAAGAAGAAACCGGAACAAAAGGGTACCGCAGAAAAGGCAAGCTTCTCATACCACGCAAAAGAAAGCAACGCAGTGACAGTGGCCAGAAGCGCAAAAACTACAAGAAAACGAAGACCCATGCAGGTTTACGGGCTTTGCCGACGGCCCGGCATTTGACTCGCGATGGTGATGCGGAAGTCCACATGGGCGAAGCTCCGGACGAGGTGGATGAACACGACATTTGGAACCAGATGTCGCCAAGAAAGAAGTGAAATTCCACCACTTGCAAATTGGCTTTCCTGTATCACCCACGGATCCCGCAGCCGCACAGAAGACGTGCTTGTTCATTACGTCCCTTCCTGATCCGACATGCAACCTTGCTCTCTCTCCACATTAGCATGCCCCCACTTGATCGTGACTCTTGGGATCCTGTTGGGTGCGAATGTCAAGCATTCTGGTTCATGAAATAATTTTGCGTTCCCAATCCTTCTAACTGTAGTCCGGGATATGGTTGATCACCATGCAATCAATGAGATAGCCCGTCAGACCTAGTTTCAAATTCTGAGTCATTTCGCATGATCGGACCGGACCTCTATTCCTGACAGGTGCCAATCCGTGCAGAACGGCTTCGCATCATCGGGTCACTGTGAACCTGACAGGTGCCAATTTGGAGCATGCTAGGGATTTTTCCATGCCCAACCAATCAGATGTAGCCCGAGATATGGTTTGTCACCATGCAATCAATGAGATAGCCCCTTAGACCTAGTTTTCAATTCTGCGTCATTTGGCATGATCGATCCTGACAGGTGCCAATTTGGAGCCTGCTAGGGATTTTTCCATGCCCAACCCTTCCAGATGTAGCCCGAAATATGGTTTGTCACCATGCAATCAATGAGATAGCCCCTTAGACCTAGTTTCAAATTGTGAGTCATTTCGCATGATCGGACCGGACCTTTATTCCTGACAGGTGCCAATCCGTGCAGAACGGCTTCGCATCATCGGGTCACTGTGAACCTGACAGGTGCCAATTTGGAGCATGCTAGGGATTTTTCCATGCCCAACCAATCAGATGTAGCCCGCGATATGGTTTGTCACCATGCAATCAATGAGATATAGCCCCTTAGACCTAGTTTTCAATTCTGCGTCATTTGGCATGATCGATCCTGACAGGTGCCAATTTGCAGCATGCTAGGGATTTTTCCATGCCCAACCCTTCCAGATGTAGCCCGAGATATGGTTTGTCACCATGCAATCAATGAGATAGCCCCTTAGACCTAGTTTGCAATTCTGAGTCATTTGGCATGATCGGACCTCTGATCCTGACAGGTGCCAATTTGGAGCATGCTATTAGGATTTTTCCATGCCCAACCCTTCCAGGTGTAGCCCGAGATATGGCTTGTCACCGTGCAATCAATGAGATAGCCCCTTAGACCTAGTTTTCAATTCTGAGTCATTTGGCATGATCGGACCTCTGATCCTGACAGGTGCCAATTTGGAGCCTGCTAGGGATTTTTCCATGCCCAACCCTTCCAGATGTAGCTCGAGGTATGGTTTGTCACGATGCAATCAATGAGATAGCCCCTTAAACCTAGTTTTCAATTCTGAGTCATTTGGCATGATCGGACCTCTGATCCTGACAGGTGCCAATTTGGAGCATGCTAGGGATTTTTCCATGCCCAACCCCTTCCAGATGTAGCCCGAGATATGGTTTGTCACCATGCAATCAATGAGATCGCCCCTTAAACCTAGTTTTCAATTCTGAGTCATTTGGCATGATCGGACCTCTGATCCTGACAGGTGCCAATTTGGAGCATGCTAGGGATTTTTCCATGCCCAACCCTTCCAGATGTAGCCCGAGATATGGTTGATCACCATACAATCAATGAGATAGCCCCTTAGACCTAGTTTTCAATTCTGAGTCATTTCGCTTGATGGAACCTCTGATCCTAGGAGTCCCTTTTTTGAGCATTGCAAAGTTAAATGATTACCCATTGGGAAGACATTGCTGCCTCTAGCCTGTGTGTGTGTGCTCTCTGGCCAGGTGACTATTTGGCGCTGGTGCAGCACCGGGAAACACTCACACCCGACGCTCATAATTCCTTATTTCCCCCGAGGTCACCCTATTTCTGGTTTGGAAATAAGGGAATTAAGAAACGACCCAAGAAATAAATTAAATAGGCCAGATTTATAGGTTTTCAACCATCTGAGGTGGTGCACGACTTCTTCCATTCACAGTATGATATAAGATTTTGGACGCGATCTCCCCATGTTCAATAGATTCTAGCTACAAAAAACACCCCGCGTGACCAATCACCGTGATAGTTAGGTACTTCCATGTGAGTACGAAAATAAGGTATACATGATTATGCCATGGTATACCCCAAGATTCCCGATGTTTTTTGTTTAATGTTTTCCCCTTCTTTTGTTCCCATGAGAATTGCATGGGGAGTCCCCCATTTTTAGAGATTCCACGATAACGCCCATCTGATATTGTTGGATATATATATATATGTATATACATGCATATGTACAATATTGTACAATATATTATTACATAATATCATGTTAATATAGATATATGTATGAATATTTCTCAACATATCCAATGATATTCTTCCAAACTGCTTGGTTTGAGATATGATATTCCGATTGTATCAAATGTTATTCCAAGATATTCCAAAATATTCACTGTATGGTAGTTACGCAGTTTCCCACATCATTTAAGGACGATCTGAGGTTAGATTCTTAATGCTAGTATGCATGGCAATTTTGTTGAAACAAGCCTGCGCATGAAATACGCCTGGGAACATGGACATTGATTTAGCATGATTTATCCCATTTCCCATTTCTCTGTTATATCATTGTTTGTGGGTTAGATCATGTCCCTTTCAATTAAATACTTTGTATATTTCATAACTATTCAGATGTATCATCATCCGTCATCCATCACAATGTATCACCATTTATCACCCTTTATCCATTGTGCGTTGATTAAATCCCATCGTGCATCCCATTTTTGGAGGCTTCAACCCCATAAACAAATCACAGTTCAAGAGTTGCTTAAATCCCATTACATCACCCTTTTCCGATCCCCATTTCCGCTTACCCTCTGGTTATTTTATATACCCATAGGATCCATGTATGGTATATATGCTAACATTGGGGGTATATTGATGGTAAATGTTACCATATATAGCATACATGGATCCTATGGCATATATAATATAGTTCTGGAAAATGACCGAGTTATACAGGAAAAAAACGATGAATTACATATAAAAAAAACGGGTGATTTTCTACTTCACTACGTCAGAGATACCCAGCTTCGGGGTGAATCCACCACTGTTTGCTACCCACAGGTCAACAACATCAATCGACAAAGGCTTCACTGCTGCTTCCGGACGCTATATGGTCAGGAGCCCGGCCCAGCTTGGCTGGGGAAGCTGAAAAAGATCGTTTGTTGCTACCATATATAGCTGATGTTGATTTTCACAGAGTGAATAACAGTGATAGTGATGGTCCTTCTTACACATATTTCAGCATATTTCTAGAGTCAGAGTATGTTTTTAGATAAAAAAACGTGTTGCTAGTATTTATTCCGTTGATTCCTACATAAAAACGTGGTGTTTCTTCGTGGGGATCGTAAAAATTGCCGTAGGCCTGACGAGTCCGAGCAAGGGAGAGTGAGCTAATGTACCCTCCGGTCATCTCGGTCAAACGTGGGGAAATCCTGGGATCCTGCGAAACATTGGGAAAATCCCTCCGATCAACGGAGGAGAACGGAGCTTTGAGTGAGAGAAATCATGGATAAATCATGGATAAATGATATAGAAATGGATGTTTGAGTGGGAAAATGAATGAAAATGATCTACAAGTGGTTTTTTTTTCCAGCTAGCCACATTTCCCTCCGGGGCGGACGTTCGCCCAAAGTCTCATTGGGATTTACTTACGTTGTGGTTTGTTTAGGATTTATTGAAGATAGTTTTAGGGTTTACTTAGGGTTGGTTTGTTGGATTTTCTTTACGGCTTATTTAGATTTTGTTTAGTTAATTGTAGTGCTATTTAGGGTTGTTTTGGGCTTCATTCAAGGTTCCTTTAGGGTCTATTTGGAGGGTTATTTCTGGTTGATTTAGGGTTTGTGAAGGGTTTATTTAGGGTTAGGTTATTTTGGTGTTTTTTCAAAGTCTTGTGGTTTGTTGAGGTTTTGGTTAACAGTTCGAAACACTGTAAATTACGGAGGGTATCTTTAAGACAGGCTTCAAAAGGTGATTTTGGGCACCGTCTTAGGTAAGCGCAAAAATGCCTTGAGACGCAGGAAATATCCATATTTTATATGTTCGCAGTTTGCAAAAAACACGCACCCAAAGAACACAACAGATTGCAGTCCTGCATAAAATTCCGTGGATTTCGGGCAAATGTCAGCCCCCTAGCGCCACATTTCATTTTTGCAGGGTATTCCTTTGGTTCTTTTGATTCTGTCAGTACATGTCAGTACAACACAAAAAAACCTCGCCATTCGTTGAAAATGGAGCTGACTGTTGAAGCTGAAGAAGGGGCGAATGCATATCTACTCCATCCCCATGTTGATGTACCCTCTGGTAAACTAACATAACTATGGAAAATCACAATTTTTAATGGGAAAACTCACTATAAATCACCATTTTCAATAGCTATGTTAGTTTACCAGAGGGTATGTTGATGTTTGGGGCCCACAACCTCCCATGATTTGTAGCCCTTCTCCAAGGGAAAGACGACGCGGAACTGGCGCATGAGGACATCATGTCGCCAGATCTGGCTACCATCAGTGGGTGGCACCCAGCATTGCGAGGTATTTATGGTTTATTGGGCAGGATGGTGCCCCTCAGTTGTAAGTTGGTGTATAAACCCCATTAACTATAGTTATATCTGCCATAAACCATAGTTATGGGAGTTATAAACCAACTTGGCTAACTATGGGGCACCACCTTGTAGTTTATATGGATATTTTCAAGTTGAGCAGCATCACTAAGCTAGTCGGGTTCGTTGGGTTTTTATATGCAGAATATATCTACAGTTGAAATGGTCAAAAGAAAACAACTTGGGGGATATAATTATCATGGGGATTCTTATCGGAATATATTTGGACTACGATGGGGTGTATATATACATATATATATGTATATAATATAGACAAATATGAATTCATACATTATATATACACAACAACCTGCAATAGTTGGGTAAATAGTGATTCATGGTTATTCATGGTGATAATGGCTAAACATGGCTCGTCAATGGGTAAACAAAGGGGGTTCTGGCCGACCATTGGTTTACAATAACCAGATACTAAACGTGTGAGCTGTGTGACTTAGAGTTATATGGCGCTGACATGTAGTATATCTATACCTGATATACTATAGTTAAAAGACTAAAGTAATATATGTCAATGTAATTTATATATATATATACATACATATTATTCATATATATATATGTACATGTCAGCGTTCAAATGATATTCATGTAATTTACCCAGGTTCCTTCCTCTTCATCACATCCAACAAAAATGCCGACTTCCGGTAGGTCTTCCCAGCGACGTCGATGTCTCCAACTTCTTTTCGGTGGCCACGTGCAATCCTTGGAGGGCCTGAGCTAAACCCATGTTGGTTGATGTTTACTTTGGTACAATATCTATCACTTTTATCATATATATATATATACATACTATATATATATATGTATGTATACATACTAATTATATATATATACCACTTATATCTTGGAGATTATCAGAATTCACGAGCTGAGAATCGCTGTGGTAATTCATGGGGATACAAGGCGGGCATGTCATGAAACGGGCATGTCACAGTGGTGCCCCTGTGCTATGGCTATGTTTGTTGGTCTATGATCATCCACCTAACTATAGTAAATATAATTAACTATATATATATAGTTATAGGTTTTGTTTGTTTATTTATGTTTATTTATTTATGTTTTGGATTTAATATGGTTTAATCATGTTTTATCATCGATCAACACAACTATCATTTATTATTCATTATCTTAAACCCAACTGTTCAGCTCGTCATGTGGCCCCCAGCCGTCAGAATTTTACAGGACCAGAGATAGCGAAGCCACGGCCCATTGAGTTGGATGATTTACCCTCAAAAATGGTGGTTTCCTAAGCCATGGAGGTACCCCACTATGGATGGTTTATTTCATGGAAAATCCATCAAAAAAAGTGGATGAGAACTGGGGATAGCCCTATGGATTGGAAACCCCCTATGGTGTGGACCATAGCTGTGATATCAAATTACCAGAGGCGACCAAATTTCGGTCCATACCCATGTTACGCATGGTGGGAATCTGGATGATGGATGATGGAAGATTGGATGGTCATGGACAAAATGATAGCAGAATCCACACCAGCAACTGGATTGGTACTTATTATTAGCCCAACCAGCTATATATATATGGCAAAATTGCAGGGTATTTGATTTGTTTGTGATTATCGTATATTATAGTCAGCTATAGTCTATAGTGTTTGGATGCCCATACCCTATCCCAGCATCCTCTAACATATATACATATATATACGTAATGTTGCTTATAGATCCCATCAGTATTTCAATTATTTCCTTATTCAATCGCGAATAAAAAACACAACAGAGAAATACCTCGATGAAATCGGTTGATACCGTATGAAATCCCAATAAATTCTCATCAATATGCTATCGAAATATCCTGTGTCCATATATCATATCCCCAATTCCATGGCTGACGCGAAGCTTAGCGAAGCTAAAAAACCCACCGCGAGCGAAGCTTAGGTCCGTAGATTTGAAGCATTTAGACCTCAGTGAGCAGCTTAGTTCGTTATCGGGAGATGGGACCACAGATTGGTGTTTTTCTTTGAGAGAAAGAGAGAAAGAGAGAGAGAGAGAGTAGCAAGAAACTAAGTAGTATTGCCTTTGTCATCATCATTAGTTATGTCTGTCATTGTTGGAAACTCATGCCCAATTTTATGCTGGATAACTTATTGTTTAATGAACATAAGAAGTTGTCCAATTTTTTTGGTTGGTTAATCAACCTCGATCTCAGCGGGCAGATGTTTTGAGGTCCCTCGCACATCAGCAAGTTGCCAGAGCTGACGGAGATGCCTGCGCTGACGCATGTGGCGTGGCTAGGGGAAGCGGAGGTTGATGGGAAAATTGTGACGGGGGAGGATGACAACTATAGTTTTTCGTGTTTTTTTTCATGATGTTTAATCATGTCTAATAAGCTGGCTAAAAACTACCTGGAGGATACCCTCTGGTAAACAAACAGTTTGCGAACTTGAAGCCATGGCCCAGTCGAAATAGTTGATTTACCCATAAAAAATTGTGATTTACCCATAAAAAATGGTGATTTTCCAGTTCCTTATGTAAACGTTGACCAGGCCGGGTAGGGAACTTGGCGAACACAAGGAGTCGGCCAAGTCTTGGAGGATCATCATCCCATGGTCCTCCGTTGAGTTGTGTTCGCCCCGTTGTGGGGTTAGTTGAGTTTAGCCGCAGAAATTTCAATGGCTGGTTGGTGGTGACTGGAACCATGGAATTTCGAATGACTTTCCTTTCCATATATTGGGAATAGTAACCCCAACTGACGAACTCATATTTTTCTTAGAGGGGTAGGTTTTTCCCACCAACCAGATGGGATAAGCCTAGGATTCGGGGACAAACTCGATCACCGGTAAAAAAAGCCAGTTAGTAAGTGGGATGATCCTCCAAGTGGTGAATGTAGCTAGGCGGACTCTTGTTTTTCTTTGCGGAATAGATACAATATGATCTTAGAATATCATGCTAATAATGATAATAGTAATGTTATCTAATCTTAAACAATATTAATCATGATAAGAGTAGTGGTAATAATATACAAAGGGGCCAGGAATCTAATCCAATCCAACTTGTAACCGTAGTTGGAACGCTTGAACTGTTTGTTTTTGGGACTAATCAACATGTTGCCTAGTTTTATTGTTATTTGGTTTTACAAGGTGGTGGTCCCCTCCAGATTTAATTGTCAAAAAAATGTTGATTTATAAAGCCCATGAATGCTACATCCCCCATAAAGCCAATTGGTTTAACCAAGGTATAAGTTTACTTAGCTATCTAGGGGGCACCACCTTGTTTGTATCTAACCATTGTTTGAATTTAAGCATACGACTGCCCCATCCACCAAGCGCGTGTGGCCACCCTCGATATCTTGCAACAAAAATAGCTGTTTAGTAAGTATTATATAATCAAATCATAGCACGACCTCCTAGTTCACCTTTTGTTTGTTTCACTAGAAGTATTTGCTTTCCAAGCATTGCTCCACAAGATTTCTGCGGCTATGAAAATTGGATTTTATTCCGTAACTAAAGGTGGCAACGGAACCGACAAATGGGGAGTTTGCCGGTTGGGATCAGACAGGTTGGAATTTCACACGTATCTGAAACAGGTAGCATCCAACGTGGACCAACTGTTGGGTGACTGGCACTGGACCACTGGGCTGACTTTACCAGAGATCATCTTCCCATTGACTTTGACGAATTTTGTTGGGAGATCCCATTAGGTCCGCAGTGTTTTGTATAAATTGCTCATGTAAATTCACATTCCAAAGTCATTTTTGTTGGATGAAATTGATGATTTTCCATTCATTGCTGAATCTCAATCTCCATAATCTCCACAATCTCCATCTAGGTCAATCTGAACTACAACCATCTTGGAGATGTTGGTGTGGAGCTCTTGTAACTCGGTCCAGAGGGCCCTGATGGTCATTGCGTGGGTGGGGGCATCGCCGCGAGTACATTCGCTTGTTATGAATGAGAGAATATGGTAGCCAACATTAGCCAACCAAAGTTTGCTTTTTGTCATGCTATCAGGTTATCTTTTGGTTATTCGAAATTTGCTATGAGATTTGGGTTCAAGACCAGCACGATGCGTTTCATTTTTTGTTGTAGACATCTTAACCCACGGTCTGTGCTATATTAGATCTAAATGGCTTTCTAAATGGCTTTATTGCAGTTGTCCATGATATGGGTACTCTTTCTTGCGTAGTTGAGTACGTTTTTTTTGATCACTAGACATATATATATATATAACTAGTTGCGTTGTTGAAATCATTCAAATCCCCTACGATTCCCCATAAATCACGACCATGTAGGGTTAAATCACCATACACATCACCCATTTTTCTGAGCATCCCCATGTTTATAAATCACCATGATTATGGAAAATATTATTTATATCATCACTACCAGTAAAGGTAGATTAAACCATGGTTACCATAATTGTTACTTCAAAATCCCCATGGTTTTCCAAGGTTTACCAAGGTTTAGCCAAAGTTTTCCCAGATTTTCGCCCAGTTTCCCCAGTTTCCCCAAGGGTTTCCCGCCCAGGTTCCGAGCTCTCGTGGATGCTGGCAGCAGCATCGAGCACTTGGCCGTGGCCTCGAATGACATTGGTGATGAAGGCCGCAGTTGACGGGATCACCGATCAGTTTTTAGATATAAGCCACATGTATATATATATATATGTGTATCTATCTATCTATCTATCTATCTATCTATCTATCTATCTATACCAGGCAGTTACTTCTGCCCTCTAATGGAAGCCACTTAGACCCAAAGGGTAAATTAAATCTCTGGGTAAATTATAACAACCTCACTGCGACCTATCTGGGTTAATAAAGGACATCATCCCCAAATGGCCACATATATATATATGTATAATACCGAAGAACGTGTCAATACCGAAGATCTTTCCAGAAAGGTGCGAATAATTGCTGGTTGGTGGCTTGGAACATTTTTTATTTTCCCATATATTGGGAATAATCACCCCAACTGACTAATATTCTTCAGAGGGGTTGAAACCACCAACCAGATATAATAATTATATATATATTTATACATACGTGTATATATATAATATGTATATATGTATACCTACAAACTCCTCTATGCATACAAAAGTGCCTAACTTGCCTGTAGGCGTTTATTTCTGCCGATTCCCAGAATAAATGCCTAGGCCCAAAAAAAATGCCGAGGCTGATGATTTTTTGGTATTGTCATGTCAGTGCAGAAAAATGGTTCGAACAAAATTCTGCCTAATTCCGCTTTTTTCCGCCTAGATTCCCTTGTTTTTCCGCCTAATTTCCGGGTAAAAATGCCTTGGCACAAAATGATGTCGGAGCACAAACAAAAATCTTGAGATAAAAATGCCTACATCAATTTAAATCTGCTGAGTTTTGCAAACTTCCGGGTGAAAGTGCCTATGCGGCTGCCTAGGCGCCGCGGGCAGAAAAAAGTGCCTAAGGGTTCTTCTAGGTATATGTATATATAGACATTGATGTATGGGATCAAGATGTTAGATGTTAAAAACCCATATATGGCGATGGGTCAACACCAATTCTGTACCATATTTTGGGGGAATGAACATCCATTTAATCCATTTACCACCTATTTTGATGTTCATCAGCGCATCAGGGTTTTGATTCGTAGGTATACATATACACACAATATACACATATTCATATATGGGATCGGGATGAGCCACTTAGTAATGATTGGTTGGGGGGATACCTCCAAATACCCGTTGTTCAATGGGAAAAATTATTGTTCATCAGAATTTTGAAGTTACTAATCATCAATTTTTGGAAGCACCTTATTTTTCAGATTCACCAGAGCAGCATCCGGGAAGCTTCCAGCTATTTTGATGTGCCATACATACGGGTGTATATATATATATTTATTTATTTATTTATTTACTTACGATTATATTTGCCTACGATTATATACATGTATGCCATTAGTGTATATATAAATCATTACACATGTATGTATAATCACAATGTACACACGTAGCAAAAATATAAATGCACATTATGCACATAATATGTATATATATATATATTCCAGTAATGCGTAGGAGTGGAACGTCACTTACCAACCTGGCACTAAGTTCAGGGATAATCTCGATGGGGAGTGTTGATATACAACCACAGATGTACATTGCCATTTTAAGTGTAGATTGGGAACATCAGCTTTAAATAGCCATGACACTTAAAAGTTTGTAATAGCCTGCATCATTCAATGCAAGGTACAAGGTGGTGCCCCATAGTTCTGTCCGTTGGTATTATACATAAACCAGTGGTTTCCCCCAATTCACTAGTTCGATCAATCCCAAGAAACCCAATCGTTGGAAGCATTTTAGCTAACAATTAATTTGTATGACCATAAATGTGTTTTTTCCTGGTATTCTTCGCTAATTAGCTATAGCAAAGTTATATTATATTACCTAAGAATACTTTGGCAAAGCCCAGCTTCATAGCTACCTTTTACAATGGGGACTCACCTAGCAGGATAATCCTGGGCTTGGTGGCTGGTAAGTCCGCAGTGGCCTTGTCAGGCTTGTTTCATTTATAAGTGGCTTGACCAGCTACTAACCATTGAATCTAACCAGTTACGAACCAGTTACTCTAATCACTTATATCCCATAGGATCCATGTATGCTATATATGGTAACATGGATCCCATCAATATACCCCAGTCATGTTAGCATATATACCGGCACCATGGATCCTATGGGTATAATTGGTATAATCTAACCACTTCATCTAAGCACTTCATCTTACCACTTCCTCAAAGGGATGATCGGGATGATCCTCCAAAGACTCCAGGCGCTGCCATCATCGGCGCGAGCCTGGGCAGTTTGCCGCGGCTCACGAGCTTGGAGCTCTGTGATAACTTCATCCAGGAGGGTGTGAGAAATCTGGGAAGTGGGGAGAGAAACATTACCCTAAATGATCTAAATGGGAATTAATGGTCTTCCAACAACAATGGGGAGAGAAATATGGGAAATAATGATATGATTGATCTGTTTTGCAGGTAAATATAACCCTAAATGGAGTTTTCCTAAGTCATGCCGGTACCCCCAAATCAGGTAAGTCATGGATGACCGCGACTTTGTTTTGAAAGGTGACTTGGGGATCCCCCATTGATGCGAATTTATATAATGGGGATTTGATGATTGATGATTATTGGCATTGGCAATAGACAATAGTGGGGATATATATATATATATTTATTTATTTATTTATTTAAAAATGGGTAAACTTCATCACGACCTCACTGTTCTCCCGAACCCTGGTTCATCATGGTTAGGATTCGGGGGATCATCCCCAAATAGCCCAACATTTCAGGTTGGTGAAATATTATAATTTACCCTCTGGTAATTTAACATAGCTATTGAACATGGCCCATTTATAGTTGATTTTCCCATTAGAAATGGTGATTTTCCATAGCTATGTTAGTTTACCAGAGGGTACCCAGATATCTGTATATACTGTGGGAATTTTCATGGGAACTTTCATGGGAATTCATTTTGGGATCAAATCGTTGAATTTTTGATGAGTTTTTTTTGTTGAGAAAAACAATGGGGGAGATAGACGCTAAATAGTGGTAATTAGTTGGTATAACTGGGTCAATTAATTGAGAGTAAGTGAGGATAACTTATGATTTTTATCAAAAATCATGGATAGTGGGGAGGTGAAAATTCTCATAGCATGTTTTATCGATTTATTTTGGAACTAATGAGAATTAATGGGGAGAAAATGATTGATGATAATGAGTTACTATATTGATACTAATGGATATAGAACCAATAGTGGGAATATTTTCGGGTATATATCGTGTCGAATTCAGTGTTTCAAGAATTGTTGAACGATATTTGAGGTATACTTGAGCTTCGACGTTGAAATATTGTTACTTGTACATCGTTTGCCTGCAAAAGATAATCCGGGATGTACTGAAGAAGTTGGTGTGTCAACGGTCAGGTGACTAGAAATAGGAATAGACAGGGTACATCGTGATCTTCGCGACCAGCTGCTTCTGGCGGAGCAAAGCAAGACCATGTTGGGAGGCAGCAAGTCCATGTCCGCATGGCAAGTTGCTGGCGGAGTGGCCAATCGGGTCCCTTCAACAACAAGATACCACTTATTGCGTGAAAATCTTGGCCACCTTCATTTGTCAATCTCTGGCACGGCCAGCAAGGATTGGCAGCAGTCTGCAGTTTTCCATGAGGAGACAAGTGTGTTAGGACGTTCTCAGGGAACTGTATTGATCGTAGTATATTGATTTTATACACATGCAAAGGATGATATCCCAGCTCCTGACGGCCGCAATCCGTATTTGTGTTTGCTAAGACTTTGCTAAGACCCCACAGTTTGTTGCTTAGTCTATATGCTTGATTCATGCTTCCACCGGCATGTTTGTTGAGTTTACATCTTCATACCTACAGGACATTAAAACACACATCATATGTATATATGTATATATATATGATATCTATGGGTACCCCCCTCACAAGGCAATAAAATGTTTCAGAGATTTTGCTAACCTTTCCACGGTGTTTGTTGTTTTAGGCATGTTTTATCCTACTGTTTAACTTGGGATCTGTGAATAGAATATAATCAATATTTCCATATTTGTATCCATACACTGTAATATACCCATAGAATCCATGTATGTTATATATGGTAACATTTACCATCAATATACCCCAGTCATGTTCGCATATATACCATACATGGATCCTATGGGATATATATATATATATATAATATACATCTAGGTATACACTGCGACCTCACTGGAAACACTTATTGAGTTGCATTAACATTAGCCTTATTGTCAATTTCAGGCTAGTGAATTGTTACAACTTACCTGTACATATATATATATATATATGTATATTATCTGAAAATCAATTCAACAAATAAACATATATATAATATATATATAATATATATAATATATATAATATATAATATATAATATATATATATATATAATATGTATAATATATATAATATGTATAATATATATATAATATGTATAATATATATATATATGTATATCTATATCTACCTAGCAAACTAGCTATCTATCTGTCGGTTTTTGCGTCTATCTTTGTCTCTATATCATCATATTTCTATTTGTATCTCTATCCATCCATCTTATATTTATATACCGTCACATTGTTCCCCCTCCAAAACTGGCCGAAGGAGCGCGGCAGCATCGCCATCGCGGAAGCCATCGCAGGCGCCACGCCACCAGAGGAAGATGGAGAAGAGGTGCAACAGCGCTGGGGGAAATGTACCCTGCAGTGTGTCATCAAACTTGGCAAGCTGGGAAATCCCTATGAACATATGGGAAACATATGGGAAGATTTACTAAACATGGAGATTTTGATGGCAAATCTGCTACCACACGGAAGCTGGAAACAAAGGTCTTGATAATGCGGAACCTCATCATGCTGATGCTCATCCAGGGACCCCGCTTTGATGCTGTCGAGCAAGCAGGTGTTGAATATGTGGGTGATTCAGCCCCTGGTTCCAGCCTACTTTGACACCTCTTGGGACACCGAGCTGATGCAGCCCAACACCTACTCCCAGTGAATTGGCTTCACCAAAGGACAAGATCAGTGGCGGCTGTCAGCTCACCTTATCAAGAATGATTTGGTTGACCAGTATAAGCAGGAGCATACCCAGGCCGACATGAGAACTTTTGCCTCCTCATTGAGAAAGGAGGTTTATAGCTGAGAACATCATTGAAATAAATGGCGGATTTTCCAACTCCCAGACACCAACTTGTAGGGTCTTAATGAGATATATGGAGATATGATGGGTGGATATTTCATGGGGATATAGAACTATCAACCATCGACTTAATGGATAGTTGATACATGTTGATAATATTTCTAGTACTACTGATCTACTGTATGTTCTATTAATCCATATGAATCCCTATTACTAGACCTTAATGGGGTTTTCCCATATTAGATTCCAAATATAACATATCCCATATTATGACTATAACTAGACCATAATATATCCCTTAATGGAGTTATCATAATGGTTAAAATGAGTCTTTTTGCTGGGGAGATACTGGGCAGTCGAAATTTGTTACCACCCCTGCAGGATGCTGGACTGGGCCGCAGGGGCCCAGGGCCACGACGGCTGCAGGGGGATTGAACAGACATGGTATTTTCTACATATGTTCTGCTATATATATATATACACATATGGATGGTACCCCCCAAAAATCTAGCATTTTTGACCTACCTTTTTAGTATCTTATGGTTTGGGATGATAATCGAGCAGTCAATTGAAAGAGGGTGACCATGTATATATATTATATATATATATATAGTTTAATTATATATACATAAATAAAAGCGTATACATATACACAGGCATATGCGTTGAATAAACAAAAGGTGACAAACACATACAGACGCACACACGCAGACACTTCCCAAACAATTGCAAACTGTGCAAACTTTCCTGGATCCATAAATGAAAGGCATGTTAGAGGTATAGTGGTATGTTCGAGGTCACTTAAATTAAATGGTATCTTAAAGGTATATAATACGGCATATACCTTCAAGAAATAGTAAAGGTGTAGTAATAAACGACATTTTTCATGATATTTATATGTATATCTAGCTCCAAGTTACCCAAATTCAGAAAAATTACATATACCATGAATCCATCGTACTCCAGACCTGTCTCTTTGGACCCATTGTTTTCCCAACCGGTTTCCCTGTGTGTGACATGTTTCACACCTGTGAATTGACTGGTTGCGGTGGGAAGACCTTTCAGCTCAATTTAATTTGGACATTCTTTGGCACCATGTCGATGCCTTGTGTTGTTCCTGAAATGCTATGCAGCCTGGATGAGCTAAAGCGTGCCCTGATAAGTGAGTTTCCCATTTTGGAGACTGAAGAAGGAGAGGGTTTCAAAATATTGCTTGACTTGTTTGTTGAGTGGGCTGAAACTCTGTTAAATTACAACAACCAGCATCCGCTCTGTTGAATTTGGGGAATTGTGGCCCAGAATCCTTCTCTCAGGGGATTTCCGGCCGCGCATACTCATGTGGCATCGCGCTCGAGGGATGTCATCGCACCCCAGAGGACCCATCGCACTCCAGAGGACCCCATCGCACTCCACACACCTACTCACAGATCATCGTACTCCACAAAGGGGATCGTATACCAGAAAAACTTTCGCATACGGCAAATAACCATATTGGAAGAAAAAATGAACCTGAAGATGTTTTTTTTGTTTCCCCCTTCGGAGGTAAAATCCTCTGGAATATGATAATATGGAATATGGGGGAAATCTTATTTTTTCCAGCGTTTTGAAGAGTCGCGCATAAAATCGTATTCCATCAAATTTTGATACTTTAGACCTGTGGAGGCTATGGAAATCCTCGGTTGTGGTGTTAGTCGTGCAGGATGGAGTGTGATGCTTTGCAGGTATATGGAATGGAATCTGTGACTTCGATTTGCTCAAAAAAGATACCAACACATGCTTGAGAATCCCACATGCAGGACTGGCAACGCATACCAGGGGGGCATCGTACTCCAAGGGGGGCATCGTACTCCAGGGGTGGAATCCTACTCAATGTAACTGTATTAAGTGGACATATGGTACCATTTGGGTTCGAGGAAGAATAGCGTAATCCAGACTTGGCCCAGTTTACGGATGCGGAAGCTGAGCTGCCAGCAAAAAAGGCATCAAAAAATAAGCTGAACAGCTTATCCAATGGTCTTAAAAGATCCTAGAGAGAAGTTGATGATTGATGAGAGAAACAAGACTTTATGTTTATTCAAGAAATTATTGCTTGAGAAGGTTCTCAGCGGGGTTTAACATGTGCGAATGGACATGACAGCACGTGACAAGGGAAAAGGTGCGCCTGACAAGGGTCACACAACCTTATTCTCACCATCAAAGGTCAAAGGTTGTCCATTATTTTCAAAATTTCCGGAGCTATTTCGGCATGGAATATGAACAGCCTTGGAATATGGGTAAGATTTTGCTAGAGTATATATATATATATATATGTATATCACTGATATCAACTGGAATATTAACGATTACGAAATTGTATATTCAAGGGATATTAAAAGCAAACACGTGGTAATCACAAGGTATTTTAAAGATATACTAAAGAGATATACATATTAATAGTTTATATATATATATTCATGGCCAGACTGGAATACTACAGGTATACTACATGTATGTTAACTAGTATATTAGAGGTGTATTAGATGGTATACTAAAAGTATATTAAAGGTATTTTCAAAGTCAATCAAATGGTATATTAGAGGTAGATTCATGGTATATAAACTGGTATACTAAACGCATATTGAATCATATAGTAATGGTATACCAAATGGAATATGATTGGTTCTTACATGGTAAACTAAGTATAGATTGCATATTACTAAAGGTTTATTAAAGGCAAACTAAATGGTAAGTTGAAGGTATTTTAGAGGCATAGTGGTAGTTTCAAGGTCAATAAAACGGTATATTAAAGGTATATACCTTCAAGGTATATTAAAGGTGTAGTAAACGACATGTTTAAGAATATATTGATGGTATATCGAAAGCAATATTACCAATTCCTAGATGGTAAACTAAGTATATATAGATGGTACATTAAATGTTTGTTAAAGACATTCAATGGAAAATAAAAGGTATTCTAGAGGTAAAGAGGTATCCTAAAGGTGCATTAAAGATGTTTTCATGGCCAATAAAATGGTGTTTATAAGGTAGATTAAATGGTATTTAAGGTAGATTAAATGGTGTAGTGAAGTTTTATGCATTGAAGGTATATTTAAAGTATACTAAAGGTATTTTCAAGGCCAACTAGATTGTATATTAAAGGTAGCTTCATCGTTATCAAATGGAATGCTACAGGTATATTGAATGGTATATTTTTTTTGATGGTATTTAAAAAGGTATACTGAAGGTATGCCAAAGGTTTACTAAAGGTTTATTAAATATATGTCTATGGTCAATAAACTGGTATATTAAAGTATATGGAATCTCTAATGAAGCTGCTATATTCAGTGTAATACTAAAAATTGCTGATCAAGATATTATTCTTACTCTGTTGCATCAAAAAGACAGACATATCCAACATGTTAGAATCTGGTGTTTTGAAAGAAATACTGTATGATTGAAGGAAGGCTTAATATTAGTTTGAAAGGAAGACTGCACTTCTTCAGAAAGAAAACATTGCATGTTTAGAGGAATGCTTTATTTTTTGTAGGGGTACTGTTTCTTGAACGAAGTCATACTTTGTTTGGAAGGAAAATTGCAGTTTATGAATGAAGGTGTTTTTTTCAAGCATGGAAAAGAACGCTGCATTTTAAAACAGATTGCTTCCTTCAAAACATGATGTGTTTTCTGACCTGAGTATGTGCGTTTTTTTTTTTGAAAGTAATAGTGTGCTTACTTTGTTTTTGCAAAAGCTTCCCAACCCTCTTTGACATCAACAAAAACCTAAAAATGATAGATCTTTAGGGGGGTTAGCATACATATATAGATATATATATATATATATGCATATACACGCAACAATATATATATATATATGTTGTACATTATATATATATATGTGTGTGTGTACTGTATGTTGTGGATATATATGACCTTATCCCGTAGGCGGTCGCCAGTGTGCCGCTGCTGGTGCTGTCCGTGGATCTCAAGGGGAACCGAAGTCGCCACTCGGTTTTTTCGTCGTGAAAAAAACGGTTGGTTGATTCACCATTTACCCATAGGATCCATGTATGGTATATATGCTAACATTGGGGGTATATTGATGGTAAATGTTACCATATATAGCATACATGGATCCTATGGGTTACCCTTTTGTAAACAAACATAGCTATTGAAAATTGCCATAGAAATAGTTGATTTACCCATTAAAAAGGGTGATTTTCCATCGTGTTTTGTATGTTTACCAGGGTAAATGGTTATAGGGGAACAACCATGGATTAATGGATTCTAAGCATGGTTAACACTTCTGTAAATCCCATGTTCATGCTGGTGATTTTAGCACTGTAATTATAGCTCCATGGTGAGCAGTGTTCAAATCCCCTGAAACCATGGATTTGTGCGAGTTTTTGTTTAAACAGAAGTTGTTTATAGCGACGGAGTTGTACTTAGAACATACTTTGGAAAAAAAAATGGAAACCTACACGGCGAGGATGTTCTAAGTATGGGATTATAATCAGTACTTAGAACATACCCAAAACCTATACTTAGAACATTTCAGACCTATACTTAGAACATCCCAGTGGGGACCAATGGGAACCATACATATATATATATATGTTAGAAGTGCAAGTCCGTCAATGATATATATATATATTTATAAACCAATAGGCTAGGGGCAATCTCCAGCGTCAGTCTTATATTGATACATCATACTATACTATATATAATCCATTTTGGTTCATTTTAGTATTGAAACCTATGTTTTTTGACTATCCCCTGTAGAAAACCCACAAATTACTAGAGACCTTCCCATTGCAGCAAAGACAGCTTGGGATATTGTTCCCGAAGAAAAGGTATATTGTGCTTTTCTGCAGCAGTGAGGGGAGAAAGTGTTCTAAGTATGGTGTTCACCAAGGTATGTGTGTGTATATATGCAGATTTACCAAAGTAACTGGAAATGTTCTAAGTGTATGTATTTTTAATGTTCTAAGTATGCAAAAATCAAAGGAAATGTTCTAAGTATATGGTTTTTTACTATGTTCTAAGTGAGTACTTAGAACAGTTTTGATGTTCTAAGTATAGGCGTTTTAATGTTCTAAGAAAAAGTTACGATATTTTGGAAAAATGATGTTCTAAGTATGTATATGTCCGTCGCTAAAATGGAATTCCAACCATCAAATTATGCGGGTATAAGTGGATATAGCTGAGAATTGATGGCTGGTTGATGATTAGTATGGGGGTTAGACTAACCAATATTTTGGGGAGTATCACAATCCACTAGGCAATCCCCAAAAACACCAACCAGCACAAAGCAACGCACTGAATGGTGATTTTTGTGAGAATTTAGAAACATTGTAATCTAACAAAGACGAACTGGGATTTGATTGATTGAAACGAGCAAAAACATGTATTTGACTATTTGATTTTATGACCTTAGGCGAAGGATGCCGAGGCAAGCCAAACTGTGGAAACGAAATCGCAAGCATTTTCTTTGAAGGCGTGCATCCGAAGAAATCTGAGCAACTAACAAGCCAAACTGGGTGAACAAAAAAGACACTTTATTTTTTGGGATGAGAAGGATCATGTCAGAGATGGTGACTGATTCAGAACAATAGTCATCACTTACATTTTTTTCCATCAAATTGTTGTTCGGAATCCCAACGGAACCATTTTTTACATCGCTTTCCATACCAAATGTTTTTTTTGCGTATACCTTTCAGGTCCTTTCAGGTCCTTTCACTGTTGGTTGATATGCAAGTTGGAGTTCATCCAATTGTCTTGTTTCTCAGAGTTGGTTTCAGATTTTGCTTGGTCAGAAAACATCCACATATTTCATAGGAAAGAACATTTTTTCAAAGGTCGATTTGCCCTTGAACAATCCACTGATGCGTTGCATATATTGCTAAAACAAATTATATACATGATTTAAAATCACATGACACAATTGAAACAATCATTTAAAATCAATCTATTGTTAAATCATTTTTCCCACCATTTAGCCCATTAAATCATCCTTAATTCACCATTAAAACCAAATTTTTACGACGCGTGATTCATGGCTTAAATCCTCATCGACGGTTCACTGGTGACAAAACGAGGTGAGTTGGGGGCCCGGCGCTGGGCAGAGGTGATGGAACGGGAAGATTTTTTCATGGTTTCATGGTGATAAAAATGGGAGGTTCATTATGATGAATAGTGATTACCCTCTGATAATTTAACATAGCTACTGAAAATGGCCATTTATAGTGGATTTACCCATTGAAAATGGCGATTTTCCATAGTTATGTTAGTTTACCAGAGGGTAATCCAGATTAATAGTGATTTAATAGGGATTTGGATTATTGACTAATTATGATTAACTATGATTGATCCAGATTAATGGTGAATTTTGCTGGTGATTTCATGGGAGATTCACTATGAGTAGCTATGATGAACTATGGTTATGATTGCAATTCTTGAAATCAAGATTGATAGTGATTTAATAGGAGGTTCGTTATGATTAATCATGATTACATGGTGATTCACTGGTGATTTAAGCCGCTGATGGTGATTTTTTTGGGAAATGATGCGAATATAGTCAGTGAACATATTCTGGGACGTCAATTTAGTCTTCATTTCTTGTGGATTTAATGATTAATGGATGTTAATGGAATATAACCAACCAACTTAATGAAATCCAATGTGATTTTTCATGGGGTTTTATGTTGGGGATTTAATGGTTATAACTGAAGGGAAAAACTCATGGGAATATCCATGGTGAATGCTGATTAAAAAAGGCGATTAACTATGATTAGAAGCCTATTAATCTAGATTAATAATGATTTAGTGGGTATCATAGTGGATGACCTACCATACGGTATAATGATATCCCAGATTGATAGTGACTTAATGGCAGATGATGAACAGGCCAGAGACAGCTGTAGAAGATCGAACAGAGACGAGGAGGACTTTTTCAACTTTCTGGGAAGCGTGCACAACAGGCAAGCAGAAAGAGACAAAACAAGTGGGTATCAACGGTATCAACATGATACCGGGGCGAGGCAATGGCTTGGCGATGGTCAGTGAACGGATCCAACCAGTACGGCACCTGGACGAAGTGTGTGGCGTGCAGGGCAAAGCTGGACTACACTCCATATGGTCCGGACAATTCCACGCCCACCAGCAAGAAGAGCAAAGCACAACCGACTACGAGCCGTGCTGCGGTGTAATCAGTGCAGCGGCAAGTCCGATGACTCGAAACGAGATGCAAGAAGCTCTATCACACCATACCCGAGATTTGGCGGCCTCCCTGAACCAAGTGCTCACCCCATTTCTTCAAGGACAAGCTCAGCTGCGCCACCCAAGATCCGACGTCGAGAAGGTCAGCAGCGAGAGCTGCCAAGATGAGACTTCAGTTTGAACGTCTCCTGAATTGCATAGGAAACAGATCATGGATTTGTTGATCAGAATAGTATGGGAATGTCATGGTCTCATGGGGATTTTCTTAGTGACTTAGTGGTATCACGAAAATCTCATGGGAATAATCCCATCCCCCAGATGTTTGAACAACTCCTTTTTGTGGCCCCAAATCCCTTTCTAAACGATGGGTTTTTGTGAGTGTTCAGTATGGGGAGGACGGGAATATAATGGGAATTTCATGGTTTAACAGAGGTTTTTAAATGTTTTTTTTGTGTCATCATGCGAATAATCTGGATGAACTAAAGTTGCGACCTCACGTCGGGATGTCACTTGAATGCTGGTGAATGGGGATGTAATCCCGATTTCAGGTTAGTGGATCAGATTTATGAAGATCACTGGATATCCGGTTGTTGCCTGAATCGTGATTCAAATAGCTTCAGATAAATTCACATAGATATGAGCGGAACTATCCCAATATAGCCCTATTTCACGTGTTTCACCGCTTCAAAGGACAAGCACAGCTTAGGCAAGACAGTCCTCGCTTTGCGCAGCTTGGGGGAGTGCTGATAAAAGTCTTGTGGAGCCCCATTTCACGTTAGTGAATTAATATAATTTACCCAGATACATGGCGCATTTTTTCACATCTATGTTGGTTGGAGGAGAATTCCGAAAACACTTGGCCCAGGTGGCCCTTTTCTGTACATCATTTGGGTTGGTTGTGAGGTCTCTAAGATATGCCCCGAAAAAACGATGGAACATCGAAGCCCTACAACTGGGGGAACTGGGGTGCTTTCAGCTCCAAAAAGATGTGGAAGTGACTGGGTAAACTCTACATTGTTCAATATGTTCACAGGAGGGTATTATTTTGATTTGGTTGGTGGTTTGGAACATTTTTTATTTTTCCATTGGGAAGAATCAGCCCAACTGACTAATATCTTTCGGAGGGGCTGAAACCACCAACCAGTGATGATGTTTCACTTTTGTATCTCTTTGGGGCCTTTGGCCTTGAACTGCTAAGAGTAGCTGCCTTCACTACATCGCCAGCATGTCATTTGGCCATGTGTGTAACTAACCCACCGTAAGTAGGTTGTATATACGTAATTACAACTTACCCTAGATATGTAAGTGCACCAACCTACTTGTCCCTAAAAAACACCAGATAGCCAAACTTATAGCAACCCCCGAAAAGATAGAAACTTCAATAGGACTTGACTTTCATACAAGGTGCTGCCCCTTGCTTGTAGTCATAAGTCGGTTTATGAAGCCACTCAACTATAGTCGTCGCCACAAACTCTAATGAAGCCGGTCCTAAATCAACTTAGCTTATGGGGCACCACATAATATACGTGTATATATATAATTATATATACATATGTGTGTGAGTGTTGTTTTTACGTAACCGTATACATACATTTATGTGGGTTTCCAAAAATGTGAACTACCCCCAAATCATCCAAAGTTAGTTCTTTTCAGTCTTGAAACAACCATGGTGACTGAGGGATCCCCATGACGTAAGAACCCCCCACATGTTGATTTTGGGTGAATCGGTGAAACAGATGTATATACAGTATACATACATTGGTACAATCTAACATTAATATGATCAAACAACAATACACAACAATATAGATATAAAATCCAACCCATATAGTCTAAGATAGCAAACATACATAGATGATATCATATTATGTGTATATATAATATAATATGATATCGATCGCTATGTTTGCTCAGCATGAACGTTGGATCAGGTGATTTGCCACCACCCTGACCTGAAGTTCTTGAACCTGGCGCAGTGCCTTGGTGACGGTCGGTGGGAACTGGGAACTTTGGGTGGGAAGCGTGGATTTATGGACTGATGAGAAATGGTGATTTTCATAGTGATTTTGATTATTGACTAATGATGATCAACTATGATTCATGCAGACTAATGGTGAATTAATGTTGATTTAATGGGAAATTGACTATTATTAACTATGATGAACTGTGATTGAATGGTGGATTCATGCACTGATTGAATGGTTAATCTTAGGTGGGGAGAAACTAATTCTTTAGTCTTTTGGTATGATTCAAGGCATATAAGATGATCTATAAACGTTTCTTTTCAATTTGGTGCATTTCAGCTCTCAGTCCCGCGAAGACGGCTAGGGATGAGAGTGTTCAGCGTGACGTGCTGTGCGAATCGAGGTATGAATGGGATTATCTACTAACCATCTAAGAATTTATTTTTTGCAGGGTATCTAAGATTGGCCATGTGATTGAATGGTGATTTATGGGTGATGGGTTAATATGATTACAACTATATTATATAAGAGTGATTTATTGGTGATTTAACAAGAGATTGACTAGTATTAACTATGATTCAATGGTGATTGTTGGTACATTTGTGCAAAAAGCTGGGACAACTACTCTGGTAATCTAGCGCAGGCTGAGAAATCCCCAACATCGAAGTGGTGGATTTGAAAAAACCTGCGGAGACCTTTGGATTTCTGGGGAAACATGCGGAGACCTTTGGATTCCAGTGGGGTTCTCACATTTTTAATGTGGAAAAGATGTGCTTGACCTGACACATCCCTTTCTTCTTGGGATGGTCCAGACCATCAGCTGCGGAAGCCGCGAATTTCTTGGGATCTTTTCTACATACCCCACAGTTTTTTCACATTGTTTAACCATGTGATACGCCTCAGTTTGATGAATTTCTGCTTGCACGGTTGCAGGGTTGCAGGGTTGCAGGGTTGATGATATCTCCATTTAAGCAGCTTTGATCACCTCCCAACGTTCGCAAGGAATGAGCTCGGTTGCCTGACAAAGGAGATCTTCTTAGACTTAGGCAGGGCGCAGCCATGCGCAGCCTCTAGGGGAAGCTAATGCCAAGTTTCAGTTTTCATGGCGTGGCAACACGGCAAAAAATGAACGCCATGAACGTATCTTCTTTGTTTACCTAGTTTATTCTGATTGATTCTGATTGTGTCATTGACATTTTCCTATACGCTTATTTTTTGACTTGACGTTTTTTGATGTTTTTTGGCCCTGTGCTGTGAAAATTTCCGTTTGTTCGTCCAGAGATGTCAGGATGTGATCTTTACCAAAGAGATGCTGGCGATGACTTTCAGTGGATGCGATCTCAATTCAATGATCTCACTGCTTTAAGGTGAACGTTCAAATGTATATTGAAACGTTGACTAATGTTGACTAGCCCAAAATTTCTCAGGCTATGACTCCTGTAATTTCTCGGTTTGATTTTCTCCTATTTGTATATAAACCCAAAGCAATTCTTTGTTTTGTTGGACGACGTATGGGTACCCTTTGATGTGGCCAGATGGATGTGTATCCCATAGAATCCCCCCATTTCATGCGGCTCTTCATCAAGGTGTTGATCTCCATATAGGCTGGCATTATGACCGAAGATCTTAAAAATGACCTCCCCAACGTTTTTGATCATCAATACCCTCTGGTAAACAAACAGTTTGCTATTGAAAATGGCCATAGAAATAGTTGATTTACCCATTAAAAATGGTGATTTTCCATAGTTATGTTAGTTTACCAGAGGGGAAGATATGTTAAGATTCAGATTCACCTTTAGAATCGGTTACTCCATCCCCATTGAAGATTTGTAATGACACATTTTTTAGGTGAAGATTCACCATTATACCCGTGGCTGTTGCTGGTTACTACGGTTATGGCCCTTAACAGTTGTGGGATTGTAACTCCCGTAACTAGTTGGTTATATAATGTTATATATCATAATATATAAGCCAGTGACTACTTCGGATTAGCTAGTTACACATATTGTAATAGGCCTATATTACCGTCACTACTGTGGATGGTTGCGAAATCCTGCACCAGCTTGGATGGTTGAAACCCGAAAAAAACATGGAGTGTTCACCATCGTTTTCAACTGCTGCAGGATTTCGCAACCATCCACAGGAACTGAATCCTGTTTATAGGGAGATAACTGAAATAACTTGCGCCATTCGAAGATCTGTCCCGCCAGTCTGTGGTGCTGTGGCCTCCGCCTCCTTGAGCGTCCGTTCAGCCCAAGAGATGGGATATGGGCCCCAAATGGCAATGTGAAAATAGGGAAACTCATAAAGCAACAAATTTTGGGTTACCACATTTTCAGAACCCATATGAATATGTGTGGAAAGTAATGGAAAGTACATGTTTCCTTGAAGCAATCTAATGACTTTCGTGGCTTTTAAGATTGGTTTCCCCCGTGGTTTAATATGGTTTATATTATTCAATAATGTTCAACCATGGATTTAATCCAACTAATCCAACATTATTGAATAATTCCAACTAATCCAACTAGGAGCATGGCCTTTAGAAGGCCGTGGGGTTTTTGTGATCAACGGGGTGTCATGGATCATGTTTGATGTGCTCGTGCCAATAGGAATCTGTTTGATGTGATTTTTAAGGCCTTTAACCCCCTATTCTGGTGCAGTTTTTCAAAACCATGTATTTCGCCTAGACGAAACTAGCATTTTTGTTTTTTTTGCCGAGGCTGAAACTAATTCGCCCTGACATGTTTTGAGTCGTCTTTTGGTCAGAGCGGCGCTTCTAGTTCTTCCAGGAACCTTTGAGGATCTGGATTTTCTAAGCTAGAACGCCAGCACCACGTGAACACATATTGTGTCACTGAAGGGTGCAAAGTGGAATGCCCACGGCCTTACTGTAGAGTAGCATGACGTATGAATGCAAAGTTCAAGAGAACTTACAGTAGCGTAGAATGACGCATGAGTGGAATGTTCAAGAGAACTTACTGTAGAGTAGCATGACATATGAATGCAAAGTTCAAGAGAACTTACAGTAGCGTAGCATGACGTATGAATGGAAAGATCACATGAACGTTAATACATGCACCTGCCGGCAGCCACAGAGTCGCATGTCCTTCATCAGCAAGTTCACATGAACGTTCATACATGCCCCACCCCACCCCACCACACCCCCCCAATGTCCACAAAACACCACGGCCTTCTAAAGGCCGCGGTCCAACTAATCTCACGGGATATTATCCAATATCCACGGATTTATGTTGGTTGGTGGTTTGGAACATTTTTTAATTTCCATATTGGGAATGTCATCATCCCAACTGACGAGCATATTTTTCAGAGGGGTAGGTCAACCACCAACCAATTATTCAATAGGGATACTATGGGATACTCATGGATTGAATTATATAGTTGGATTTGCTGAGTCGAGGCATGTCGAGGCTCATATTTTCCTGGGGAAATCCTCGAAACTGGGGAATCTGTTTGGGGCTTCCGGATCAGCAAATACGGTTGCTTACCCTCTGGTAAACATACAAAAAACTATGGAAATCACCATGTTTAACGGGTAAATCAACTACTTCCATGGCCATTTTCAATAGCTATGTTAAATTACCAGAGGGTAAGAGGAGAGATGGAGAATAAAGGAAAGTAAATTTGGAAAGGAAACGCAAGGCTGATGTTTTCTTAGAGAAATCATTGTAAATCCAACAGAACTATATTTACTGAAATCATTTTAAAAAACATGTGCCATCTCTTTAAAACAGATCTTTAAAATCCAATCCCAAATCACAACCCTCCAAAAAATTACCAAAAGTCAAAAAAATACACCAAACAATCCCAGAAACAATCCCAACTTAAATCCTCCACTCAAATCACTCCAAAATCACAAATATCTCAGAAAGCCAAGTTAAAATCGATGTTTTTAATCTTCGCCTCAACAAATCACCCTTCAGAAATCCCCCTTCAACAAATCTCCGCTGTTCCGTTGTGGTTGCTCGTTGTTCCCCGTTGTTGCCCGTTGTTGGGACGCCCAGGTGTTGGATTTGCAGGAGAACTTCCCCAAAGGCGGCTTCGGGTCTTCTGACATGGGCCCACCACCGCCCGAAGTCATCGAGGACGACGGGGCACGGCGTGAGAAAAGCTCCGTGTGACAGGGATGTCAAGTTAGGATAAGCTGTGTAGATGTGTGGTGATTGATGTTTATCCCTAGTATATATATATATAATTATATATATATATGATATATATGATATATTGATGTATAACCCATTATAATCCTAGCTTGATATTATCAATAATTAATGGTCTGGTGAAAAATGGCTCTTAATTAACATTTAAGACCTAAATTATTTACATCTATAATATACCAAGGCTGGTTGAAAAAACTGGGCCTACAAGGTGGTACTCGATCCAGCGGGTCAAATGACCAATAGATCAATAGGATGGGGATTGTCCTGCCATGTTTGAGGACACCGGAGAGCAAAATGTGAATATCAAAAAGATTCAGAACATAGATGAACATAGTAAATTCCTACTATGACAAACTGTTTTTTTTGGGGGGGGAAGCTATCTACCTACCTGTCTGCCTGTCTTTCGATCTATCTACGGTATCTGTCTATCGATCTATCTATTTCAATCCTGAAATAGGTGGAATAGGGTATGTTCAACGATTGTGTCTTGTTTAAGTGTGTGTTTCTTCACTGCCAGCGCGTTCCAAGCAGATTGGAGATGTCTTGATGGGAACAAGGTATCTAAGGTAGGCGTGTTAGATGAGTTACCGGTTACAACGACTCATAGAGTTACCTGGAATTCAGTCAGGACCCCTCTGTCAGGGCTAGTTCCTCAGTGAGATTCAGCAACAGGAAGGGGTTAGCCATCATCCTGCGGGAACACAAGATGGATTTTGGGGCCATGGCACAGCCATGGCACAGCCTGGCATCCTCCCCTCCTGTAGGAGCTTTTGGCAGAATTGCCTGCTGGCGAGTGGCTTGGTCATGAGACATGGCACCTTTATAAATCTGGGGATCCCAAATCATGCAAGACAGTCCCCCAACTGCTGTTACCCCATTTGCAACTTGGAAAACATAGCTGTAATTTCCCAGCTCATCCCAATCGCGGTCTCATTTTTGGTTATCAAAGGGTGATGTTTAATTCTTCACAATTGGCCATGTAATGTATTTTGAAACCGGCCAGATCATGAGTTGACAAAAGTCCGCAGCGGTCAAGCTGGCTGGTTATTTGTTGGCGATTTGGCAGACTCCAGGCCTTATCATGTTGATTGGGCATTGTTGATAACAGTCATAAAACATGTTTGCATTTTACTTGTTTGGCCACTAAATTTCTATGGTTTCCAATCCAGTTTCTTTCCTCATGTCCCCCAAGTTCAAAATATGAATGTGTGTTACCTGAAAGCCGTCAAAACATGGAGTAGTCACAAGGCAGACGACCCCGGTTTTTTTGGGATGTGAACCACACAGGGTAGGCCCCCAAATCCCAAGTGGATTCATGGTGGAAGTATTTATAGTTTGGGTAACAAAACCGAAGAACCGTAATTTTTATAGTTAGAAAACCCAAAAAATGATAGAAAAGTAAGACCCTACTAAGATAGTTAATGATAGTTAATGATGATAGTTATAAGTGACTGTTCTATCTTTTTGAGATTTGTAATATAACATAATATAGCCATAGATGGTGTTGTAAATGTTACCCTCTGGTAAATTAACATAGACCCTGAAAATCACATTGTTTTAATGGAAAGTAGTCTTCCAACCCCTATCTGCCAGGGTCTATTACTATGTTAATTTACCAGAGGGTACAAGCCAACAAAAGCACCTTGCAGGTTACCCTTGGGCCCTTGCAGCTTCTATCCCCTGATCTGTGATGATCTCTGCAGGTACGACCCAGCGGAAGTTCGGAAAGGAGCCGGAGTTCCCAACTGCTCCCTGGAATATCCCAAAACTTTATAGGGATTCGGGATATATATATATATACAATATAAGATTATTTAACCATCCATGAAAAACATTGAAAAACTTGGTTTTTCATTTAACCATGAAAATTGGTATTTGACATCCAAAAAGTTAAAACAAGCATGTTCGAGATTCATCATCATTGAGACAACCATTTGTACAGCTCACCAATCCGAGTGAGATATTTCATATATTTATGTATACCCTCTGGTTATGTAACATAGCTATGGAAAACGGCCCATGTGTAGATGATTTATGATGATTTACCTATTAAAAATGGCATATAATTTTCCATAGCTATGTTAAATAACCATAGGGTATATAATTATATAATTATACATACCCTCTGGTAAACTAACATAGCTATTGAAAATGGCCATGGAAGTAGTTGATTTACCCATTAAAAATTGTGATTTTCCATAGTTATGTTAGTTCTCCAGAGGGTATTTCGGTGGCTTCTTAGCCACTTACGATTCCTGGGATGCACCGAACGGAATTCAGTGGGCTTCCGCTTTCACATGCTGGTTGGCGTTAAAACCTGCAGGCGGACTGGGCCCATCTCCCAACTGAAGAGGGTTGATAGTCGCATAGTTCTGGGTAAATTATAACGACCTCACTGCGACCTCACTATAATCATAGTTAGTAAGGGGAATCATCCCCAAATGGCCTTAATTCAGGTTAGTGAATTATTATAATTTACCCAGATAGTTACCCTCTGGTAAACATTCACAGTTTGCGAACTTGAAGCCATGGCCCATAGAAATAGTTGATTTATGTTGATTTACCCATTAACAACATGGTGATTTTCCATAGTTATGTGACAGTTTACCAGAGGGTATCTCTATTTGTGACCTTAGCTGCACCCCCAAGTGCTGCTTTGATTTCGAGTGTTTCACGTTCCATCCCTACTGTGGAAACCTTCCAAGGTCTTTATCCGCAGGCACCGGGGCTCTACGGACAAAAAGGTGCAAATTCTGCCGGATTTGTTGCAAATTTCCCCATGGATGGCACTTTCAGTAGGGAAAAAGTATGATAAACCCATCAGATTAGGAGTTTCCAGCGTTTTCAGACAACTCCAAGACTGTTGGTGGTTTGGAACATGGCTTTTATTGTTCCATTGGGAAGAATTATCCCAACTGACGAGCATATTTTTCAGAGGGGCAGGTCAACCACCAAGCATAACCAGAAGATGTTTTTCTAGATTTTCTAGTGATCCTGATGTGATGCTTGCTGTTGGCTAGCGGCTGGTGAGTTATGTCTTGTGAGCCTCGTGCGACATCGTGCGACCACCTCCAACTCCAAGCCGATCCGATGTCTTCTGCAGAATGGACCGGAAAAAATGAAGACCTGAATGAAGCACCGCACTCTGGGTTTCTTTTCGGATGTTATTCTTTGAAAGGGTAGGTTTTGACGATCTAACCTGGCAAGATCCAAAGATGACATATTTCGAGATGTTCATCTACAGAATTTTGTGGATGATGCTCCCATCAGAGATAGGACATGTCCATGGCCAGATTGGTTTACCTGCGTTGGTTGCCCCAAAAAAACGCATGGCGAAAGGCGGTGCCCCATGCTAAGCTAGCCTCTATCATACCTGGCTCAACTATGCTTAACTGAAGTTCGCTCTTGGGGTTGTGGGGAAAATAACGACATAACATACGAAAGCATATGATTAGTTAAAGCTGATGTTAATTCGTGGTTTGATGGTGAAAATAAATGAAAATAATACATATAGAATAACAATAAATAATAACATATGATACTATGAATTATTATGTTATTAATAACATACGATATTAGAATGCTTATAGTAAGTGTTAAGTGGGTGATGATAATCCAACCAGCACCCTAGTGGGCACCACCATCTGATGGGATTTCTCGACAGGGCCGTCAACCACAACAAGGCTCTGCGCCGGGGCAGCGCCAAGCCCAGTGACGCCCAGTGGGGTGGCGACGTTTTCTTCTTATGTTTGGTGCATTTTGGTGCTTGGTGCATATGGGTGTGTGTGGAAATGAATGGAAATAAGGTACCCTCTGGTAATTTAACATAGCTATTGAAAATGGCCCATAGAAATAGTTGATTTCCCCATGAAAAATGGTGATTGTCCAAAGTTTTTTGCATGTTTACCAGAGGGTATGCCAAAAAAAGTGGATGTCAATAGAACATGATAATTTACCAACGGATGCAACGGGTGCTCTATGTTCAGACAAACCCCTATGATGTTCCCCAAAAAGTAGCTTGTGTCAGGTGGTGCCCCATAGTTGACTAAGCTGGTGAACATAACTAGGCTTTATGGTAAATATATCTAATTATCTACTGTGGGTAAAACAATATTTGTTCCATCCCCCATATCACCATAGATAGGTGGCATGGTTACCATTCCTAAATGGGTGGTTTATGGAATTGTTTTACCCATAGTAAGTCGGGTTTGTAATCCAACTTGTAACTTGGATTTTTGGTTCCAACTGGGTTGCCAGCTTGAGCTCCCGGCTAAGCGGCCGGCCACTTCTTGTTAGCTCAACTCCAGGCCTGGCTCATTCTTGAAACTTGGGTAAAGTGACCTAATTTATGGCAATGGTCATCAATCCATTCATAGGGATTGATGATCATTCAATATCATTTATCAATATTGATTACCCTCTGGTTATGACTGACATAGCTATGGAAAATCACCATTTTCAATGGGAAAATCCGCTATAAATCACCATGTTCAATAGCTATGTTAGTCACAACCAGAGGGTAAATAATATCATCAATGATTATGGGGTATATATCTTCAATATCATTGGATACCCTGAAAAATAAACATTCATCAATATCATCATTCAATAGGGCTATGATGTTGTCGATCCGAGGCGGCACTCTGTGCACCAAAGTGCCACTCCGGGATCCTGAGTTGGGCGCAACGCGTTGCGGCGCGTAACGCGTGGAGCCGTTGGTCAAGGTTCTGGGGCTGGTAATATGTAGGTTTAATCATGTTTAATAAAGTTTAATATATAATAAGTAGAATATAGTAGATATTGTAGATATTTATTACTACATAACTGGGTCAACCAACCTTGGATGGCCAGGAACATGATCCTTGAATCCTTGAATTGCGATTTCAATCGGAATATCTACGGCTAAGGAGCTATGGATACCGGATGTCTTTTCATGGGATGTGTGCAGGCCCCCAATGTAGGTGAAAAACGGACGATATGTGGGTTATAAACCATTTACAAACTGGGATGCACCCCCAAGTACAAGGTGGTGCCCCATAGTTAGCTAAGTTGGTTTATAACTCCAATAACTTGGGTTTGTGATTGATATACCTATACTTAATGGGTTATAGACCAACTTATAACTGGGGGGGGCACCCCCAAGTATACATCTTTCCTATCAAAAGCCAAGGAGTTACAAATAGAGTTTGTGGTGAAGGGAGCTATGGTCGTATACAGGTTCCTGATGTTTTTTCTGCGGGGCCAGTCGGAGATACGAATAGAATTTCCAAACTGCATGGTAGTTGCAGTCTACAGCACTCGATGCAGTCTTTTGTCAGGATATTGATAGGTTGAGAATGTTTGATGTTTCAATGTGTTGCCATTTCATGGGTAAAAACTATTCAGCTAAATTAAAACATATGTTGTTTTTCAGGTGTCGAAGATCATGACCGTAGACCCCCTTGGATGGCGAGAAATCACCAGAGATGACGAGGATTTTTTTTCCAGGAAAATCGGAGGCAGTTTCAGGTTTCCGTCCAAGATATTGATGGTTAAAACGGGGGTCTTCAGAAGCGTAAATGTCACCTTGATGTGGAGATATGTCAAGATTGGGGGTCCATTTTTTTAATGCATCTGACACATATATATATATATATATATATAAATATGCCATATATATATATATATATATACATCACAGGTTGTCTATGTTGTCTCATTTTTGCATTGCCCACTTGAAATGCAATGCAGGTCGATTTTCACATCATATGACACAGTTGTTCTGGATGGCTCCACTCCAGACAATAGAAGAGCTACAGATTCAGGAGGACTTGCACAGATGCAAGTTTGCAGGTCTTTGTACTCTAGCGCGTTCAGGTCTTCTAAAACACATGAGTCAAATGAGTCTTTCTGTTTCAATCAGTATGGTTTTTGTGATGTGTCGTAATTAAACACCATTCCAACCTGAAAATCTGAACGCTGCAGCAACTGCAAGATAATTCGAAATTGGCTTCATTGGTTGCGAAACGCGCGAGACTCTCCTGGCGTTTTCTCTGGAAAGCTGCCCGCGCAACCATCGCTGAGCCCCAGTTATGTAGGTGCAGAACTGTCCGTTCACCAGAGTCCCAATGCATCATCCGCCAAACTGGCTGTGCCAACGCCGACGAAAAGAACCGAAAGGTTTTGTCGGGAATGTCACTACAGGAAGAACCCCCCCGGGGCCCCGGTGAAGTTGTTTTATAGACGTTTATAATATAGCTAGGCATAGCTAGGCTAACTCGGATTTTATGGTGGATATTAATACTTTGGGGCAACCAACTAATTGGGGGCAATTGGGGGGTATAACGTGTGGGAATACGTTCATAAAATGATCCCTTGGATCAGGCCACAAAAAGGGAACAAAAGGCCACAGCATCTACAAGGAATTCTGTCTTAAGATGTTTCTTGTATATCTGAAACACGCAGATGTACAAATTTATATATATATATATTAATATTATTTATACATATCAAACGTATGCATATTATGTATACAATTGTATACACATAGATGATAATCTGATAGACATTTTCTCATTCTATGTGTCTTCAAAAAGGATCACACTGCCTGTGCTGAGACGAAGAGAGTCGAGCTTCACAGTAGTTGATCGACGAGTCTGCAATCATCAGCAATCAATGAGAATCTATAGGATTTCTATGGATTTCTATGGATTCACTTTTCAGGGGTATCAAGGTCTATGGTGTCACACTTGAAGACACAGAACACTTGGTAGATCAAACTTGACCATAACATCCAATCTACATCTGATAGCATCCAACGTACCTGAGCATCAGTCAAAACGATAAAAAAAACTGAGACACTCTGGTCACAATGAGTCGAAATCAATCTATAATCATCATCATTGCAACACCATCTAATCTCACCAACAAGACTTGAAAAGCACTAGGTCATTACTGTAATCCTGCATAACACGGTTGAAAGCGGTTGCCGTAGCGACCTTTCCATGGGAAAAGATCGGCGCAAGTCGCGGAGTCGAAGCCGAAGGAGGTCCCACGGTTATGGTGAGGCTTGGAAAACATTGGGAAATCGTAAATCGCTAGGAATACATCGATACTCATGTATATATATTATATATACATATATATATATACATATATATACGTATATATATATATACATATATATATATATATACATATATATATATATACATTATTTATATATATACACATTATTTGTATATAGATAGATAGATAGATAGAAAGATAGATAGATAGATAGATAGATTAATTAGATAGATAGATACATATTATATATATATATACATATTCTATATATATATATGTATAATATATGTATATAAACCACACAAAAGGGTGCATTTTTGGGGAGTATGCATGTGATCCCCAAACGACGGATGAAGGTGGTGAGTTCTGGTTGAGCCGACGGGTGATTCTGTGAGCTTTTTTGGAATCAAAGTTGGCTGGACAATCCATGAAAATCCATGAGAATTCCTATCAATTTATTTCGCTCGGAAAAAAATTGAATTGAAGTTTTAATTGGTGGGTTTGATCGCACAAGAGTATATGTAAAACATGATGAGTCAATGCAACTTGGGTGCTCAGTGAAGACTGACCTTAGAGGATTTAGATGCATTTTTAGATTGCTTGATACAGTTGAGAGTTAGATGGACATGGGATATGTAACTCCGGGGTCCTTTGAGATATACAGAACACTGGTTCTCATTTGCCACTTCAAAGGGTCACAGGAACCAGGAACTGGCTGAAGGTTGACCATGAATGGAATCAGAAAAGTTCCAAGCTATTCTAGGTACATGACTGCCATTTTTCTGATTCTAAAAGCAACTAACTGCCATTCGATCGCTACAAATTGGGTCATGTGGTATTTATATATATATATATATACATATATATATATATATATATATGTTTCTGTTTTTTTTACTAAATTTACCCCCTTTGTAGCTGAGTGTTACACGAGCAACCCTGAGAATGGTGGCATGCAATTTATGGCGGCCACCAGAGATGTTCACAGGTTTAAAAAAACGCCCCAATCATGGGGATGATTTTTTGCACGTTACAGTAATGTCAATTTTGATATTTCGCAACGGGAAAAAAAACAAAAATCTTTCATAGAAATCAGAAGAACTGAGAAACTGTTTCTGTTTAAATCTTGGGTTTTTTTCTGTTGAACATGGATCCCTACGTATTGGTTGACTTTTATTTCACAGCTTTTCTGGGTACCTTCCAATCTCGCACCAGGAATGAGGATGACGAGGTGGCGGATCATCGCTTGGTATGCTTCATAATACCATAGGATCCATGGTGCTGATACCCTCTGGTAATAGCTGACATAACTATGGCAAATCACCATTTTTAATTGGAACAATCAACTATAAATGGCAATTTTCAATAGCTATGTTAATTTGCCAGAGGGTATATATATATATATATGGTAACATGACTGGGGTATATTGATGGGATCCATGTTACCATATATAGCAGCACCATGGATCCGTCATGGGATAATACCATCTAGTAATTTGTGACATAGCCTCTGGTTATGACTAACATAGCCATGGTATAGATGGCCCATAGAAATAGATGGTTTACCTTTTAAAAATGGTGATTTTCCATGGCTATGTTAGTCATAACCAGATGGTAGCTATTGAAAATGGCCATGAAATTGTTGATTTGCCGATTTTCTAAATGCTGAAAATAACAAGTCTGAAATAGTATATTCCCATCGTATCATACATAGACTGATCGGTCTTGAGAGGTGTTTTCCATGATCATATTCAGTGATATTTCCCATTTTCTTACCATGTATAGATATTATATGCTGGTTGGTGGTTTGGAACATGAATTTTATTAATCCATTCAGTTGGGAATGTCATCATCCCAACTAGTCATATTTTTCAGGGGTAGGTTTTTCCCACCAACCAGTATGATATTATATACCTTCTGGTGATATTAACGTCGCTAACTGGAAAATCAGCATTTCCAAGAACGAAATGGACGATGGCCTCGCTGTACGAAAGTTTTTGGCCAATCTCAAGTCCCCGAAGATTCTTTTTTGATTTTCCCCACAACAAAAACCATGGTTTTATATGTCCCAGTTGTTTTAATACTCAAATCATCAAATTGTTTTATATGTACCATGATTTTTCCATATATTATATCCATATACGGACCATTTTCTCATCACACTTCAGTTGGCTCCGTCCACGTCGCCCCCATGTTGCGCAGGATCTGAGCCCCGAGGCCCGAATCGAACTTTTAGAGGCCCGAGGGCCGCATGGTACTGGCGGAGCAGATGAGCAAAAGGTTGCAAAGATGTGGAGTTAAAACACGATACAATACTGTTTGGTGGTTTGGAACATGTTTTATTTTTCCATATATTGGGAATTTCATCATCCCAACTGACAAAATCATATTTTTCAGAGGGGTAGGTCAACCACCAACCAGAATATGATATAACAAACGACAACATGAGGAGAATATAAATGAATATTAATGATGGGTGATTGAGTTGATTGGTGACTTTTCTGAGGGTGGATTGCCCTAGTTGATTGGTTGCTTGTTATAAGGTTGTTATAACTTATAACCCAGAACATGAATATTCCTGAAGCGTGAAGTGTGTGGATGAAGTGTAGAGTGTGGAGTTGGTTTGCTGAAGGCGATTTCTTATTTTTCCAATAGGCAGACATCCACCATTTGGGGAGTCTATAGGGAATATGTTTTATTTTTAGGAGGTTCCTTAAGCAGATCCACGAATTTACCCCTTCAGCAACCAGTTGTAGGTCTTGTTTAACTCGTAGCTCGTCATATCTCGTCATATTCGTTGGGAGGTTACCCTCTGGTAAACATACAAACAACGATGGAAAATAACATTTTTTTTTTGTATGGGTAATTCAACTATTTCTCTGGCAATTTTCAATTGCAAACTGTGAATGTTTACCAGAGGATCATATGGTTATGTCAAAATTATATAAAATTATGCTAAAATATCCCCAGATCCCCAATCATATGGGGTCTCCATGCATGTTTGGATTACCCTCGCCAACATAGATGGAAAACCCACCAAAATTCTTAGGGAAACAATTGGTTTTCCACATCTATGTTAGTTTATCTTAGGATATGATATCATATGATATCCCATTTCATATTATGTTCATAACACAGCCTGGGCCAGGTGGAAAACGAGACCTTGAAGGCGCAAGGAATCTGCGCAAGGGATCTGCTCCTGAAAGATCATGCAATTTTTATGGGTGTACAATGGGTGTCATTGTGATTGACCCGGCAAACATAGAAAAAACGATGGAAAGATCCACCATGGTTCATGGGTAAATCAAGTATTTCTATGGCCATCTCAATAGCAAACTGTTAGTTTACCAGAGGGTCAATGATACTGTATATCAAATATCATGTTGTTGCTTATCATATATCCCCAGTATGTAAATGGATAATCGATATAATATGATAGAAGTTGGATATATTATAAGCAACATGATATTTGATCATTTAAGGGGATTTGTCCAGACGTGGGGGGATTATCAACAGGAATTGAATGGGAAAAAACATGGGGATAGGATTGGGTGATTCATGCAACACATGACCAGCCATATGATATTTGGGTGTGCATGAGAAAGGCATACACCCCAGATGGCATTGTTCCATCGTGGAAATGCTGATTCACCAATGGTCATTCCAGTGATGTCCATCCCCAGCCGATTGTCCATAGCCCTCAAGAATGATCAGGATCCTGTAGCCAACGATGAGCCATCCCAGCTCGGAAAATCAGTGTTCTACCTGGTTCCCTTGGCCTTCCAAACCCCGGTTCCATGTTTTTTTTTAATCGAAGCATCATGGTTTTTCTGGCCCCAATGCTCCAAAGATGTAGCATTTGCAGAGAAAAACACCTCCGAAAACACTCAAATGTAGGTAAATAGACAAACTTGGAGCAATATGGGTAAAGATCCGAAACTTCCAACAATTCCAGAATTGGACAATGGTAGAATTTATAGGAACACCTATATTATCCTATATATATATATTTATGTGTAAAAAACCATGGTCTTCCCGAATTTCCCGAAAAAAGTGCCGTTTTTTGTTCCGTTTTCCAGGCCGAGAATCGTGAGCTTCGCAAGAAGCTTGTAGAGACACTGCGGAAAGGCGCTGGATCCCAAGCCGCCGGTGCCGGTTGGGGGAGGAATCCCAGCTTGGATCTGTAGGATCTGTATCTTTCAACGCATTTCTAGCTTGGGAATGATCATGACTATCGGATGTAGTTGGCCCAGAATGGGTGGAATCCCACCGAAAATGAATGTAGAGTAGGAAGTTTCGAGTCGAAACTTACTTTTCGAGGGAATTCACATGAATTGAATTGACTGTCCATTGTTCAGGAATTGCTATAGACGATGCACATTGGACTCAACAGTGGGGGGGTCAACCGTCATGGGATCAGACATTCTCTACGTGCCTCTGATCCTGGCAAACACCTCCATTGTTTTGAATATGTTATTATTATATGATAGTACTGTGGATGGAAGAAATCCTGCACCAGTTAGCAACCGTTAGGTAAATATGAAACACTGTAAATCATGGGATTACAAGGGGATAAAACATATACCAACTGGTGCAGGATTTCTTCCACCGTATGTTCCCATTGAAACCTCCATTTACAGATTATCTGGTTGGTGGTTTGGAACATGAATTTTATTTTCCATTTCATATATGGGATGTCATCCTTGCCTTTGACGAACTCATATGTTTCAAAATGGTTAAAACATGTTAAAACCACCAACCAGTTATATTATTCATGAGATCAGGTATTAATCACTAATAACCACTATTAATCACTATTAATCACTATTTTCCCTATATTTTCCCATTTAGATGCCCATTCAAGGTGTGATCGCTGTGAGGGCAGTCAAAACATGACGCAGGCAATCACAGCGATCGCGGCCGCCGGCACGAACCGGAAGAGAAGGCGTAGCGGCGTAGCAGCTGGGTGGTGGTGTTTGAATTCAAGATACTCCGGTCGTATGACATATGCATACTTGAAATAGCTTGAACAAATTCCATATAGTTGCAATTGTGATATTGTTATATAGACAGATAGATAGATAGATAGATAGATAGATAGATATAGATAGATAGATAGATAGATAGATGTCAGCCATGAATTATGGCCTAGTTCACTGGAATTCACAACAAGCTTGTGCTCTAGGAATTGAAGCTCCAGCCATATCTCAGATAGCATAACATCCGATCAATATTGAATCAATGGATCAGATGTTATGCTATGGAATTGGAATTTCAGCACCCGAATCCAGAATGGTCACCAGTGGCACCAGTGAGATTGAAAAAATCGCAGTTCATGTGACGACAGTTCATGATTTTTCACTTGGTGTCAGCAGTTTTACATAGTTTTATCACATGTTATCCTATTGGTACAGTATCACCTTATTCCATTTAGTTTCATCTAATTTCCCCATGTTTCAGGGTTTCACTTACGTATCCTCCAATCCCGGGAACACATCCTTCGGCATCTTTTTGGTGGCTTGCGAAAAATGTTGTAAAATGCTGTAAAATGCTATCAAAAATAAAAATAGAAATAAATATATATATATATATCAAATATGTTTTTTTAAATGTTGCTATAAATATTCATATCGGATTCATGTCCTGTTGCTTTTTAGCTGCTCTTTTTTTCCTCCAACCTGAGCTATACCTGGGAGGATCGTCGCCGTTCGAAGGAGGATCCCGCGGAGTCCCGGGACGAGGAACTTTCGTCCGATGGGAGGTGATGTGTCGATGTTGGCATATTCATTTATAATCTATATATATATATATATGTATCAATTGTATCAATGTACATTTAATTGTAGTTATATTTACATAAACAGTAGTTAATTTCTATAAATTATATATATATGCATATGTATATATATATATATATGCATATGTATATATATATATATGCTCTTAGAGATATGATTTGTTTTCGCTCAGGGACCTGTCTCGGACACCAATGCGGTGCTGCTGACCAATGCTCAGATGGAGGCATACAACGAGGCGGATGTGGTGGACCAACGGCGGTTGATGATTGCTCTCTGGTAAAGTGACAGTTTGCTATGGAAAATGGACCATTTCTGGTTGGTGGTTTGGAAGATTTGGATATGTTTTTCCATTCAGTTGGGAATTTCATCATCCCAACTGACGAACTCATATTTTTCAGAGGGGTTGAAACCACCAACCAGATTTAGTTCGATGATTTACCTATAAGAATAGTGATTTTCCATTATTTTTCATATGTTAGTTTACCGGAGGGTATAGTCTTCGTTTATAATTTCCCAATGGGAAATTTCACGAAAAGACTGGGGAATCGATATAAAAAGGGATTCAATATGTTTTGTTAGTTGTTTCTTTTTGGTGATCCAAGTAGTTCTTTTCTGATCATCAACCATTTATCTGGTATGTTTCTTCCACAGAGTTGGGGTATATTGTTAAGATGAACATTTTTTTATTTGATTATCAATCACTTATTCGATATATATATATATACACATATATATATATACATGATATATATATATATATACATAACCGTCATCATAAATATATTGGAAGATATCAATCACTTATCTATTCATCATCTATTCACAAATATTGGTGTATAACCATCAATAATCAAATTTATGGCAGTTGATATATGGTGTAATATGTTGGATCTATTCATGGCTTGCCCAGTTGTGGCGGGTACTTCATATCATCAGGGGCTAAGATTGGTTTAGCCAAATCAGCCAAAGACAAAATCACCTTGGGCCCTTCTCCATGAGAATGTCTCTCAGTTGGAGTCTTCTCGTTGTCTCAACATGTCTCATCAATGTGGATGGTATATTGGTAATTTCTGGTTTCGGTGTTGAAATAACAGAACTTTGCAACATTTCTAGAACAAGAGATAATCACCAGATAATGTTGAGATACACAGAACTTTGCTTTTCTTGATAGAATGATATTATTCCAAGATACACATATGTTTTGCGTACGAGCCCTATGGAGGTGATCATGGTCGCAACCACGACCAGTCGAGGGCGATTTTTTGACCATCTACCCTAGGGTAAACATACAGAAAGATGTGGAAAACCCAGGAAACTCTAGGAACATGATCTACAAATGATGATATTTCCACATCTATATTGGTATAGAGTAGGGCAAATCAAAGAATTCTACAGAACTCCTATAGAACTCCCCATTTCTCTGCTTCGTGGTTTGAACCAACCGACCCAAAAGGCATATGTCAATTCGATTCTTGCTTCAGAAAAAACTAGAAACACATTGTGGCTGAGATTGCCATAAGAAGATGGTTTGATTACCAGTTCATTCAACTTTCACCTGCAGTTTTTAATCTTCTTAGATGGCCATTTTTTGGGTCATTTTCTGAATCAGAACTGCTTCTCGTAGATTCCACCCAGGCATTGGGTGGAAAACTATACCACCCTGCCGTGCATGTCGCAGTTTTCACAGCGTTCTGCGGGGGGGAAACCAGACCCAAAAATGACATCATGACATCATGACATCCTCGAAATCCGCCAGCCCATTCCCAACAACATCCCGGCAGAGAAGCGTATGGCTCTGGTGTCGGGGGACCAGAGTTTTGGAAGTTCCCGCCGGATTTGATGGAGGACACGTGCTTCGTTTTTCCAAGGTTCCCCACGTTTTCTATCTATTTTGGTTTTGCCAGATAAAATATATACTTATAGGCATATATTATGTATATATTTATATATACATATGGATATGTAACCTATGGATGGTCATCTCCCAAAATGGCTATAACAGGTATTGATGCCAGGAATCCACTTCATGGTTGGGTGACAATACAAACATGTGGGGATTCACCAACGTGCTCACCAATCAAACAGACATGATCATGGCTTCACACGTGCCCAATAGTAATCTTTTTGATATCACACAGTGATAGTTTTGTTAAGTCTGACTCCAATTTTTGTTTGATGAGTTATCAATATATATATATATGTATATTATCAATTTATAACTCCGTATGTTTTTGATAGAGGTTCCCATTGGAAGGTATTCGGGGGACAGACCTGCGGACAGACTGTGACCGAGGGCAGAGAAGCTGGAACGGTTCATGGTGAACTTCGATGACAAGGCGCGGAAAACATTGGGGAACTGCTAGGCATGGCAAGGGACAAGTCCTCTCCAGAGTTGATACGATGTAACAAGAACATACATAAAAAAAATACTGTAGATATGTAGATGATAGCTTATTTTTTCCAAGTCCAGATTTTGTATCATGTACTTTTCAGAAAAGTAGATCATCCCATTGATTTCAATGATCTTCCCATTGGGAAATCAAGGGGAAATTCCCATCGATCCAGTGCACAAAAAGTGGCAGTTTCCTAAGTCATGGGGGTACCCCCAAATCATCCAAGTCATGGATAACCATTTTAGTTGTTAAACCGATGGTTTTGGGGATCTCCCATTTTTAAGAAACCCCACATGTTGATTTTGGGTGAATGGACTAAAAGCCTTGGGTCGTTTAAGAGTCATGACTGTGAATACAGCAACAGGTGTTTGGAGTACAGGCAGGTACAATTTCGTTCGGGTCACGGCAAACAACCCTTTGTTAAGACGCTCTGCAACAGCGTCATCTTCATCAAGGCCTTCACTTTCAGCTCGTCCTGAGCCTAGACTGGCACCTGGTCACACGGTGAGGCCCGGAAGAACTTTGAAACCTTCTGGTTACTACATCCTGCCTGTCATCCAGGAGTGGTTGGTGCAGCTGAAAGGGATCTTTCCAAAGCTTGTCATCGGCGTCGACTCCTACTGCCATTGCGCTGGAATTTCCGCGATCCGGGCCAGTCCAGATCAGATCATTGACTATCACATTGTCACATTGTCACAGCCTCTATTTGACCAAGGCATGCATTGTTCTTCTTTCTTTTTGGCATATAGTCATACATAGTCCCCAAAAAGATAGGGAAAACCTGTGAAAACCTGTGATTTTCTGGTTAGATGTTCTGTGCTGTTCTCGAAGAATCCTGGAAACACAGCGGCGTAGCTCTTTCGGGGCTGTTGAACGGCTTCAGGTCCAGATCTTGGACCTGAAATCGGGACAAGCTGTCATTAAGGACGGGACCAGGATGGAACATCGATGGAACATCCCAAATCCAGATCCTGAAGTGGTTTCGAGGGAAGAGCTTAGAAAGTCAATGTAAAAAAACGTGGCTTATCCCATAGATGGCTGATAAAAGCTGATAAAAGCTGATAAAAGCTGATAGTCATATCATTTCAGTTATATCGTGCATGATCCAAGTATATCACCTCCTGCGTCAGGATCGCAACAGCTTCATCAAGCGTTACACCTGCGTCTTCAGAGAGTCCCTAACAGCAGGGGTTGTGGCTGTGATTTGCGCCATGGAACTGGGAAGTTCTGCTATTGGAAGGGAAGGACTTAAGAGAAAGTCACGATGTAACAATTCTATGGAGTTGAAAATGGACCAAGTTTCCAGTTTCCAGTTTCCAGGTGTCAAACTTGAAAAATAGATGGGTTGCGATTAAGTAGAAATAATCTATATTTTCATATGTATAGATTGCTACATAATTTCTATACACTATACACTCACTATACACTTTATAGAATACACATCAGTACACCATATATTACATAAATCTGTACTGTACTGGCTAGATGATATATAGATTCCATACATGTACTATTCATACACTACATATATGGCGGGTTCTTGAATTGGAGGATCCCAAAAACCATAGCTGTCAATACTAAGTCAGAGTCATCCATGGCTTGGATGATTTGGGGGTACTCCCATGACTTAGGAAACCTCCATACTTTGATATATTAATATTCCAGAATCATCTTCCATACCAGATTTCATATGCCATTCATACTCCCATAATATATATATATATACACACCCCATATATATACACCTGCCATATCTATGTCATGAATCCCATCCCATCGCCCCATCCGAGGTCAGGATCCAAGCTCTTAGGGTCCGGATCCGAGACCCCAACCGGACTTTCTCTCGGAAAATCTGAGGAAAAAAAAGCTGAGTTTTAACGATACAACGATATGAATCTATATATATATATATGATTGGAATTTGTATATGGAATCTAACATGGAATCTAATATGGAAGGTGTGTGTATATATATATATATATGATTGGAATATGAATGGCAAAATCTGGTATGGAAGATTGTAATTTGATTCTGGAATATTCATATATCCTTAAGTCTTTGTTTTTTCAAAGGTTGGTGGAGGTTCTGAGGATATGTCCAGATATTTCCGTGTTAAAACTGGGTGAAAAGGTCTCCTCGGCATTGTTGATGGAGGATGGTTGGAACCCGGTCAGTGCTGAGTGGGATTCACTATGCTGGGTGAGATACATGGAATGTAGGTCGATGCAAGTGGATGTGGTGAAAAAAAGGAGCTACTCTTTGGTCCGAACTGGAAAATCAATTAATATCGCCATTTGTTCATTGCTAAATCATCATTTTTATCATCTATTATCCCATGGGCTAGTTTCCATAGCTATGTCAAATAACCAGGGGGGGTTCTTGGAAACATGTGGTTTCCACATCGTGAAGAAAAGGGAAACAACATCTAAGAGTGATAGCTATGGAAAATCACCATCTTTATATAATGGGTAAATCAGCTATAAATGGGCCATTTTCAATAGTCATGTTAAATTACCAGAGGGTTTATATGTTCTGGGTGGTGGTTTGGAACATGAATTTTATGACTTTCCATATATTGTGAATGTCATCATCCCAACTGACGAACTCCATCATTTTTCAGAGGGGTAGGTCAACCACCAGCCAGAAATAGGGTATAATCCCAAATCCAGTGGTCAATCATCATTATCCCTATTAGTGGGATGGTCAGACTCGGGTGGTGGATCAGAGCTGTGCCGGAAATCCAGGAAATCTGCCTGAAAGCTTGTGGGGAATTTCATGGATTCAAGGGACATTGCTCAAAATTGGCCCCACAGTTCTGAAAATCTGGCAATCCTATCGAAGTACAGCTATACCCAGCATAAATCCATCAGTTAGCCTACTTCGGGCCCCCCCTCTTCCTGTCAGCAGGACATGCTTTCACCCTAATGATCCCTCAACGACAGTAACTACAAGTAGTATAGATGTATCAATGATATATCCAACAAACACCGACCCAACTCGCCCAGTTGGGTGCTCACAAGTCCTGTGGTTTTCGCAAAACTTCTCAGGACCTGCACGAAGCGCTTCTATTTTGATGCGGCCAGAGGTGTGTGGCTTAGCCTTAGCCGGGACCGTTGTGGAGGCGGACTGGCGGACACGACTTTTTGTGTCCGTTGTGCCGGACAAAAATGGCCATAGCAAGCAAGAGAGATGGAAGTTTATGGGGCTATCCCAATTCTGGATGGTTTATAATGGAACATCCGAAAATACCATGCAGGGAATTGTTCTTACATTTCCACCCCCCTCCCTCTGAAACGGGCATTACTGTATGAACTTGTTTTTGTAAAATTAAGAGATTACCTAAAGAGATGGGGGGTGCTCCTCATACATTTTCAGTATTTGGCTTCAAAAGCTTATTTAGAAAAAGGTGGGGAGGGGGTTTCATACATTGATTTTGCAAGGCCATAGATCTTTGATGCTCATGGAGTTTTCCTGGGGAATCTTACGAAATAGCATGACGCTTTTGAGGCCCCTCCCCTTGAAATCTAAGTTTGCCAAATTATGGGAGGCCATCTACCCCCATGGGTTAATACATTAGTAATTCCCAAGTTTGGAGGGGGGGCGAAATTTGGAAGGGGGGAATTGAGATGGGGGGGGGCGCAGATGAAGTATCATGAATGTATGCACCTCGGAGGTCAGCAGTAGTTTCACGCCGCACATTCATTATACATGAAGGTTGACTTGAGAAGCTCACCCCCCAATGGAATACATTTTTGGGGCTTCCCAAATATTGTTTTGTGCTGGTGCAAGGCAGAGGTCCCCCCCATGTCTCATTCAATCAAAAATAGTAATGTATAAGCCTTCTTGACACCTCTTTCCGTCGCCGGGCTTGACCACCTGCCCCCCCCTCTGTTCATACATTTGATGGAAATGTAATTATGAACGGGGGGGTGGATACATACGGAAGGCAGGGGGGTGGTACACCCATGACTTCGGAAATCCCCAAATGATAGCAATCATGGGCAATCCCTATGTGGGCAAGATTCGAATCTTCTTGCTGTTCAACATGTTCTGTTCTTGCTGATGATTTCCGAAACTCTTGGCCAATTCACGACATTTTCTATGATTCTATGACTGGCCTCGAGTTTGCATCAGGCCCAACGTATTGCCTCGACTATGAGACACACGAAAGCTTGGTCACCGCCATGCCGGGTACACCTCCAGCTGGGGAACCTGGGGAACCTGGGGAAAAACCCGGAAGCTTAAGCGATGGGATAGACTTGAAGTTTCCGCTTTGAACATTATAAGCATGGGATCATGTTAAATCACGTCATATGTCTGATCAATGTCTTATGATGTGATTTAATACTCATTATGAATATGATAATATGGTGCTACCCATACTGAACTAGATATTGTACATGTAGAAATAGCTAGTTATTGTTGAACTATTGCTGAAGTTCGAAAATGGCCCCGGGCGGCCCCATCACAACCGGAGAGCCATGGATTATCCCAGAGCAGCTACAAAAATCGTCGCAGAGGAGGAGGATTTCAGCCCCGAAACGGATCGACTTTCGCCATTCGAGTCATGGAATGAAGCCAAGCAGTGACAAGGTAATATCATATCTGGGTGGCGGTTTCAAACATTTTTTATTTTCCATTTCATATATGTGATGTCATCCTTCCCATTGACTTTCATATTTTTCAAGATGGTTAAAACCATCAACCAGATATAGTTATATAAATACTCCATCTCCCAGTGACCAAACTTGTTGTTCATTTGTTTCCCCCAACTCACCTGCGTTCACCATAGACAACAAACTAGGAACCATACGGCATCTTCAAACATGTTTCATTACGTAATTATATATATAATATAAGCTGGGTCAGGGAGGAAAACCATCCCACAAAAGCCAACAAATTATGTACATATATGTGCGTTTTTGTTTATTATATATACGTGCATGTGTATGTGATATATATATATGATATATGTATGCATGTATTTATTGTATATGTAGGTATATGTATGTATATATTACAAAGAATTGCACATGTGTTTGGCAAGATGTAGGTACATAGCAGAAACAACTGAAAAAACCTGCTGGCCCACGTCTCGTCGCCCCGTCCCCAGGATGGAAAGCTGGGAGTGCGCGACCCTCGTACCGAGCATTTGATGGCTGGGGTCCCTGAGGGTTGGAAGAGTTTCAGTGGATGAAGCGTGAGGTAAAGGTAAATCCAATTGTGGGTAAATAGTGGGTGTAAATCAATTTTATCATAAATTGTGGGTAAAAAATAGTGGGTAAATCCAATTGTAATCTATTTTGATGTGCACTAATTCAGTGGATGTAAATCCGGGCGCCGGCCTCGGAGCCCGTGTCCTTGCTGAAATCCTTCGGTGGTAATCCTTTGGTGGTAACCGAAGGTTATAGACGCTGCGCTCCTGCAGCCGACCCACCCCTGGTTCACCCCATGTCGACTCCCCCGCGACTGAAGGACCTGTAATTTACGGTGTAAAAAACATCGGTTTTTACGGTGTTTCGGGCCCTTCGGCGGCCACAGATTTTATCTTGGCGATATTCAAAAATCTTGGTTTTTACATGGTTTTGGGCTCCAGGAGGGGGCCTGGGGCGGAAAAATTGGCATCTTAAGATCGTTTCAACATAGATGGCCCAAACATGGCCCCGACATAGCTCCCAAGATGGCTCAACATGGGCCAACATTGGCCCAACATAGGCCAACATAGGCCCAACATAGGGCCAACATGGTGCCAAGATTGCTTGGCCGGCTCCCGGCTGTCAGGCGTAAGCCTTTAAATCCAATCGCGGGTAAATGTACACTCAATGCATAAATATAGGAGAAGCAATTTGTGGGTAAATAGACATTTTGCAGTAGTTGGGATGATATAACTTATTAATCATCATGTAGAGGGGTTACGGCAACAATCTGGATTTATAATGACTTCACTGTGATGTTACCGGAATAATGGTTTACATATAGTATGGGGAATCATCTCCACATGGCCTTATGCCGCAAGGAGAAGATGGGAGACCTTATTTCAGCTATTTTCAAGTTAGTGAATTAGAATTCAGCAGAATCATGAGGGAAAACCAATAGTAAACCGCCCCCCACACTTCATTCTGTGGTATCCCCGTATTTGGGATGATGGAAATCCGCGACAAAGGCTGACCTTCTTTAGGCTCGTACAATGCATTTTTGCGACACGATATCACCAGATCTCAGGGACCATCCCAATGCATCTGCTATGGGCCACCTTGGTAGCCTGGTGAACATCAAAGTAGATGTGAATTTCTCCAATAACCAATTCCCTATATCAATATCAATAAATTTTCTGAGGTCGTTTTTGATCTTCCATTCACCTGCCGACCATGAAACAAGTTGCAACGAAAATGGTCCCAGAATTGGTCGAAGGATGTTGAAGGGAAGAGTAACCGGAACCCGCAACCTTTTGCAGTTGGGAAAACCACATTTTCTTGTCAGGCAGTCCATTCCAACAGTGGACTCAGTCACAAACCAGGTTTCGTTTAGTTTGGTGTTTGTTTTTGTCAGGAAAAAAAGATCTCTCCAATTCCCGAAACCATGTCGGATTGACACTTTTGAGATTCGCATTCTCTTCAGAATGCCTTTTGCATGGATTTTAATTTGTCATTAATTTGTCTCATCTAGATTACCCTCTGGTAAACGAACATAGCTATTGAAAATAACCATTTATAGTGGATTTACTCATTAAAAATGGTGATTTTCCATAGTTACGTTAGTTTACCAGAGGGTAGCTGCATTTGTTTGTTCACTTGGATCCTCACATTGGAGTCCCTGAATTCGATCAATTCGATCAACCCCAGGTGCTCTACGAAGAAAAAGGTGGCAAACTCACGAAGATGTGGATCAAGTGTGGCCCTAAAAAGCACGGGGAGGTGTCTGAAGATGGTGTCAAAAACCAACAGACATTGCCAAGAATGAATCAACATGATTTTTTAAATATGTTTTATTTGTTGATGATGAACCATTGGATGGAAATGATGGAAACTTTGTGTTTTTTTCTTGCAACGAGTTGTTGCAATGTTGATATTTCATGAAGCCATGGATCACAGGTTGCGCCAAAAGGTTGTGCCACGCGTTCCCAGATTGCTGTGGTTTTGGACATTCAAACTTTGCGAAAAGGATCTAGATGGCAGTTGGCAGAGGATGGTACGGATATTTCAAAAACATATTCAATGTTCATATGAAGTTTCTCTGGAATGTGAAAGCCTGTGAAAGCCCTGGTAGTCGTTTGTGACAGTGTTTTTTTGGTATATTTGTTCAAAACAGCAATATCAACAAATAATTTCCAAGAAACATATGAGTTGCTTGTAAAAGGTGAATTTGTATCTTCTCGATGGAATGGTTGACCACTAAGCTCCACAACTCAGTGCAACGAGGCAGGATAGCGACAAGCTGGGAAGTGACCCCTATGCTGGCGAGGCACCAGTCTTGATGACTACCAGAAAATGAGCCGTCAAGATGAAACAAAAACTGAAAGTTGGCATTTACCAATTTATAACCTCCAGCAAACGAAGAGTTCAGCAACATTTTGGAAAAGATGCATGTTTAATAGAAACATCGTCTCTAAATATGGGTCATTTTCCATAGATATGTTAAATTACTGGAGGATATATAGTCCAATCTCCCTAATTAATATTACTGTAAATGCCCCACACATGCGTGCCTAAAATGAACCGATTCAAACCAGGGTTTCATTGGGGGTTATTCGATGTGAGGGCGAAGGATTATCATGGCTCTAAAACATAATTTCAGTTGGGTTTGCATGTTTTCAGTATGCTTCCCATTGATGTTTCCCTGAAAAGTTCCCGAAGGCAAATTGACTTGTTTTGGGTTCGAGAAAGGAGGTACTAAGCCACCAGAACGGGAGTAGAGACAGCCCAAGATGAGAGACTGACTGTAAGTGTAACATTATGCGCATCCACAAATGATTCAACTAGCAACTGGGTGCTCTTTTCTCCCACCAGTGAATGGTCCGATGGTCCAAATAGTTGGTTTCATAGCTTCGGTCGCACAAGTATTTGGTGTCCCCCCCAGTGATGGGAATGTTGGTTTTTAACCCCCATGAAAAGTAGTTCGGTATATATGGCCCCGATAAACCCAGGTGAAATTAGAGTTCAACATGGGTCACCTCTTTCGGGGATCCAAATTGCGGACCCGATATTTTCCGTTGATTAACATGGACCCCTGGGAATTTCTATACTGTAAAGAAACATAAGAAACTTTGACCTATAGCCTAAAGCAACTCGTTTTTTTTTCCTCCAGTCACCGCTTAGCAAACCTCAAGGATCATGCCGTCATTCCCGGGTAAGCTCTGATGATCGATGTAGTACCTGCAGTATTCTAATGCTTGAAGGAGGTAGCATCCAAAAGGCATGATAAGGCAAAGAGAATTCAAAGCCAACAAGCTGGAACTCTCTCTTCAATAAACTCATGCTTAAACAGCCAGGGCACTTTACTTTTGTGATATCTATCCCACAAGAACCTTGGATATTGTTTGAATCGCTTCTGGATTCATATTGGGTGTTTGTCCGCAAAATGAAGAATTACACTAAAAGGCCACATGAATAACATTGACATTTACTGAGTTGTTGAAATGATTCGTAATATTGATATCTATTACTTATTGATATTATTGACATATGTCAATGAGGAAAGAGATCCCCTCTTGTAATAGATGGAATTAACAGAGCAACCCCCATCTGCAAAATTGATTACGACTTCGAAGGACATTATCTCGGTGTTTTGGTGGTGAAAGCAGCTCACATGAGATCATGAAATGTTGCGTTGTTTCAAATTCCACATTGCGCGGTTGTTTGGGTGAAGAGTCATGTCAAGTCCCTTTGTGTAGTTTAGATATTGTTTTATGTGCTTAGTAATTAGTGAAGTTATGCTGAGTCCGTAAAGCATTGTTGGAATATCCATGTGTGTGTTGTTGAAGTGAGTCAGATTCCCCATTCCAGCTTCAGTGCACTCTCCAATTTCCATGATATTTAGCTCACAAATACATCTATGTACGGGGTAAGATAGACCAAACACAACTCCATGTATATTCCACTGGTTACTATCACTTTTCATCCCCATGATCTGATAAACAACGAACATAACAAATACACGGAAAAAAACACGATCCCATCTCATTCAACTGGTGTTTTCCAAGTATAAACATGATAAAAACCCAACAACATCTCAGAAATCCGCTGGAAGTTGGACCACAACTCGATCTCCAGGATATCCTGGCTGCCAGCGATGCCTACAAGCAGTTCGAGGCTCCTATTCAACGATGGTGGGCTGACAATTCACTGGTTGATGGTTTGGAGCATTTGGATTTTTGTTTCCATATATTGGAAATAATAATCCCAGCTGACGAACTCATATTTTTCACAGGGGTTGAAACGACCAACCAGATTATGAATGTGGATATAAACAGTTATAAACCAAGAAAATGGACGTGAGATACGCGTTTTGAGCAATAAATCCATGGGTTCAATTCACAGAATTGGATATTTCTTCGCGAACGTCACGGGACAAACGTGGAGTTAGCGCGAAACATCATCCAAAAGTGGGGCCAGGGATGCCTCCCACTGGGGATCCCGGCTTGAACAGAGAGTTGGTTGATTTTAGCAAAAAAAAACAACAACACAATCGAAAACAGAATCACCAACAAAAACAACCCAACAGGAAGAATCACCAAAAAAAACAAGAAAGAAGCAAACAAACAAAACACAATTTTCTGTCCTGTTGGGCTCTCAAGTGTACCACATTGCCCAGGTGTTTTTTAATCTGGAACCCAACATGACTCAAGTTTAAGCACAGCTCAGCTAACGCTCGTTGCAGCACAGCAGTTGAGCGTGTCAATACCGAAGAGTTTTCCAGAAAGGTGCGGATAATTGCTGGTTGGTGATTTCAAACATGAATTTTATTTTCCATAATTGGTCCATAGATGGGATGTCATCCTTCCCAATGACGATGTCATATGTTTCAAGATGGTTTTTCAACCACCAACCAGATTGTTGTCAAGTCAAGCCCGAAATAACGACCTAGCCTCAGAAATAAGCTCATCACCATTATAAATTGTACAGATAATTGTCAATTCATTGTTTCGTGCAGGATGCTGACATAACTAGCACTGTCTGGACATTCTGGACATTTGGGAGCGATCTGGAGAGTAGCCCCAAGGAATTCCTTGATGTTCAACGTAGCTATATGAAAAATCCATAAAAATCACCGTTTTGGATAGGGAAATCATGATGTTTATCATCTATAGATGGACCATTTTTCAACATCCAACATTGTCCAAGAGCCTGCTTTTGCTGAGGCCAAGCTGAAGGAATTGAAGAATGGAAAACTGGGAGAGTGCTGCTGCCATGTCCTGCAGTTGATTTGGAAAACGGGCTTGGAATGGCGAGGGTTGACCTGCGCGGGTCAATTTGTTATGTACCGAACATAGCTATGGAAAATCACCATCTTTAATGGGTAAATATGCTATAAATGGGCCATTTTCAATAGTCATGTTAAATTACCAGAGGGTATATATGTTCTGGTTGGTGGTTTGGAACATGATTTTATGACTTTCCATATATTGGGAATGTCATCATCCCAACTGACGAACTCATATTTTTCAGAGGGGTAGGTATACACCAACCAGTTATGTATGTTTCATTCCATCCAATATCGGATGCATGACTATCCAATTGTTGTCTTTCGGAACTGGAGGTAAAACGCAGTGCTTAGCTGGCTTCTTGAACTGCCGCTTTTCTAGTGATTCTAGTGCACTGAATTTCTTATTGTCCAGATGGGGGTTTGCACCCAGAAACGGAGCATCATTTGTATCGCCAACATTCGCCAGCTATTTTGACCAGACGATTCCAGAAACCGTACTCTGAAAGTCGAGGAGCCATCTTTGAGACCCAAAAAGGGGTACGGTATGTCCAACTTTGGGGCATACGGACATACGGAACCACGAAAGGATCATTCTTGGCGTGAATTTCACGTCCAGTCAACCTTTGAAGTTTGTCATGGTTTGATTCCATGAAGCGTTCCTGCACGACTTGTCACCGTATTCAGCAGATACAGTATTGCAATGACCTGTTTCAATCCCCCAAAAGACGCTGAAAAGTGTTTCCAGGATGATAGTTCGATGATATGTACCTCATAATCAGATTTCCAGGTTTTCAGATGTTCTAATCTTTTTCAGGGAATGCTATACGCACTTATTATCAATGTAGATCAATGGTTTGACATTCTCATCCTTTGAAATTAGTCAAAAATTGGATGAATTACCCATGAAAAGGGATGGAAATATCGCTCTCGTTCATCTACTTTTTTTCCAAAGAAATTGGATTTGAATTGCTGAATACTCATGATATCTACTGATAATGATGTTTTTTCCGCAAAAAAACTTGAATTATTCGATCCCATTCATGATGGGATGATGAGAAAATAACAATGTATCCCATGTTACTTGATCCAGCTAGCGTTTACGAAATCGCTAAATTGGGGAAAATATTGCTCCTTGAAATGGGGAATCTAAACCATGCAAACCGGCCAGGCGAATCTTTCACAATTACCATGATATTCCTAGTATTGGATAGATCAAAAAAGGGGTGGGAAAAAATATAATCATAGGAATAATTAATAAATATAGAAAAATAAAATTCAAATATA